AGAGGAAAATATGGAAGGAATTTTCGGTCGATGAGTCAGAGTTTTTGGAGACCACTTGAGTCATCACTTTCAGGCTTTATATAGATTTTTTTAGCTAAAATTTTTTTGAGCCGATTTTTTTACTGTAAAACTAGGATTTTTTTCAAGTAATTTGATACTTTTTAGGCCTTTTTGGGTTAAAAAAATTATAGTATATCGACTCGGACTTCATTAAAGCGACCTGGGAATGTCGTAGCAATCCTAGGGACCACTATAGTAGCGTCAGAATCCTTAAGTGATCCCTAGAACTGTTCAGGAACTTTACCAAGGGAATTATGAAGAAAAAAAACTTAAGCAGATTAAAAAACAAGTCCCAGATAACTTGAACAATTCAAACACCTTTAGTGACCACTTCAGTAGAGTCAGAACCCTTAAGTGATCCCTAGAATTGCTCAGGAACTTAACCAAGTGAATTATGAAGGAAAAAAGTCAAGCAGACCAAAATTCGTTATATGGAAGTTAAGCAGACTAAAAAACAGGTCCCAGCTAACTTGAACAACTCAAACCCCTCTATTGACCACTTCAGTAGTGTCAGAACCCTTAAGTGATCCCTAGAATCGCTCAGGAGCTTTACCGAGAGAATTCTGAGATAAAAAAGTTGAGCAGACCGAAAATTCGAGATTTAAATGTTAAAAAGACCAAAATATTGGTCATAGTAGGTTTGAACAATTCAATCACTTTAGTGACCACTTCACTAGCAGCAGAACCCTTAAGTGATCACTAGAACTGCTCAGGAACGTTACCGAGGGAATCCTGAAGAAAAAAAGTTGAGCAGACCAAACATTTGATATCTGAATGTTAAGCAGACCAAAAAACAGGTCCCAGAAATCTTAAACAGTTCAATCTATCTAGTGACCACTATAGTAGCGTCAGAACCCTCAAGTGATCCCTAGAATTGCTCAGGAACGTTACCGGGGGAATCCTGAAGAAAAAAAAGTTAAGCAGACCAAAATATTACCCCTCTAGTGACCACTTCTTGACCCAACAAAAAACTCCTATAGTGGTCACCTTCCAAACCACTCAGTCACGCCCATCCCTTGAAACCGGGAATGTTGATTGTCGATGGAGCAGAACATGTGCTCGGCCGCGAGTCCAAATGGCTCCGCCCCTTTGTTTCTTCCAACCAAAACCCTTCATACTCTTTTTTTCCCCGTTTCCTTCCGTTTGGCTACCCATCTTCTTGTTGTCAAATTTTCAATTTCACAGTTGTCAGTATATGTTTTGTTTTAGGGAACTAGGTTTTCCATGTCGGTTTTGACAAGGAGAAACTTGAAAATAGGTTTTTTGAAATTTCTTGAGGATAGCGGAGTTTTGAATAAATTAGAAGAAAATATCATTTTTTCAAAGTAAATTTTCATATTTTCCTCCCTTTAAGCTTAGAAATGAACGGAAGACTTACGTTTCAAGAATGACTCAAAATGAAACTTTCTAATATGTGATAGTTACTTTATTCATCGTTAAGTAAAAAAAGACTAATATATTTAAAAAAACTGACTTGAGAACCTGTAAATGTCAATAATTCTACTTTTTTTCCTTATTGGATCAGAAAAAAATGGCTTTTTAGAGTAATTGAAGTAATCAGTTCTAGCTTCAGAAACCGTTCAAAAAAAGGATTATGAGGATTTTTTTGAAATAATATAAGACTCAAAAATACAAATTTTTCACATTTAAATGATAAAATCATTCACGAAAAAAATCAATAATTGTTAAAAAAAGTAAATTTCTCCACTTTACTGTTTCAAAGTTTTTTTGAAAAAAACAATTTTTATTTTTTTCTGCTTCAGTCCATCGTTACCGTTCATTAGTTGAATAAAATTGTTTTTAAAGTTCACTCGGATTTTTCAAAAAGAAGCATTTTGTCTAATCAAAAAAGTTTGGCTTTGACGAAAATTGGAATTCCTTTCTGAAGTTGACAGGTTCATTTTCTCGTTTCGTGAGTTTCAAAGTTTCCATTTTTTCCCTTTTTCCACTTTATCATTATTTTAAACCTTCTGGTCGCATTTGGAATGGCTCAAAGCGTTGCGGTCGCGCTGCGGTTAGAGCCATTCTCAATGCGGCTGTTTTTTGTACAGATATGATTTCATCAGGGAGCTATCTTAATAAAAAGAAAAAATGGAAGTTTAGAACTTTGAGAAAAAAAAACCAACACCTTCTTTTCCAAACGATTGTTTAAAGTCACTCGCGGCGTGAAAACTCATTAACTTAAGGGTTTTCATCGGTTTTCTGCTTCACTTGCTGTATTTATTTCAAAAATTTTTCATCAATTTTGTTTTTTTGTAGAGATATGATCTCATTGAAAACTTCACTGACTCAAAATTTAATTTACAAAAAAATTTCTCATTGACCTCTTAGAGATTTTTTTAGTCAATCCAGCTAAAAAAAGACCGATAGATTTTTTTGAAAAAAATGACAAAAAGAAGAGAATAAAACGCACATGTGCGCCCCATCGTCAACCGTATTTTTTTATGGGTACTTGTGGAAAAAAAGATTGATATAGCGGAAAAAAAGAGTTCCGGGTTTCTCAGGAACGTTTTTCAGGGCTACTAGTGGTTTTTTTCTGTTTTCTAATTTTATAAATTATTCTTGAAGAGTTTCGGGACCAGTGAGCTTTTTCTAAAAAAATTGGGTATTTATTAAGCTTATGTCGAAAAAAAGATTTGAGCGCGAGCCTTTGAAAAAAATTAGCTTTATTTTTTTCAATTGGAGAAGTTTCACAATAGGATCAAGTCGATTTTTTTAATTTTTTTAGTAAACTTATTTTTTTCCAAACGGCCGTTTTTTTGTTCATGGAGCAAAATTGTTTGAAAAAAATCAGCTCAATTTGAATTTGCACCAGGAAAGCCTATTTTTACTACGGGAACAATTGTTATCCCCTAAAAAAACGATAAAAACAAAAATGGCCAAAATATTTAGGAGAAAGTTTATTCTCGAACTTTTTTTGTTTTAATTTTATAAATTATTTTTTTAAAGAATTTCGGGACCAGTGAGCTTTTTCTAAAAAAATTGGGTATTTATTTAGCTTTCTTCGAAAAATTGGTTTGAGCCCAACTTTTTAAAAAAATCGAGCTGTAATTTTTCAATTAAAGAAGTATCACAACAGGAGAAGCCGATTTTTTTAACTTTTAGTAAAATTATTTTTTTCCAAACGGCCGTTTTTTTGTTTATGGAGCATAATTGTTTTAAAAAAACCGCTCAATTCAAAATTGCACCAGAAAAGCCTATTCTACTACGAGAACAATTTTTTTAATCCCCTCAAAACAATAAAAAAACAAAAAAATGGCCAAAAAAATTTTTTTCGAGAAAGTGTCGTAGAATAAAATGCATTGGTGCACACACGCTGACGCAAATTATGTTTCGCAGCTTTTTTACGTCAAGCTATTGCTCTTCATTTTTTTTTTGGATTTTTAATTCAGTTTATCTTTTTTGAAACTGGTAAGTTTTTGTAGTGAACACTTGAGAGCTCTGACACCCCTAAAGGGATCACTAGAATTGCTCAGAAAGAGCCGGTTTTCCTTACTGCGGTTCAAGCTTTTGGAATATACATTTGAGCAGTATTTATCTATAGAGCGCACATGTTGGTCCTTTTCTAGCTCCTAGAATTTTTTTGGAACCTTACAAATTATCAAAAAAAACCAATTCTACTCTATCAAACCTAAGGAAAGGTTTTTTGCAAACTTTTATAACACTATAGGGACCCTTATAGGGGTTTTAGGGACCCCTTTAGGAATGCGTAGGGGTCCCTATAGGGGTCTCTCACAGGGCCCCTATAAATCCCCCTTCAAAGTTTCTCAGAACGTCAATTTTTGTTGTCTAGTGGTCACTTTCCCGTCCCGTTTAGTTTTTCAGAGATTCTATTACCAATGTTTTGGCCGACTGACAGTAAAGGTGTCAAAAAATACCCCTAGATTTTTCAAAAAAAAACCTTCCCCAAAAACATTACGACAAAAAAAATACGGTTTTTTTTTCGCTTGGCGCCCAGCCGGCCGGTATCAAATGTCCACACGGGGAGGGGGAGATGTAAAAATTTGAAATCCGACGCGTTTTCAGCCGGCGTCGAGTTGCATTCTTCACAGCTCTTCCCATCCCCCCTCCTTTTTCCGGTTTTTCCTTCTGAAGTCGTTGGATTTTTTGGAGACGTCCTGAAGATGTTCATCTACTTTTCTGACGTTTTCAGGACGTTTTGAGCCTTGAAATTGCCTTCCGTCCGAGAACTAGATTTGACACTTCCGTGCTTGATTTTCAGGTGGTAGATGAACATTTTGATGCTACAATTCAAAAAATATAATTTTAAAAAAACTTTCACTCGTTTTCACAGCTTTGGACTTCATTTTTTTTTTTCCGGTTTTTCCTTCTGGAGACGTACTGAAGACGTTCATCTACTTACCTGACGTCTTCAAGACATTTTGAGCCTTGAAATGGCTTAATATTCAATCAAGTGGCTTCAAATTGACTCCCTTCAATTTTTTAGACTGAATCTAGGGATCTCATACCTAAATTTTTGAGGTAAACATAGGAATTTTTATTTTTCAATACAAATGAAAAAATCAAGAAAAAAAATTTTTCATTTTTTTTTCTCAGATTTAAGCTTCCTTTCCTTTTTCCGGTTTTTCTCTCTGAAGTCTGTAATTTTTTTGGAGACGTTTTGAAGACGTTGATCTACTTTTCCTGACGTCTTCGGGACGTTTTTGAGCTTCAATTTTAGATATTTTTATCTAGAAGAAACATTGTTTTTTTGACCTGGAAGTATGCTTCTAAACTATTTTTTTATGTTGAAGATGAATAATTTTATTATTTTGAGTCCGAAAAAAAGACAAAAAGACACTTTTTCCGATCATCCTTCGGAACATTTTGAAGACGTTCTGAAGACGTACAGTTCATCTACTTGTCCGACGTCTTCAGGACGTTTTGAGCCTTGAAATGGCCTTCTGTAGAACTTCTACTCATAAACTTTTTTTCTCAAAATGTCCCGGATGAAGCTCTCAATCCATCCAACAGAATCAAATTCCGAAAAATCCCCCACAAATAACGAGCTCGAGTCCCCCCTCCAATTCATCCATCTCAATCGAAATCACTCAATCAATCAATCGAAATTCGAGGGAGTGAGAGATCGAATAACCCCCCGTTTCTGAAGCGCTTGCAAATTGCAGGCAGTTCGAGAAATTGGAGAAAAAAAGAGAGGAGAAGCCGCCGCCGCCGCCGTGCAACAGTTGTGCACCCTCCGTCGCCTCTCTTCGGTTTTGTTGCGCCAACTCGACTTGTACGACAACTCTCTCCTACTATCCGCCCCACAATCTTTCCCGGTAAACCTACACTTTGAGCCGCGAAAAATAGCCAGGGCGGAAATAGCCGCAGAAAAAGTGGAAAAGTGAGCTCCATTCAACAGTTTTTTTGAGTTCCTGGTTTTACGATAGATATCACAGTTTGAGCCGCAAAAAAAGCCGCAAATGGGCTTTTGCGCTCCATTGAACAGTTTTTTGTAGAGCCTTGATTTTCAAAAAGTTTTCACGATAAATATCTTTCTCTATCCGCTTAGTCTTCCCCGGAAAACCTACAGTTTGAGCCGTGAAAAACAGCCAGTGCAAAAATAGCCGCGAAAAAAATCTTGAAATAAACTTTTGCGCTTCAGTGCAGTTTTTTAGTTTATTTTGATTTTGAAAGTTTTTACGAGAACTCTCTCTCACTATCCTTAAAATCTTACCTGGTGAACCTACACCTCGAGCCGCGAAAGTTAGCCGACTCAAAATAGCCGCAGAAAAGTGGAAAAATGAGCATTTGCGCTCCATTGAATAGTTTTTTGGACTTTCTAGTCTGAGCCTAAAATTTTCGCAAAAAATACAAAACGGAAGCAGAAGGTGCGCGCCATTGATAACTTCGCAATTCTTCGTTACCTGTCAATAAAAAGCTCCATATTCAGGTGCCTTCTGAATACAAAAACTCCACGACGTCATCGTTCCTCCGTCACACGTCTTCAGGCACGACGACGCCGTCAGATGGCCTCAAGAGTGTGACGTCATCTCGCCATGATACCCTACGCCATCTGCCTTCTGTTGCTCATGTCAGCAACGGCGCAGAATGTCGATGAGTCAGTTTTTTTTTATTTCGCTATGACGTCATCAGGTTATGACGTCACTTTGAAGAAATATTGATTTTTTATGGGTCTATTCGATCGTCTGACCAGTTATTTTGTAATGAGACCCTATCTGAATTTTCTGATGACGTCACTTTTTCGAGCTGATGCCCTAATTCGACGTCATCCAGTAGAAATATCGATTTTAGATTGTTTCTCACTTTTTTGATCGTATTTTTGGACTTCGACGTTATATGAATTTTTGATGACGTCACTTTTTCGAGCTGACTCTTAGGAATATAATGACGTTATCTAGTAGAAATATCGATTTTTCATGAGTTTTTTCATTTTTTCGTTTGTATTTTTGAACTTAGACGTTATATGAATTTTTTGACGACGTCATTTTTTCGAGCTGACTCCTAGGAATCTAATGACGTCATCTAGTAGAAATATTGATTTTTGGAAGTTTCAAATTCTCGATTTTATATTTTCAGAGTGTGGCTGTTATTTTGTTAGTTTCACGCATTTTTAATTATTCTGAGCTACAAATGACGTCATGTGGTCTGAATGACGTCACAATTTTTCTTTCAATGGCGTCATCGTTAGTGTTAATCGACCCTGATTGATTTTAAGCTCTGGGGATGACGTAAATCGAGTGGTTGATTGATTTTCGAGTTCTTTTTCACAAAAAATGAATCATTCAATCTTGGTCGTCCCACAGATTCGATGACATCATCGATATCTGATTTTAAAATGACTTCATTAAGGATTCACTTAAGCTTTTTTTAAAATTAGGTTGGATTTACTTTTTTTAAAGTTACTTCAGAAATTGAAGCAATTATTTTTTTCATTTTCTGACGTCATCGACCTCTAATTTTCTAGATGACGTCATTAAAACTTTTCAAGAGATTTTTCGATTTTCGGGATGACGTCATTTATCATTTACATAAATTTTTTTTGATTCGTTGTGAGTACTGTTTGAAGCAATTTTTGGATCTTAATTACTTTTTTTTTTCATTTTCTGACGTCATTGAGCCCTGATTTTCCAGATGACGTCATTAAAACTTTTTGAGAGATTTTGAGATTTTTGGAATGACGTCATTGAATGCTTGAAGCAATTACTTTATGATTCGTTTTAGGTACTTCTGAAGCAGTTTTGGAACTTTAGACCCTTATTTTTTTAATTTCTGACGTCATTAACCTACATTTTTTGAGATGACGTCATTTTTTCCATTTTTTATTCTGGAAAAATTTTGAAAAATTATATTAAACTTTTATATGATCCTACTGTATGATTTTTCGGATAACTTTTGGAATTTTTCGTGATTTCCAATGCCTTTTCCTGTATCTAAAAAAAAGACGAGATCTCTGCAAAATTTCTGAGAAAAAACCGACTCAGATTTCCAGCAACGTGTTTCAAATTAGTGGCGAATCGTTTTTCGTCTTCTTCTTGTTTTACGGAATTATTTCCAGTTAGGTTTCGGGGTTAAGTCATTTTAACGTTTCAAGGATAAATTAAGAGTTTGGATGAGTTTTTTTAATTTTTTTGATGGGAAGCAAAAATGGTAATTTTTTTCCAATTCTAGAAATATTTGGAAATTTTTCCTTTTTAATTTGCCCTTTTTTTATTTACTTGGCTTTTTTTGATTTTTATCCAATTTTCCTTCCACACAACCCCCCAAAAAAAGACCTTTCTAGCCTTGAAACTTTTCTTCGAAATGCACTTTTTTTTCTTGACGTGTATGTGTGACGCAAACGAACACTAGACCGCCCAGAATAAGATTCTGAAGGAAATTGAGGCGCGGAAATGGAATTTTGAAAGAAAAAATTGTCGAACCGAATTGAAATCCCTTTTTGAGAAGGTTTGGAAGATGAAATGTAGCTACTACAATGGGAGAAATATGATTTAAACGAATATTTCCAGAATCTTGAAAAAGAAAAAAATAAACTAAGGACTTATACATTCATGAAGCAACTAAAAGCTCCAAGTAGAAAAAACAAGTTTAAAAAACAGCAAAAAATCGAAAAATACGACTTTAAAATTCCATCCAACCACAAAAACGTATTCAAAATGACCGCATTTTGTGAAAATCCCATCAAAATACCAAAAAACAACAAGAAACAAGCTTCAATTTGCTGAAAAAATGGCAAAAAGGATTCGCAGTCTGCAGGATTCGAACCTACGCGGGCAGAGCCCAATTGATTTCTAGTCAATCTCCTTAACCACTCGGACAAGACTGCTGGTGGCGGAGAAGCGCCAGTTCCATGACCAATAAGCTTCCATTTGATAAGACTTTTTATTTGAGGCAGTCGACTAGAAAAAAATCAGATATTTCTATTAAATAAATGATGAAAAAAACAGGAATAATGAGAAAATAAACTATATAAAATTTTTTATCCAGTTCATAGAGCAAAAATTCGATAATAAAATTTTTTGCCAGAAATCAAACCCAAGTCTTTAGATTTCCAGCCAATTTCAACATATTATTTTTATTTTCAGTGGCCCTTTGATCGACACGTCGCTGCTGTCGTCGGTTCTCGACCGTTTAACCAATAAAACCATCTACGACAAGCGGTTACGACCCAGGTTTGTTTTTTATTGTTTCCTTAAAATAAAGCTGAAAGTTTTAACCAATCATTCGGAAAAAAAATTGATGATAAACTGTCTTGTAAGAAAAGAAAACTCAGAAAGATGAAGGTCATATACCTGAAATTAAAAAAACGGCAAAAAATACTTTGCGTCGGAGTGTATGCACCAATACATTTTATTCGACGACACTTCCTTAAAAAAATTTTTGGCTGTTTTTTTGTTATTTTTTTTTCTTGTTTTTTTGATGTTTACACTATTTACTTCACACGTTTTGTTGCTGTTATCCAACGATACAGTGCTGGATGTTAGTAAAATGCGAACATTTCGCATTTTTTCAAAAGTTACAGCTCGAATGATTTTTGCATCGTTTTGTGTTTTATTTTCAAAATTTCACGTTTTTGTATTTTGGTGAACTTCTAAGTTATCAAAACTGTTTTTTTTGCTCATGGATGGGTTTTAACTGTAAATAAGGGAAAGTTTCCACGATTTTTCATACTTTCTCTAAAAATCAGCCCTTCCGCTAGTTTTCTGTCGTATTATTTGAAATTTTTGAAAAAGTTTGTTCATTTTTCAGATACGGAGACAAGCCAGTAGATGTTGGAATCACGATCCATGTTTCATCGATATCCGCCGTTTCTGAAGTCGATATGGTTCGGATTTAATATTATTGTTTTTGTCTCTGGTTTTTTTAAGATTAATTATAATATTTTTCTCTGGTTTTTTTCAAGATTAACTTTCAAGGGAAAATCGTCTTTTTTTCTACTTTTTGCTCTTAAATAGAAAACTTCAAGCTATTTTTGAGCCCTTTTTTTCTGGCGTCACCTGGATAGAGCTATTCCTTGGCGGCTGATTTTTCGAAGCTGTTTTTATGCTTATAATTATTTTTTACATGATAGAAGTCGACAGAAATCGAGCTAGCTGGGAAAAAAACCGGTGGATATCTCACCACGGCTGGCTTTTGGGCGGCTATTTTTCCAAAATGTCTTAGACAGAGCTATTTATTGGCGGCTCATTTTTTGAAGCTATTTTTATGCTTAGAATTATTTTTTAACTGATAGAAGTCGACTGAGAAAAAAAAAACTGGTCGATTTTTCACCACGGCTATTTCCACGAGGCTATTTTTTTCGAAATCTGAAATAACTCAGCCGTGTTGTTATTTTGTTTTGAGTGAGGCGGCTCAAATACACGAGGCGAAACGGGAGGGACGACGATTTGTCATCCCTCCAGGAACAAGTGTTCTTTTTCTGACGTTCCTCCTAGGCCCGGGGAGAAATTTTTGACACGCTTCCGCATGTACTCTCTCTTTTTTTTTCGACCAGAAGAAAAGATTGGACTGGGGAATGGTTGGAGAAGTCATTTCAATGAGAATAGAACTGGAAAAATTGCTATTTTCCACGAAAATCGATTTTTTTCGATAAGAAGTTCATTTTGGCATTATTTTTCACATGCTTTTTATTTGATTCAGACTTCAAAAAAATGCCTTTTTTCGTATTTTGGTTACAGTAATCCCCAAAAGGGGCAGAGCCTATAAAAAACCTGAACTTGAAATTTTAATGACATGTGTAGATGTTGTGAGGAGAGTATGAGCTTAAAAAAAAATGTTTTTTCGAAATTTTTCTTTTTAACTGTTCATCATATCCGAGAGAACGTTTGGTAACTTTTTTCCAAGTTTTTCAAGATCAAATTGACTTTTTTAAGAAGCCTGAATCGGCACAAAAAAATTGAGCCTAGTAGAAATTTTTAGCTTCACTGAGGAAAATTCGAGATTTTGAAAGAACAGGTTTTTTTGAATTTTTTTAGTTGAAATTTTTCTGAAAAAAATTAAAAAAAGCTGTTAAATTTTTCTCTTCCCTGAGATTTTTTAACTTATTTCTGTTTTTTTATAATTCAATTTAACTCTTTAAACCTCTAAATTTGCTTCTAGTTGATGAAAGTTTTGTCTTTTTCAAGATTTTTTTCTGAGTTTTAATGAAGAAAGGTTCGAAATTTCGAAAGAAACGAATTTTTTTAAATATCCACCTGGAAAAAGGATCCATTCCCGTGTGATCCATAAACTTGAAACAAATAAATATGTTCATGAAAATTTTTCTGAACAAGTTCATTGATATTATGTTATCAGTTGGAATATCCAGGTTATTTTTTTGACTTTCAGGACTTCACCTTGGACTTTTACATGCGACAAACGTGGCAAGACCCTCGATTGGCCTTCGGAAGCCTGGATCTTGGACTTTCCAAGGAAATCACCTCGTTGACGGTTGGTTTTTTGATGAAAACGGTTCAAAATGAGTTGATTTTAAGCTTAGAAGTCTCGAAAAGGTTATAAATTAACAGAAAAGTGTCTCTTTAACGGTTTTCTTAATAAAAATGATTGTAGGTGACTTTTTGATCTATTAAATTGGGTCGATTTTGAGCTTAGAAGTCTCAAAAATGTTATAAATTAGCAAGAAAAACTGCCTCTATAACGGTTTTTCTAATAAAAATGGTTGTAGATGACTTTTCTATCTACAAAAAAGGGTCGATTTTAGTCTTGAAAGCCCCAAAAAAGTGAACAATTTTTGGAAATTACATTCTCTACGGTTTTTCTAAGTGAATTAGTTGCAAATTTTTTTGCCTGCCAAACTAAGACAATTTCAAGCTTAGAAGTCCAAGAAAAAAGTTTTAAAAATTTGATCTGATTATCAAAAAACCAAGTTTGGCCACATTTCTGGTAAGAAAATGTATTCAGAGCTTCGTTTTTACGCCGTAAAAAAAAGTTATCTCATAATCATATTTTTTTACGCCTTGTTAAGGTATTACTGAGATTTAAGACGGCTAATGTGGTTAAAAGCTCTGAAAAAGAAGAAAATTGATGGGAAAACTGGCTTTTTTGACAGTTTTATCAGAGCGGGATCGAACCTGGAACCCTCTGAGTTCTATTTATGATCAAATTATTTTTTAAAGCTAATTTTAGGGTGTTCTAAGTTTTATAACTTTTATTGTGGGTTCTAAACTCCGAAAAAGCAAAAAATTGATGAAAAAAACCTTTTCTGAGAGTTTTCCTTCACCGGGATCGAACCCAAGACCCTCTGAGCCTCACGATAACATCCTAGCCACTCGACCACCAAGCAATAACAATTGCAGGTGGGAGTGGACTACCTGGACAAGCTCTGGAAGCCGGACACGTTTTTCCCCAACGAGAAGAAGTCGTTTTTCCACGTCGCCACCACACACAACTCGTTTTTGCGGATCGACAGCGACGGCACCGTTTTCACCAGTCAAAGGTATCATTTTTTGCCGTTTTGAATTATTGCTTCACAAGCTTTGCGTTATTAAAGGTACACCTTCAGATTCACATTTGTAAGTTTCTTGAAATAGTAGACTCATTTTTCGAACAACTGGAGAAATTATCAGTGGTCACTATAGAGGCTCGCCAAGGACTACTTGGTAAGGACACTAAAGTGGCCACTATTTTCCGTTTTAGTGGCCACTATAAAGGTTCTCTATTTAGTGGCCACTTCAGTAGCTTTTCATCCAGTATTCCTTACAGTAACTCTGATAATTCTAAAAAAAACAGATTAGACCAGTTATGTTGATCCATTGACCCCTAAAGTGGCCACTAAAGTAGTTTTTAGTGGTCTATTAGTAGCCCTTATGTAGACCATTTTTAATCCTTCGAAACAAAAAAAAGACACTTTTTAAATTTTGGTTTCTATATAGAATTTCTACCCACTTATGGCCCAAAAATTGACCTTTTTCAAAGTTTGGTCCCAAGCAAAAACCCTTTTTGAACTTGTGGCTTGAAAATAAACCCTTTTCAAAATTTGGGCGCAAAAATAGGACCTCTTGAATTTCGGGCCCAATAATAGACTATTTTCCAAAGTTTACGCCCAAAAAAAGACCTTTTTTAATGTTTGGACCCTAAGAAAGACTAATTTAAAATTGTGGGCCAAAATTTTTAAAGTTTGGGCCCGAAAACAAACTTTTTTTTAAGTTTGAGCCCGAAAATGGGCCATTTTCGAAGTGTAGTTTCAAAAATAGACCTTCTCAAACTTTGTGCACGAAAATAAACCATTTTCAAACTTGGGGCTCAAAAATAGACCATTTTTGAACTTTGGGGTCAAGAAATGGACCCTTTCCAAACTTGGGGCTCAAAAATAGACCATTTTTGAACTTTGGGGTCAAGAAATGGACCCTTTCCAAACTTGGGGGCCAAAAAATAGACCCTTTTCGAAGTGGGAGACCCCAAGGAACTATTTTTGAACTTCGGGCTCTTATTTGGTATAAAAATGAACTTTCTGGTTAAATATCGAGAAATTCCAAAGAGCCAAGACAAAATAAGCCTCTCCGTGAGGAAGAAATAGCGCCCCTTGAGCTTTTTGAGCCTTTCGTGAAAGCTCAAAAGGACGCTACTTTTCCGGTAATCCTCCCAAGGACTCTCAACTTTACAAATTCTTTTTGATAGTAGCCGCCCGGCAGGGGGATCACAAAGACTTTTGAGCGGAAAAAATGATGTCATGGGACTTTTTTGGGGAATTTTGGACTGGAGGTTTTGGCCGAAGATTTAAAGTTCAAATTACTGTTTCGAGAAAAAAATTTATAAATTGAATAAATTTTTAAACCTTCGTTGTGATTTTTAATGATTTAAAAACACAAATTAATACTTTTTAGATTTTTTTCTTGGTGTGAAATTTAAAGTGGTCCCTTTACGGATTTTTAATGGTTTGAGATATTGAGTGGTCATTTTAGGGTTTTTTTATTTCTATAAATGATGTCATAGGACTTTTTTTCGATATTTTTTTGGACTGGAGGTTTTTAATCGAAGATTTAAAGTTTAAATTACAGTTTCGAAAAAAAATTTTTATAAATTAAATAAATTAAATAAAGTTCAATTCTTCGTCGTTAGTGAGAAATGGTTAAAAAAAATAAATACTTTTTAAATTTTTTTCTTGGTGGGAAATTTTTGAGTGGTCCTTTTAGGGTTTTCTTATTTCTCTAAATCATGTCATAGGACTCTTTTGGGGAAATTTGGACTGGAGGTTTTGGCCGAAGATTCGAAGTTCAAATTACTGTTTCGAGAACATTTTATAAATTAAATAAATTTCAAACATTCGTTGTGATCGTGAAATAGTTGTAAAAAAAATAAATATTTTTTTAGATTTTTTTCTTGGTGGGAAATTTTGAGTGGTCCTTTTTAGGGATCTCAACAGTTTGAGATATCGAGTGGTCATTCTAGGGTTTTCTTATTTCTCTAAATAATGTCATATTTTTAATAGTTCCTGAACTCATCAAAAAGGAAAATATCAACTTTTGAGATAGTTATTCAGTGAAGATCTACTCGAAAAATCATGATTTGACCCTGAAATCGATGATTATTTGCAGGTTAACGGTAACTGCGACGTGTCCGATGAAGCTCCAACTGTTCCCGATGGACTCGCAACGCTGCAAACTGGAAATCGAGAGCTGTGAGTCCAATTTTATCCTTTTACCCTTGATCTTAACATTTTCGATAAATCGGAAGAAAAAAATTACCCCGAAAAAAATCGTAGTCAAAAGTGTGCAGTAGGAGTGCGTAGATTCGTGTTTTGTGACATTTTTTAATCAAAAAATAATTTTTTGGGTTCATTTTTTCATAAACAAAAATCGAAACGATTGCACCAGGTCGGTATTATCCTTTCCCTTGTATTTTCCCCCTTACCCCGATATTCTCATCATTTTCCGATCACTTTATTGTACCATTTCATATTGTATTCCTCTCATACTGTATTCATTCATTTTCTGTACATTTTTCGTATCAAATCGTTCAATCTGTTGTATTAGACTTGTATTACAAAAAAAAAGAAAAAAAATCCCATGAAATAAAGAAAAAAATATTGTATAAATCCCGACGGTCGACGGTTTATCAATGGAGCGCACTTTCCGACGAGGTAATTTTTCCGTTTTCCAAACCTTTTTCGTGTACCTTTTTTTCCAACAACTTCTTCGTAACGCACTAATCTATCCGATTAACAGCTTGCTTTTTTTTTTTCACTAATTTTAAAATTATTTTATTTTTGGAACCTGGAAATTTTCACTTTTTTTAAATCTTTGAAAAAATTAAATTTTTTACAGTCACCTAAAAAAGGAAAGATTAAAGTGGTCACTTAAGGGACTTCAAAATCAATTTTTAGAGCTCAAAATCTAAGTTGAATATTTTAAGTGGTCATTTAACACACGTTCTCCGAGATTTTCGAATAACCGTTGGTACAAAAATTTCATCTTTGTTCCTGAGAGCTCTCCTTTCTATGATAGATAGTGAACAACCTCTTGAATATTTAGAACCAGGTTTTATCGGGCTCCGCCCACTTTCATGCTTACTGTAGGAAAAAAACACCGTAGAAACCAAACTTTTTTTCCTAGTGGAGCAAATTGGTCCAAACCAATTTTAAAACAAAAATATGTTCCCATATGAACATTTATAGTTATAGAACTGACCCGGAAAAAAAATTTTTCTTTCAAAAAGAAAAAAATTAAAGTTTTTTTGAAAAAAATGACGAGTTTCGCAGTCTTTGAGCCATAACTAGTACTAGAACCCCCGAATGCCTGGATTTTTTTATTTTTTTAATCGACGCATTAGAGTCTTGTGAGTAGAGGAAAAAAATGTCTAGAAACTCTGAATCCGGGTGATCCAGTTGACCTCCATCTCGAAGAACGCGGCCAACTTGAAAATCGCAAAAACCTTTGAAAATTTCTATTTTTTTGTGAAAGCCGGATTCTGTCTTGTTTCTTATTTTTTTGTTCAACATACGACAGCTTGCTGCAAAATTACAGCTCAAAAAGTAGCGAGCTGGAACCCTTTGAAAAATTTCTGACGTTTTTTTCCAATTTTTTTCGTTTTTTTCGGCATTTTTCAAACTTTTTCGCTCTTACTAGTACTAGAACCCCCGAATGCCTGGATTTTTTTATTTTTTTCAATCGACGCATTAGGGTCTTGTGAGTAGAGAAAAAAATGTCTAGAAACTCTGAATCCGGGTGATCCAGTTGACCTCCATCTCGGAGAACGCGGCCAACTTGAAAAACGACTAAATTTTTTTAAAAATTCAGTTACTTTCTTGGGAGCAGGATTTTTCTTTTCACTTCTTTTTTTGCCAATCAGGCACAATCTACTCAACACAGGATTGGAACAAAAAGTTATGACTCTCAAGCACAACGAAAATTTTTTTTTCCAATTTTTCACTTTTTCGGATTCATTCTTTTTTTCTGTCCTTTCCAAGTATTGAGCTCTACTGGGTTAGGATACCCGGAATGCTCAGAGTTTATTCGTTGTACTGATCCGTTACATCTTCCCAAGTTCTTTGAAAATATTCCCAAGCTCTGTTTCCGGGTGATCCAGTTGACCTCCAAGCAACCGAAGCGGTCGACCTCAAATTTGAGCAAAATTTAACAAATTTTCCAAAACGTTTCTTTGCTTCCTAACCAGTGGTTCTCATTATCTGGAGAGGTTTAGTGAAGTTTCCAAATTTTATAATAGCAAAAACTTTAGAAACGCGTTTTTAATCGAGTAAAGTTACTCACAAGGAAAGTTATTTTTACTTTGTGGTTAAAAATTTCTTAGAAAGGCTGCCAGAATATTCATCGATGTACCAGGAAAATATCCTTAACCTGAACAACTCCCTATTTTTCAAGAAATGAGAACAGAGAAACGAAAAATGGCTTCTTTTTGAGGACATGATTGTTTTATTCAACGTTCAGATTTTTTTTTTCTCAAAAACTAGGAAGTTGTTCAGGTTAAGTTTCTTGCAGAATCCCCATCTGATACATTGGGAAATTTCCTGGCTGTCTTACAGGAATTTCTCAACCGCAATGTGAAATCAACTCCCTTGTAAAAAATATCCAACCCTCTTATGAGAATGAAGTTTAGATTTTCTTACTGTATTGAAATAATTCATTACCAGTCTCGAAAAACGTTACTTCCTGCTTTTTTTCAGAATAAAAGGAACATAAAGTTCTATTTTTTGCTTCCACAATTTTTTTCAAAAAAAATTCGACCTCAACCTTGGTAATAGGGAAACTTAAACGTTTTTGTTCAGTGCAAAATCCAAAAAAATAATTTATCCAGAAAAGCTTAAAGAAAAACTCAAACAATTGGCTTCGACAAACATGATTCTTACTTTTTCACGAAATATTAGTCACTAATTTTTCGTAAGTAGTGGCTTTACGTAAGTTAGAACTTTTTTTATTAGAAGAAAAAAACCAGGGATTTCCAGATTATTCGGAAAAACAGGGGTATTTCTGATGCTGCGTTTGGTCAAAAAAATTTTTAAAAAAATTTCTGACGACAATAAAAAAATAAGCTTTTTTGATGACATTTACGCTAGAAATTGCTAGAAACTTCACTAAACCTCTCCAGATAATGAGAACCACTGGTTAGGGAAGCAAAGAAACGTTTTTGGAAAAATTTGTTAAATTTTGCTCAAATTTGAGGTCGACCGCTTCGGTTGCTTGGAGGTCAACTGGATCACCCGGAAACAGAGCTTGGGAATATTTTTCAAAGAACTTGGGAAGATGTAACGGATCAGTACAACGAATAAACTCTGAGCATTCCGGGTATCCCTAACCCAGTAGAGCTCAATACTTGGAAAGGACAGAAAAAAAGAATGAATCCGAAAAAAAGTGAAAAAAATTGGATTTTCGTTGTGCTTGAGAGTCATAACTTTTTGTTCCAATCCTGTGTTGAGTAGATTGTGCCTGATTGGCAAAAAGAAGTGAAAGAAAATCCTGCTCCCAAGAAAGTAACTGAATTTTAAAAATTTAGTCGTTTTCAAGTTGGCCGCGTTCTCCGAGATGGAGGTCAACTGGATCACCCGGATTCAGAGTTTCTAGACATTTTTTCTCTACTCACAAGACCCTAATGCGTCGATTGAAAAAATAAAAATCCAGGCATTCGGGGGTTCTAGTACTAGTAAGAGCGAAAAAGTTTGAAAAATGCCGAAAAAAACGAAAAAAATTGGAAAAAAACGTCAGAAATTTTTTTCAAAGGGTTCCAGCTCGCTACTTTTTGAGCTGTAATTTTTGCAGCAAGCTGTCGTATGTTGAACAAAAAAATAAGAAACAAGACAGAATCCGGCTTTCACAAAAAAATAGAAATTTTTCAAAGGTTTTTGCGATTTTTCAAGTTGGCCGCGTTCTTCGAGATGGAGGTCAACTGGATCACCCGGATTCAGAGTTTCTAGACATTTTTTTCCTCTACTCACAAGACTCTAATGCGTCGATTAAAAAAATAAAAAAATCCAGGCATTCGGGGGTTCTAGTACTAGTTATGGCTCAAAGACTGCGAAACTCGTCATTTTTTTCAAAAAAACTTTAATTTTTCTTTTGAAAGAAAAATTTTTTTCCGGGTCAGTTCTATAACTATAAATGTTCATATGGGAACATATTTTTGTTTTTAAAATTGGTTTTGGACCAATTTGCTCCACTAGGAAAAAAAGTTTGGTTTCTACGGTGTTTTTTTCCCTACAGTAAGCATGAAAGTGGGCGGAGCCCGATAAAACCTGGTTCTAAATATTCAAGAGGTTGTTCACTATCTATCATAGAAAGGAGAGCTCTCAGGAACAAAGATGAAATTTTTGTACCAAAATTTTTGGCCTTGTTCGAATTTCTGGGAGAACGTGTGTTAAGGGCTTAGAAAAATGAGCCAGAACAAATTTCCCGAAAAAAATTTCTAAACACGAGTTTTTCCAAGATTTCATCGTTGAAAATAAAATTTTGAAACTTTTTATTTTATTTTTTTTTTTCCAATAAACTGATTAAATTTCCACTCGGAACGTAATAGAACAGAAGTCGTTTCAGTTTACTAAATGGTCACTTTGAAACAGGGAGGAATTTTAAAAAAGGGAAAAATTTGCTTGCTTTAACTAATTATTTAACCGGATCTATTCGTACTGTCAGTCAATGTTAGTGGCTTCTTTGAGGAAAAAATGAGCCGCGACCATTTTTTCTCGCGGATAACGAGCCGCGGCTTTTTTTACGCAGGACATTTAGCCGCGGTTGATTTTCCCCACCCATTGTGAGGCGCGGTTAATTTTTTTCGATTAGCCATGGCTTTTTTGCAGAAAATGGGCTGCGGCTGAAATTTCTCGGAAAGAAATTAGCCGCGGCTGATTTTAAAAAAAATTTGAGCCGCGATTGCTTTTTAAAGCGAAATAATCGCCCTGGCTGATTTTTTCCCGGAAGTATGAACTGCGGCTAATTTCACCCGCTGTTATGAGCGGCGGCTGATTTTTCTCAGCAGAATATTGACCGTGGTTGTTTTTTCCCAGTAAATTTAGCCGCGGCTGATTTTTTCTGCATAAAAGAGTTGCGGTTGTTTTTTCTGAGAGAGAGTGTGAACTGCGGCTGATTTTTTTTCGCAAGAAATATCCGTGGCTGTATTTTCTTTCAGAAAAATAGCCGCGGCTAATTTTTCCAGGAAAGTATGAACTGCGGCTGATTTTTCTGGCTGAATAATATCCCGGCTGAAAATTTCGAAAATTTTGACCCGTGCGTGATTTTTTCTGTACAAAAGAGCTGCGGCTGACTTTTTCCAGGGAAACCGCGGCTATTTTTTCCTTCTAAATTATTAGCCGCGGCTGATTTTTTCCGCAAAATAAGTTCTTCATAGAGCCAATCGCTTGAAAATAACACAAAAAATGTAGAAAATTGATCGAAAAAGGTCATCGTTTTGGCATGCTTTCAACATTGTCGCTCTCGTGTCGTGTCGACGTGTTTCCGTGTTTTTGTTCTTCTTTTCTTTTGATTTTTTTGCCGGTGAGAAAACCGAGAGCCGAGCCGCGACGCACGGCCCGAATTTCCAGACGGCTACAGCGTCCTCGACATCAACTACCGCTTCGGGACGGACGACGCCGTCAGCAAGTCCGACTTCGAACTGCCACAATTCGTCCTCCAGGACGTCAAGATCAGCAACAAGACCGAGAAGCTCAGCTCGGGTTGGTTTTTTGGAAGGTTTTGAGAATGTTTGGTACCGGAAAGGTTCTCTCAGGGGCCTAACAAGGGGACGTTTTTCACCCCCCCCTTTTTGGCTTAAATTGGTATTTTGCGGCCTTTGAAGCTCCATAACTCGGAAACAAAATCTATTGCAAGCATTTTTTTTTCTTTTTCTGCAATCAGGAGTTCCTAAAGTACACTTCACTGAAGCTTCATCGAAAATTAAACCCGGGGGGTGAATTTCTTGGTAAAACTTTTTTTATTTTTCGGATTTTTGATAGCTTACAAGGAAAGTTTTTTTAACTTTCTTGAAGTTTGTTCCTGAAGCCTTCAATTAAATAAAGAAAAAAATAGAAAAAAAATGGGATTTTTTTAGGCTTACCTTTTTTTAGAGACCTTTTTTTCTCGGAAAATGGGAAGTTTAACAGATTGAAACATTAGGATTTCATCTGATACATTAAAAAATGTTTTTAGAAGATTCCCAATAAAAGTCCCCTGTGTGGGTCAGGTTCAAATTCAAAGACGAACTTAGGGAAATCCGAATAATAAAATAAAACTTGGGAAATCCCAAATGACGGGTCGGGACTCGATTTGCACGTCAGAATAACCTCATCGAAAAGATTTATTATGAATTTGGAAGTTGAGCTGATAAAATAACTGTCGAAAAATGTGGCTGACCAGAAATTAGGTACTTAAAATTTTGGGTCAAAGTTTCGAAAATTCTGTAAGTTGGATTGGCAGAAAATCAAGCTGACCAAAATGTAGGCTTTTTCATTTCATTTTTCATTTCAAATTTTTGTTCGCCATTCCGCATCTGCACGACAAATACCAAAAATAAAACATCTATCAAATCTAACAGCTGATCTGTGGAAACGGCTGTTTCCTTATTTGGTATTTAAGTTTATTCTTTGTTGTTTTTTAAGTAGTTAGAATTTTTCTAGATTTTAGTAGGATCTAGTGAATTTAGAAACGATGTGTTTGATTCGAACCATGAAGTGAGCATAATCCGAAACTTGCCGATTTCGTATTCAATGATAGTTCCTCTTTCCAGTTGACTCCAAATGGGTATGACTTTATAATTTAGGATGCGTTCTTTGATCAATTCATTCACTGGTTGAGCAAGTCTCATTCCATTTCGAAGTAGAGCGGATTGAATTAAACGCATTTTAAAGTAGGCCTGGTCAAAATTCGCAGTTTTGAAAGTTGAGTAGACAAAATAGCTACCAAAAAAAATGAGGCTGACCAAAATTTTGATATATTGAATCTGAGCCGGAATAAAATTCATTCAGGTATTTTCATGTCAAACTGGTCAAAATGCGGAGTTTTAAAAGTTAAGTAGACTACCAAAAAGAGCTACCAAAAAGTAAGGCTGAGCCTAATTTTGACATTTTGAAGTAGAGCTGACTAAAATTTAGGTATTTTCAAGTTGACCAGGTCAAAGTCTCGAAAATTCTGAAAGTTGGGTCGGCAAAAAATTAAGTTGACCAGAATGTAGGTATTTTGAAGTATAGTGGACTGAAATTCAGGCCTTTTGAAGTTGAACCGGTCAAAGTTCGGAATTGTGGAAGTGAAGGAGAAAAAATAGCTACCAAAAAGATGAGGCTTCGCTCATCGAAAAAAAAAACCTAAGCCTTTTGAAGTTGAACCGGTCAAATTTAGGTATTCTGGAAGTGAAGGAGACAAAATAGATACCAAAAAAATCAGACTGACCAAAATTTAGGCTTCTTTAAGGAGACGGACTAAAATTTAGTTATTTTGAAGTTGAACAGAACAAAGTTTCGAGAATTCGGAAAGTTGGGTCGGCAAAAAATCAAGTTCGCCAGAATTTAGGTATTTTGAAGTCAAACTGGTCAAAGTTCAGAAATTTGAAAGTTGAGGAGACAAAATAGATACCAAAAAAGTGAGTCTGACCAAAAATTTAGACATTTTGAAGGAGGCGGACTGAAATTTAGGTATTTTCAAGCCAAACTGGCCAAATGCGGAGTTTTGGTAGTGAAGGAGACAAAATAGATACCAAAAATGAGGCTTATTAAAACTTTAACCTTTTTAAAAAGGGCGGACTGAAGTTTGGATATTTTAAAGTTGAACAGGTCAAAGTTCGAAATTTTGGAAGTTAAGAAGATTAAATTCCTACCAAAAAAATGAGGCTTATTAAAGCTTAGGCTTTTTCGAAGTAGAGCGGACTAAATTTTGCGCATTTTTAATTCAAACTGGTCAAATGCGGAATTTTAGTAGTGAAGGAGACTACCAAAAATAGCTACCAAAAAAATGAAGTTGACCAAAATTTCGATATTTTGAAGTAGAGCGGACTAAAATTTGGGTATTTCAAAGTCGGCCTGATAGAATTTAGGTATTCTGAAAGTTGAGGAGACAAAATAGATACCAAAGAATTGAGGCCGACCTGATCTAAGGTTTTTTTGAGGAGGCGGACTGAAATTTAGATATTTTAAAGTTGAACAGTTCAAAGTTCAGAAATTTGGAAGTTTAGGAGATTAAATTGCTACCAAAAAAATGAGACTTATGAAAACTTAGGCTTTTTTAAGGAGACGGACTGAAATTTAGATATTTTAAAGTTGAACAGGTCAAAATGCGGAGCTTTGGAAGTGAAGGAGACTACCAAAAAAAAGCTAGCAAAAAAAAAAATGAGGATTACTAAAGTTTATAAAAATTTTGAAGTATAGTGGGCTAAAATCAGCGCATTTTGAATTTGTACCGGTCAAAGTTAGGTATTCTGGATGTGAAGGAGACTACCAAATATATCTACCGAAAAAATAAGGCTGACCAAAATTTAGGCCTTTTTAAGGAGGCCGGACTAAACGTTGAAAAGCTCAAAATTTCAGAAATATGAATTTTAGCAGAACACAGCTTCGTGAGCTTGAAATTTCCTAGCTGAAATTTCATAAATTCACGAAAAAATAAGGGGGCACCCGGACTCGAACCAGGGACCTCTCGGACTGCAGCCGAACGCTATGCCACTAAGCTATGCCCCCGGGCGGTTTCTTGGCGAACGGCGTTCGGTTTTGTTTTCGTTGTTGGTGAATCATCATTGCATCAGAACTATTTCGACACTTTTCTGTGAAAATTTGCAATTTTTCCTTCTTTTTTGAGAGGAAATTCGAAGTTTATATGAATTAAAAGCCACGCAAAATGGTTTAATATCATATATTCATTTTTAAAAATATTATGGAATGTTAATTTTTTTTCAAAATGAAGGATATTATGAATTTGATTGGATTTAGCAGATTGAAACGAAAAAACTTCAAATTCTTGAAATTTAAGTAACCTAAACTACCAAAACGGCACAAAAATGAGTATTCAATAAAATTCATATGCGGTTTTCAAAGTGCTTTAACGAAATCCAAAATAGCAGCCAGAGAAAGAAAAATATAACTAAATTTTGGAGACTCAGAGATTTTTCTGAACTTTGCAGATATCACTATGAACACGGCAATAGATGATTCTGAACCAGAAAAAATTACCTCCCTTTTAAAATTTTTGAATAGTGTTTTAATTCGACAATTAATCTATGAAGGCGTTAGTTAACTAATTTTGAAGAAGTTTTTGTAAATGGGGATTTTAAGGATATCCTGAGGCACTTGGATAAATTATTGAACTGTCATTTTTTCCAGGAGAATATTCCCGGCTTCTTTGCTACTTCATGTTCAAAAGGAGCATTGGTTTCTACATTATCCAGATCTACTTGCCGTCGATCCTCATCGTTGTGATTTCCTGGGTTCGTTTTGTACCATCTTTCTTTGTTGAGTGTTAAAGAAATGAGAGAAAATATATTTCTGAAAAGCTGTGGTTTTTTTTTTTGATTTTCCTCGATTTAGGTCTCATTTTGGCTGAGCCGCGACGCAACCCCGGCCCGCGTTGCACTTGGAGTGACCACTGTGCTGACGATGACGACTCTGATGACCACCACTAATGTGGGTTTTTTTTCAAACTCAAGATCAGTGTATTAAAAAAATAATATAGTCTGTGTACCACGACTTGGAATTTCACCGAACGACATTCCGCTGTTCCGCTGCGTGCCTTTGCGCGTTTTTGATTTTCATTTTATTTTAAAACTCGACCAGCACGTGCTCCTAGTGGAACACTCTATCTATCAGAAATGAGAACCCATTCAAAGCGAGACCGGGGCTCGCAAAGACGCTTCGCGACGCAGCGGTACAGCGGAATGTCGTTCGGTGAAATTTCAAGTCGTGGCATACAGACTATATCTCAAAAAAAATCTTTTCGATTTTTCCGTTCTTCTAGAGAACTTTCTGGAGAAACCTCCGACATCCTCACATAGTAATAGGTTCATTCATTGCAATCAGAAGACAAAATTTTCTTATTATTCCTACGCCTCTGTACCACTTGAGCGGCGTCGGCGCACTAAGTCGATTAGCCGAGGTCCTATCCTGATGATAATCAGTGGACTGGCTCTAGTGACCTATCCGCCCTTGTGTGTGACTGCTGGGGATTTTGAAGCCGTGGTTTCCCACTACCAACATTTTTCAAACCCCTTGGTTGGGTCGAGGCGGGGATCGAACTTGTGACCCTGTGGACCGTAGACAGGCACACAACCTGTTGCGCTACTGCGCGCTTTTTCAAAAACAATATTATAGAAACGTTTCTTTGAGACACTTCACTGCAATATTCTTAGTACTATGAGTACACTACAAGTGAATTTGCAGTTGGCGGTTTTCGGTGTTTCCGTTTTGCTATACATGTAGCTTTCTGAAAAAGCTTCCGACACATTAGGTTCATTCACTGCATGCAGTAAAAAGATAAGAAGTTAAAAGAAAAAAAGAAAAAAATGCAGTTTGAAATTCAGTAACAGGAATTAGCCCAACCTAACAAGTAGACTCTGACCCGGAGTTCAACAGGAATTGAAGCGATCAAGTTTCGGAGATCAATAAGTTTGATCCGTAGAGAACCAGTGGACACTTTAAAATGTAACCTAGATGTTGATTCATTCCATAAAGGGAGAGTTTCAGAAAAAAAATCTTCAGAAAGCCGAAAAGTTTTTAATACTATTTATATGAATATCTTACGGCCAAACAGGGTGGGTAAACGTCAAAACAAATTTTGGCGCGAAAATTCAAATCTCAAGTACGCAGCCAAATGCGATCGAACAAACAAGTTATCACGTTGAATACTCAGTGTAATTAATGACGTAGAATGACGTCATTTTATCCGGAGCGCGCACTTAATTTTTTTTTAGTTGCGAAAACTTTGACGCCTCGCACACCTCCCTCACCCCATTAGGAATGCCGTGATCTACGAATCATATAGTAAAATCACAAATAAACAAAAATATGTATGGAAAAATAGATGAAAAACGAGAGGGTAAGTCGGAAAAGTCTAAGGATTTGAAAAAAATCGGAAAATCCGCCGATTATTCATAATATCAATTTTTTTAAATCCTTATTGAAGTCATTTCAAGAAGCTCTTGACCAACCTATTCACTAATTTTCGAAAATCCTCTTCCAGATGGAATATCAAAATATTTCCACAGTTTAGTTCAGGATAAAAGTAAAACAATATTAATAAATCCCTAGGAAACCCTTAAAAAATTGAAGAAGCTTATAATTTCCTTTCTCGAGTGATAAGAAGAACTGAAAAAAAGTTGAAATTATTCTTACGAATTGTTTTGCAGTCCTCCATGCCGAAAGTCTCCTACGTCAAGAGTATCGACATTTTTCTGGGTACGTTTGAATTTTTCTATCAATATCTTGCCAAAGATTATTTTATACTGGGTAAATGATGAAGGTGTGGGAGGAAACGTCAGGTTATTCATCCCTAAAAAATTGAATATTCCTTTAAAAAAAATCAACCAAGCTAGGCTTTCCGTATCAGATGAGGATTTTGATACTGAACTAAAATAATGTTTCAATGGTGTTCTGAGCGGGAGAGTGACGGTCGCACGTGGAATGGCTCGGGCGCCCCGACTCAAAACGGCTTGCGCAAAAGCGGCAAGCAATCAGATGAGCGATAAAAAAAAGTTGGGCAAGTCAAAAAGTTCTCTTGCAAGTACAGGATTCAATTGGTTCAGGGGGGAAGGGGGGGGGAATTTGAAAAACTAGGTATAAAAATTATGTTCGAAGCCCAGGGAGGCGGTATCAGCAAAAATGAAATTATGGAGAGGTAGTGCTGATTTTAATTTATGGAAACCGGGAAGGAGGAGTTGGCGGCCTTTGAAAATGTTTTGCTTATAGATAGCTCTGAACCGCAACGCGACCGCGACGCTTCGAGCCATTCCACTTGCGGCCAAAACATTCCTAGTAGCTCCGGAGGAAGTATATTATACAGGGCGACTTCTTATCTTTTTTTTTGATTTTTCAGGATTCTTGGACTTTTCTTAATGTCAGCTTTAAGGTTAAAAATTTGGACGGGATCATGATTTTTTCCAAGAAAATTTCAAAACTTGGAGCCCGATAACGTACATTTCCGTTTCAGTGAAGAATTTTATCCATGATATTAGCTTCATTTGCGGTAAATTCCTGAGACGTAATAGCAAAAAAAATTTCCACTGTTCTTGAAAAAAAGCAAGGATTCAAAAGAAGTTCGATCCAAGAAAGGATCGTTTTTTTTATTGAAGGCGCAAGTAATTTGGCGAAAAAGTTGGAGATCGACGATCTCAGAAAAGTGGCTTGAAATGGTCGGGAAGAACGGTGAAACCCTCTCCGACGACCTTCAGCATGGTCGAGGTTTCTTCACCGACTTCCTGCAATTTTTCGAGATTTTTAAGAATATTTTCAACATTTTTGTTCAACTAGACCGTGGATTTTCTTCACTAGACCGTGTATTTTCGTTCCGTGTATTTTCTTCACTCGAAGTGGTAGCTCTCTCAGTCGGCCGAGGCTACCCTAGAGTGTACACGGCGTCCGTGCCCGAGCCCCACCATCCCCGCCGTGCCCGTACACGCGAAACTGAGGGATCTACTTGTGGAAGAACAGGGCGAAGGACCGTAAGACCATGCTTTCAATTCAATCGAATACACGTTTTGACTTCTTTTTCGCCAAAGGCGGTGTTAGTGCCGCTCAAAAGAGCAATTTTTTCACCGCCTAGTCGATTCCATCGGACTAAAACAACCAATAAATATTGATATTGATTGCATAGACATGAGTCAATCGATCGGATTTCGCTAAAAACAAGACGAAAAAAGGAGATTTTTCGACAAAATATCAAGAAAAAATAATGATAACTCTACCGTGTGAAAAAAGCAATTTTCAAAAAAATTTAAAAAATGCCTATCGAAGCCATAAATTTAAAAAACATTCCCTCAAAAAAATCAGTTTCGCGAAATTTACTCCAGAAAAGAGTCATAAAAACTTTCAAAATCTCAATTTTCTTTCTGAAAAATCGAGAAAAAAGTGTACATTACGACTTGAAACAGTCTGACCTGTCTGCGCCCTCTTATCTCTCCCCTGCAGAAACGAAATAGCACGTAAAAACGAGAGCGTCGCCAGAGAAATCAGGCAGTTTCAAGTTAGGATGTAGAATACATATAAAATGAAAAATTCCCCAAAATATCTCGTTTTACTGTTTCACGACTTTTAGAAAAAAAGTTCTAAAAAGAATCGATAATTCTGTGACAATTCCTAATTGTAAAAATTTTAAATGAAAAATCAGTTTAATGAGTTTGTGCGCTCCATGGATAATCTTGACTTGATGTATTTTGGAGTTGATTTTAGGCCAAAAATCAGTCAAAAAATAAATTTTTTTTTAAAAATGGTTTAGTGTATTCTTGAAAGAAAGAAAATATTCAAAATTGATGAAAAATGATAAAATTATGAACCGCAGAACTGTTGATGCCGATCCATTTCCCATGAGGAAAGTTGTAGATTTTGCCATTGTCGTGGTTCAGAACCATCACTGAGTGCAGGTGCCACCTCCGTTTGTCCGCATCCAAGTCTGGAATTTTTTTTTTGTGAAAAAAGATTTTGAGGACTATTAAAGCGCGAAAAGGTAGAGATTTGCTAAGATTCCAATTTTTCTCGCTTGTGAAAAAACAGCCGTCGAAAAAATGCCGTTCATCAACCTTGTGCGCTCCATGGATAATCATCTTGGTTTGAGTTCATCTTAGGCATACAATTGATCAAAAATACAAGAAAAAGTCGAAATTTTTTCAAAGTTCAGTTTTTTTTCTCACTGCCACCTCAAAACTTTATTCAATGACCTTGTGCGCTCCATAGATAATCACGTTGATTTAAGGTTTCTTTAGGTGCATTTACAAGCCAAAAATTGGACAAAACGAAGCGAAGAGTCAATACTTGTTCAAAGTGAACTTGTGAAAAAACAGCCGTCAAAAAAATCCCGTTCAATAACCTTGTGCGCTCCATGGATAATCATCTTGATTTGAGGTTTTTTTAAAATGATTTGTGAGCCGAAAATTGGACAAAAGAAGCGAAAAAGACAAAATTTGTTCAAATTGAACTTGTGAATAAATAGCCACTGGAAGGGTTCAGTTTAACGAGATTTTGCGCTCTATTGATAATCAACTTGAGTTGATGTATTTTTATTTGATTTTTCGGTTCAAAACTAATCAAAAAGACGCGGAAAAGTCAGATTTTAAGGGTTAACACTTTTCTCGCTTCTGATAAATTAATCGCTCGAAAAAATTCAATTCAGTCAATGTCATTGAAAGTTTGTTTTTCTTCGGATAATGTTCAAATTCAACTCACGTTTACTATCATGAGTCACTTCAACGGTGGAAATGCGGCCGAGACTCGGTTGATTCGTTATAAGGAACAGGTCTGACTGAAAAAAGTGATTTTTAAGACAGTTAGGTTTGAAATCTTCTGGAAGGATTGACCATTTTGAAGCTATCAATTCAAATCTCGGAACAAAATTCAAGTTTCAGACGTGTTTTTCCAGTCGGAAAAGGCTATTTTTAATCCATGGCTTCTTTGACCACTTACATGTCCCCTTCGGAACGATTTTCGATGAGAAAATGTTTGTCGCAGAGTCATCCGATCCGTTTGTCGGCCCTCCTCATCGCTTAACTGAAAAAAAATTTTGAAATTGAGGAAATTAGGAAAATTTTCTGTGGAGTTTTGCATTTTTCAGAGCTCTCTAATTAAACATTTTTCAAAATTTGTCAAGAGAGTGGTAATTTTGCCTGAGAACGCCAAAGAATAGGAGGAAAAATCTTTTTGAGATGGACTTTTTAGAATGAAAATGGAGGCGTATGAATTTTCAGAGAATTTTCGGAAAGGCTAAAGAAATTGAGCTAGAGAGTGTAGAAATCGAGGAGACACGCTGACAAACATTAGTTTTCTTTTTGCTTCTGTGTCTCTGCGCCCTCAATGCTCTCTCGTTGTTTTCTTCCTATTCAAAGTTTCATTGAAGGAATTTTTGGAAATCTTTTGAACATGGAAATGGACATGAGCGAGAGAGTATAGGAATCGGAGAGGCGCCTAGACGTCACCAGTTTGCTCTTTGTGTCTGCATCTCCGCTTTCGGTACACTCTATCTCCTCAAAATTTTTCTTGGAAAACACCTTTTTTTTGAAAAATTATTTTTTATAGAGTTTGAAACTTGAGGAGACGCCAAGACATCGATAGTTCTTTCAACGTCTGCGTCTCTTTTTTTTCAACGCTCTCTCGCTGTTTTCTTCCTATTCAAGTTTTCATTGAAGGAAGTTTTTGGGCAGCGAGAGAGTATTGGAATCGGAGAGGTGCCCAGACATTACCATTTTATCCGATGTCTGTGTCTCCGCTCTCGGTACACACTCTCTCTCTTTTTAGATTTTTTTCTTCAAAAATGCCATTTTTTGAAAAATTATTTTCTATAGAGTTTGAAACTTGAGGAGACGCCAAGACATCAAGAGTACTTTTAACGTCTGTGTCTCTTTTTTCTCAATGCTCTCTAGCTTTTTTTGGTCTGATAGGAATGATTTTTGATGAACTGCAACAATTTTCAATTTTTGAAGACTCAATCTAGTGATTTGTGAACTTTTTTTCATTTCATTTTCAAGTTTTTTTTTTCAATTTTTTGGAAAAATTCTTGAGTTGAAGTTATGATCTTTCCAGTTTTATCAAGATATTTCAATCTTTTGATTTTTTAAATGCCCTGTAATTCACCTGAACTCGGACTATAGCGACGGTGTCGGCATGTTCAACTTCGGAAGTTCGGACGACTATCGAATACGAAGAATGAGAATCTTCATGAAGTGTTGACGCGTTGTCCGAGACCTCCGTAGCCATTTTTGGATCTTCAGAAGCATTTTTGGGAATCATAGATACAATGATCTTTTTATTTTTCTCAACAAAAAAATCTTCATTCTCAGTTAAATAACTATTATCAATACAAGACAATATGTGATTCTGCATGAAAAAATAATAAAACTGAAAAATTTCCTTCAATTTGGACTTTTTCAAAAATTTTCGTAGGATTCTGAAATCTGGAAAGAAGCTTCCAAGATTAAAAAAAATTTTTTTCAACTGAAATGGGACAAAATTCGATAAAACATTCATTTGACACAGCTTGAAGCTTTCTGACTTGTCTGCGCCCTCTTTTCTCTCACCGGCCAAGCTATAGAGCATGAAAATAGCACAGTAACAAGAGAGGGTTGCTAGGGAATCAGATTGATTCAATTAAGTATGAAATTTTTGATGGTCTGTACTGTTTTTAATGTTGTTTTAGCTCAACAGAAATATTTACGAATTAAGATATTTTTCTCTTATGGTTCCCAGTAGGTACACTCTTGTAAAACTAATTTATCAAATTTAAGAAATACGATTTTTTTGACAATAATAAGTTACCAAACTCACCCGGCTCGGATCGACGTCAAGGAATGGTTGGATTCGGCTCATTTTCACGTTTTTTTCCATACTTGAATATGTTTTTTTATCTCACTAACGTCATTAGAAAAAAATGCTCATTATCGAGTGATTGAAGCTCTGACGTCATATTTCGAACGGTGACGTCATTTATTGGACATTTTTTTAGAAAGAAGTTTGGCACTCTACCTGACCCGCTTTTATATCATATTTTTTTATTAGAACCAGAAATTTTTTTACAATTGCGTTTAAAAAGTTCGAGCACATATTTGTAAGCTTGATTTTTAAAGTTTTCATTGATTCTCGTCCGGCTTTTTCTGCAGTGTACTTAATAAATTGTCTGGAATCATTTTTTACTCGGATTTTCTAACTATGACGTCATCTATTGGAGTCGTCGTAGTTTTTAAACTTTTCTAAATTTTCCCGTGTCCCAGCAGAGAATAGACGATGATTTTCAAGCTTGAATTCCAGTGACGTCATTAATTTGAGTGATGACGTCATTTTCTAAAGAAGTCACATACCATCAGGCTTTCCGATTAAATGAAGATTTTAAATTTTTCCTAGTCAATCATTAATGCAATTATTCGATTGATGACGTCATGCTTTATTAGTGATGACGTCAATTATTTGAGTGCAGACGTCATGCTTTTACAAGATTTTCGTGACGTCATTATGAATTATGTTTTCTCTTTCTTGATGATTTATGACTCGACAACTCGACAAGCCATGAGAAAAAGAGCGCGTGATAATTTTTGGGCTTATAGTCCAGTGACCCCATTCAATTAATGACGTCACTGAAAAAAAAAATCACTTTCATTAAAAGCTGTCAGGTTGGAAAATGCTCCTGGGCGATCTATAAATTATTAGAAAATTTTCATTTCAGTCGATTTTTGAGAAATGACGTCACGGTTTTCTGGTTTTTGCGTCCAGTTACAGTCCGTCCCCCGCGACTTGACAGTTTTCGCGAAACATGAGAGAGACGTCGAGAGATAAGGAGGGCACAGAGAAATCCCGCCCCTTCAAGTCGCGAAAAATGGATTATTTTATTAACTCAGTCTTCCTCTTCCTCTGTTTTATGATCTACAACCCGACAAGACACGAGAAAAAGAGCCCGTAATGATTTGGCGGCTAATAAATTCGACACCTGGTCCTCCCTCGTTTCGTCTCAATCGGAAAACGATTAATCGGCCCCGGCCGACAACTGCTCTTTTTCCGGAGCCTTTTTGATTGCCCACACGACTGTCGCCCCCGTGTTAACACGTCCCATCGACAAAGTGATCTCGGAACACGACAAAATGTGGTGTTTTGGGGGGTTTTCTAGGAAAAAATGGCGGGAGAGCCTAAAATAGCGTTTTGGAAAATTTATGTTCAAAAAAGTTGTGAAAAAAAGCTGAACGTACCACTGAAAAGTTACTCTTCACTCAAAATAAAAAAAGACTAAATCTTATTTCCATAAAAATTCCTGGAGGAAAAAAACTGAAAAGAGCGTTAAAATTTGGGGGATTGGGTTTTTTTGGAATTTTGAGAGGAAAAAAATTTGAACAAACAGGGAAAGAATCAAATAAATAACGCTGAAATGTTCCTTGAAAAAAATTTAGAAAAAAATTGGGGTTCGATGGATTTTTTTCGACATGGAATATTAGCTTCTCGAAAACAGTCTTTTGAAGATTTTTTGAGGGAAAAAATCATCGAGAGAACCAAAAAATAGCATTGAAAGGTCGTAAATAAAATTCAGTTTCTCAAAAAAATCAAAAAAAGACCTTCTTCGAGACTTTAGGAATACCTGAAGACGATATAAAAAGAGCTTTCTCGTCAATAAGGCTTTAAAAATAAAGTTTTGCAGGAGTCTGCTTCATGATGGTCTTCTGCTCGTTGCTGGAGTACGCCGCCGTCGGCTACATCAACAAACGGATGAAACTGGTCAAGAAGCGAAAAGAGTCCCGGTAGGGTTACGGTAGCTTTTGGAAAGGCGACGCGGTCGCGTTGCGTTTCATTGAAATTCGTGAATTTTTCGATTTTCTAGTTGATCATGGGAATTCTAAAATCGGTCATAAATAACCTCGAAAATGTGCTTGACAAAAAATTGTCAGGCTTTTGCGCTCCATTGATAATCCTTGAAAAAATCGAATTTTCTCGGACCGTGGTAATGCGAACGTTACGCGAATCGTACGTGTCGGGGAATTTCTAGGGACCACTTTAGTAGCCTCAGAACTCTTAAGTGATCCCTAGAATCGCCCAGAAACGTCCGTTTCGCGTTACCAATGTCTGAGTTCGAGTAACTTTCTCAAGATCGTGGGAAATAACTTCAATTTTGTGGAACCCCAGAATTTTCCGAATCATCTCCATGTGGAGCTTGAAATTTCAGCTTTTTGCCGTCTTTTTTTTCATAGAATCCTCTCAGATCGCTGGATTTATACTTCTTATGGCTCTAGAAAAGTAAAAACCTCAAAATCCGTGTCTCCTAGCTTTATAGCCAAAAATCGTAGCCAATAAACACATCGTATCTTTTTTTCAAGAGCCGTACCATTCCTCCCTTCGTCGCCGCCTTCCGAAGCACCTTCCAGAGCTTTATCAGTCCCCTCCTACTTTCATACCAACGGCTATCGTCCATTTTACTCCTCAACTGACCGATCTTCCAACCTCTACATTCCTGAAGCTCAACGGACGCCAATGATTGTCACGGTAAAGAGTTTTTTTTTTCCAATCTCAGTTGAACCTTTTTTTGTAGACGGACGAGTGTCAGTGCAATTTGACAGTGGAGGATCCGTTTCCGAATCACGCCAGGATGTCCCACGCCTCCGTTGTTTTATTCAAACGTGAGCGAAAAGTTTGGAAAAGGGTTTGAGGCTTCTGAGAGAATACTCGGATACGATACGAAAAAGAGAAAAAAAATTAGAAAATTAATGCGCAAAAGCTAGAGAGTATTAGAAAGCGAGAGACACAGAGAAATAGATTATGAAACTCTGGAGTCTTTAAGAGAAGTAAAAGTTGACGGAAAGCTAGAGACAGCGCGAAAATGAGAGTCGCAGAGATACCTAAAAAATCTTGTAGCTAGAGAGTGCACTGAAATGAGAGACGCAGAGACACAAAGAGTAAAATTTCCTTTATCGCTCTTTTTAAAAACGTTCACAGTTTTCTGTGTGAATAAAAACCGAGTTCTTGAGATCATACAAGTGTTAGAGAGTTTGTGAAAGTAAGAGACGCAGAGCTGTAGCTTATTTTACGTCTAGATAGACTATGAAAATAGTAGTTGACAAGAAGCTAGAGACAGCGCGAAAAGGAGAGTCGCAGAGACACCTAACAAATCTTAAAGCTTGACAGTGTACTGAAGTGAGAGACGCAGAGACACGAAGAAAAAAACTCCCGTACTCACGCTTTTTTAGAAACGTTTATAGTTTTCTGCGTGAATAAAAACCGAGTTCTAGAGATCATACGACGGCTAGAGTGTGTGAAAGTAAGAGACGCAGAGATGCCTAATAAATCTTAAAGCTAGAGAGTGTACTGAAGTGAGAGACGCAGAGACACAAGCAGAAAAAGTTTTCTTTCTAATGCTTAGACCTCTGTTGAAACGTCCTAGTTTCCTGGATGAATAAAATTTTACCGAGTTCTAGAGATCACACGAAATGAAGAGACGCAGAGATAAAAACGGAAATTTTTCAGCGGATCTCCCGAAACGGCAACGTTTCTGCAAGCCGTCGCTTCGATGGTTCCGCCCTTCCAACATCGACAAATATTCCCGCTCAATCTTTCCTACAGTAATCCCTTTTAAAGATTACGGTAGCCAAAAAGAAAAACTTGAAAATTTCCAGGTTTTCGTCATCTTCAACATTGCCTACTGGTCGTACTTCATTCGGATCAGCCAACTGGAAGAACGCCAGAATAATATTCTTTGACCCATTCTTTCCATTCCTCTTGTCTTTTCTTCATAAATTATAAATATACATATTTTCTTTCAATTGTAAATGACCTGGTGCCCGTCGATTCGACTTGAATTATTATTTTTGTTTGAAAATAAAATCAAAAAAAAAAATTCAGATGGTTACACGACGGCGGATATTGACTACTTCTGGGGCAAGAAACGGTCCGATTCCCAAATCACGGCCGTCCGATTCGACAACTTCATGTTGCCCCAGTTCAAGCAGTCCAACTACAATGTCAACATCACTAAAGCCGTCACTTCGTCGGGTTGGTTTTTTGGAAGGTTTTGGTTTTTTAAGTGATTCTTTACGACTTTTTGTACTTTGATCCTTAAAAAAAGGCTCAAAAACGGCTTGTGAATGGTTCACTTAAGCCGTCACTTCATTTGCTTGGAAATTTTTCAAAAATTAGGTCAAGATTCCGAAAATAACATCAGTTTTGAGAGATTTTTCACTATTTTTCGTAGTTTGATCCTTAAAAAAAGGCTCAAAAACGGCTTGTGAATGGTTCACTGAAGCCGTCACTTCGTCGGGTTGGAAATTTTTTAAGAATCCAGGTCAAGTTTCCGAAAATAACATTAGTTTTGAGTGATTTTTAACGATTTTTCGTACTTTGATCCTTAAAAAAAGGCTCAAAAACAGCTTGTAAATGGTTCCCTGAAGCCGTCACTTCATCGGGTTATTTTTAGACAAAATTGAACTATAAGCAAAGTTTTCTGTGAGTGAGCGGAATAAACTTGGAAAAAATAAACCTACTTACCAGGAATAGCCGCGGCAAAAAGTTTGTTGTACGCTCTATTGATAATTTCCTTCAAATTTGAAGGATTTTCAGTCGGTTTCTTAATTCCAAGGCTCCATGGGTGGAAATTAATTTCAGAAAGTAGCTATGAAAACATAGCCATTTTGAGTAGTTACTTGTGCGCTCCATTTAGCGGTGATGAGCAGCTCATTGATAATTTGCATTAGCGGTGATGAGCAGCTCATTGATAATTTGCTTCGAAATGCCGATTTCGATAGTTTTTTTTAACCTTCCTATCAGGCTGATGAAGTGTCCCCTTAAGGGAAAAATCTGATGAAAAAAGCCGCCCTAGACAGTCCCTTCTGCACTCAGACAAGCAAGCAATTTTTTTCTCGATAATTCGAAAAAAATTTAATCAGAAGGTTTGGGGTTTTTTTCAGCTTTACTAAAAAAATTTTTTTAAGAAAAAAATTGTATGAAAGTGTGGTTTCCAGGATTTTTTTAAAAAGCACATCTTTTGCAGGTGAATACGTCCGGCTGTACTTCGAGGTGCTTCTCGTCCGCAACATGGGCTTCTACACGATGAATATTGTTATCCCTTCGATGCTCATTGTCACGATCTCATGGGTTCGTTTGAAATTTTCTGTCGAAAGAACTAAAAAAAATCTTGGAGGATTATACTTTAAAAAAATCAAAACTTTCAGCCTGGTTTCACGATCTTTAAGAGCCTATTCTCTGCAATTTTCCGAATGAAACAATAAATCAACACCCCATTTGAAGCAAAAAGAGCCTGTGGACGCCAAAAATATGTCGATTCCATGGTTTTTGCTCTATTTTTTAGGCCTTTCGGGGGTAAAAATCCGAAAAATTTTTCACTAAAAAGGATAGTATTGATCGATTCTTGAGCACTCATCTCATTTTTAGGTTACACTTCGAAAAAAGTAAAAGTCAAAAAAGTTCATGATTTTTTTTTCCTGAAGAAACGAGTAGTTTTAGGTTTCATTTTGGTTGAATCGGGAAGCTTCACCGGCTCGAGTCGGCCTCGGAGTGACCACTGTGCTGACCATGACAACTCTCATCACTACTACCAATGTAAATCGATTTTTTTAAATCGATTTCCATTGATTTATCGATTATTTTCTATCGATTTATCCAAAAATTTCAGAATTCCATGCCCAAAGTCAGTTATATCAAAGGCCTCGACGTGTTCCTCAACTTTTGGTTTGTTTGATTTTTTTGCGTTTTCATGGATTTCAGAGTATTAGGTTCGATTTACTAGGTGTAAACTTCAAATAGGAGGAGTAAGAGATCAATTGTCGCTGGAAGAGACGGCAGAGAAAGAGGGTGTCTTTTTTTCTCTGGCGTCTCTCATGGTTGCTGCCAATCTCTCTTTGTTCAATGAGTTTTTAAGTTCCAGTCGTAACATCGAAAATGCCAAAGATAGCCTGAGGAGAGGGTAGAGAAGAAGGGCATCTTTTTTTCTCTGTTGTCTCTCATTAACGCTGCACCTCTCTCTTCATTCATTTTTATTTACTCTCAGTCATATCATAGAAATCATCGGAGATAGCTTGAAGAGAGGCCAGAGAAAGAGGGTGTCTTTTTTTTCTCTAGCGTTTCTTCAGGATACCATTGATCTTTTTTTTCTTTCGATCAAAAAAGCTTAATAATATTTCGAGAATGAGTTAGAGAACAACAGCGGCTTAAAGAGACGCCAGACGAAAAATATATCTTTCTCCGTCTCTATCTTCTCTTCAAAGCTTTCACAGTCTCCTCTCTTCAAAATTACCATTCAAAAGGTCAATTTTTCAGTTTCGTGATGGTTTTCGCCTCGTTGTTGGAGTACGCCGTCGTCTCCTACATGACCAAAAGACTAGTCCTGAGAAGGGAAAAGCGTCGGAAAGCCGCCGAACAACAGCAACGGACCGAGATGCCCATGTTCCAGGCCTCTCCCAAACAAGGGAATAATAATGTGGGTTTGAGGAATACAAAGAGGAGGTTTATGGGTTCTGAAATGGTCGAAGTGCTGAAAAAAAAACGACCTAGGAAAGCCAGAGTGGTCCCTAGAGGGGCAACCCTTGAAAGTTCCCCTATATCTGCCACCTTACCGCTTCCTCTAGGGGCCATTAAGGCTTGAAAAAAGACCATTTTAGGGTTTCAGTTAGTGGCCACTCTAGGGAACCTTACTAGTCGATAATGGTTATAAACTCCATGAGAAGAAGCCCTTCATGAAAAATAAACAATTTAGCGCTTTTTGAATGAAACAATGTCATGAGGAATTGATCATGTTTTTCTTATTGAAAAAAAAAGTTGAAACGCCCCTATAGGGGCCACTTGAGCTTTAGGGACTGAGAGGAAAGGCACAAAAACCCTAGAGGGAGCCCTATTTTGTCCTCCCCAGGACATATTTTTCCCCTAACCTCTATAGGGACCACTCTGTCCATTTTATTTTCTTAAAAAGAAGAAACATTTCAATTAAAGGCTTGTTTTCTGCAACCACGCGCACGCAATATTGCACGATTTCAGAAATAAATTTTTAAAAAAAGATGAATTTTTTTGATTTCATGATCTCATGTGACTTTTTTCATTGTACTCTAGTTTTTCGTTACTCCAATGAGAAATTAGGACGCCCGACCCTAAACGGCTTTCACAAAATACACCAATGAGAAGTTAGTGCGCCCGACCCTAAACGGCTTTCGCAAACTTGAAAAAAAGTATGGAACAATTGGGAATAAAAGCGTTTTCGAGCATTTAGGAGGGTATTCTGTTTTGAAAAATATTAATGAACCTTTTTTTGTCCTAATATGAGCTCAAACAACGATTTTAGTCGTACGAAATGGCGATAATGTCGCAAAATTCGACACCAGCAAAGTCTTATGTACAGGTGAAGCATTGGAAATGTCGATATTGTGGTGTTTGTGAAGTTTAGAAATTGTGGATCGGAAAAAAATATAATGAGAAAGTTGGCCTGGGAGAATGGGTGGAGAGAGAAGGGGAAGATTGTAGGGAGCCAGACAGAGAGAGAAATCGCGTCTCTCCTCACTTTCCATGTTCTCTATTCTTCCTCTAGCCTCTGAATTTAGACCGAAAGATAGATATCAGAAACATTTTACCGCTTTACAGAAGAGGAGAGCGAGAAAGTATGTGAAAAGTGGAGAGAACAGACGCATAGAGATATCGGTTCTCCCCTCTTTCCACACTATTTCCCATTTTCCAGCCTCCTGGATTTTTTTTTAGAAATTTAGGCATTTTTTGTCGATCTTAACCTTTCTTTCTTAAAAAGGAAAAAAAATTGGCCATTTCAAGAATATGATAAAACGAGGCAGTGTTATGACAGAGTAGACGTGCAGAGAAACAGAGAAATAGGAGAATGTACGTTTCTGAATAGTTTTAAAGCTGAAAGAAGCCTTTATCTACAATATCTACCACCATCCAAAAATTAATTCAAAAAGAACTCTTGAAACGATACGAGAGAGTGTGTAGACAGTGGAGAGACCCAGACGTGCAGAGAAATTGACTCTCTCCTTTTTCCCTTCTTTTCCTCTTTCGGTGTTGTTCGTGCTTTTTCAAATTATAACCAAAAAAAAACCTTGTATTTTCAGGCCGATCTCTTCTTTGCTGGCCACAACTCGTCGATGGTGAGCGTTTTCTCGAATTTTTGTTGGAATCTTGAGATTTTTTGATGAAGTTTGGGGGGTGCAAGCAACAGTTCAGTCAATGTTATCGCGTTTTCGAGGTAAAAATCTTATTAAAAATCACTTATCGGAAACTTTTTCGAAAAGTTAGCCGTGGAGCGCACAATCTCAAAACATTTCGGCTGTTTTCTTTGTTCACAAATGAAACTTGAACAACCTAAAATTTGGGTCAAATACCATTATTTTTGTTGTTTTTCGAGCTTGAGAATGATTATTTTTGTTGTACCTTTTCAATTGAACCAAAACTCAACAATTTTTTTAGAAAAATAATAACTTGAAATATTTTCGAGAATTTTAATAAATCAGACCGAGCTCCAGTTGTTGTTGTTGTGTCTAAAACTTTTAGTCGAATATAATCAGCCTAAATACCCAATTATAGCCACTTGAAGCCAATTTTTGAACAATTAGCCGAGGAGCGCGTAATCTCAGCGCATTTTGGCTGTTTTTTCTTCATAAGTTGATTGCTCATTTTTCATTTTTTTTTTTCTCCGTTTTTTAATTTTGCCAACGATTTTCAGTCGTATCTTCTCACTTGTATCAAAAAAAAAACTTAAATTTTCATTTGTAGTCATTTCAAGCCAATTTTTCAAAAAATTAGCCGTGGAGCGCACAATTTCGCATCACTTTTTATTCATATGCGAGCCTAGAGGAGTTTACAATTTGATTTTTTTGCTCATAAGAGGAAAATATTGTATGTTGGTTAAAATAAAACCAATTGAATTAGTCAATATTCTAATATTTTCCGGCTTTAAAGAATTTTCCAGTCGAAACTTTTCACATGAACAAGTTTCTATCAATTTTTGTCAACTTAACCTTTTTTTTTCATGAGTCAGGCTTGAGACTCCTCATAAGTGTCTCAAAATTCAATTCACTTCAAGCTTGAAGTTAATTTTTTAGTAGGAGCTTTTCTCCAAAAACAAAGTTTGAGCAACTCTTGTTAGAAACATGGGAACCGATGTTATCTCGAGAGTTTTGCGTGGATCTCTGAATGGCTTGTCAACAACTGTGTGCGGCAATTTGTCAGCCGAGCACGTTTTCCGGGAAGAAAATCCGCCACGAATCCGATCCATCATTGTCAAAAACGCGGTGCGCCTCCTCGTTTCCCTCCCGCCGTCGTGCCAATTTGCCACAAAACGACAAAAGACGTTTCGCGCTCCTACGTTTGATCTTTCATCGAAACAACGGAAAGAAGAAGCAGAGGGACCTGAAAAATGGCCTTTTTTAGCCTTTCGATAGTTCATTGACAGATCAGCGTGCACCCTAAAGAGTTCACTTGGATCTAGAATTCAAGAGATTACATTTACAATTATACATCATTCGAGTCTTGGAGGAATAGATAAGAAGATCTCGTGTAATTGTAGATTGACCAGTAAACTTTTTAAAGACTGAATTGAAATTTGGAAGTGAGAAATTTTTAAAAAGTCATTGGAAAACTGACCCTGAGAACGCAGTCGAAGCGGGCTTTTTGTTCAATTTTGAAGTTTCGGGTGAATTTCTGAGTTTCAGACGATTTTACAACCAGACATTCGGAAAGCTTTGAAAAAAGTATCAAAAAAATATATGAAAAATGGCCTATAAATGCTGCAAGATGGCTTTTTTTTTACCTTTTGGCCTCATTAGCGCTTCCTTTAGGGATATTCATGTAGAATGGGAAAATTGGTTGAGCTACTGTAAAAAATGATCTAATAAAGCTTGAATAAGAGGACTTGGAAATAAAGGCTGCGTTTCCACGCTCCATGGCTGAATTTCAATAAAAGGGATCGAAACTGAACTAGACAGAATAGTGATCACTAAACAACAAAAATGACCCCTGGAATGATTCGAAAAGAAGTCTAGAGGCTGAAAATGATCATACAAGTGCGCTCTATAGATAAAATCAGTTCTAATCTATTCATAAAGCTCGGTAGCGAAAAGGACGTTTCTGAGCATGTCCAGTGGTCCCTTTAGCGGCGTTAGAGCTCTTAAGTGATCCCTAGAACTGCACAAAAATGTCCCATTTCCGTCACCCCGGTCCGAGTTACTCCTTGAACTTTCAAAATTTGGATTTTTTCGGAAAAAATTGAAACAAAGATAAAAAAATCATGAAGTTTGAAAAATATTTCATTCAGAACCCCCTGATGGAGATCCCGGAGAACTGCGACTGTCGAACCATTCCACTGATGCAACATCCGAGGCTCGTCGCCGACAATGCCCATACGCTGTGGCCGGCGCCTTTCGGCAAGCCCAAAAAGGTGGGCTGGAAAGATAGTACGCCCTGCGAAAAGCTGAGTGGCCCCTATAGGGAGATAGTCTGTTTTTGGCTTCTCTGCGCCCTTCTCGTCTCTCGACGACCCTCTCTTGATGACGCGCTGATTTCGCGTTTCTCTGACCTCGCCGTTGAGCGAACAGAGAGACGCAGACATGCGAAAACTGCCAAGTCGCGGCCGACGGGCTATAGATATTTTGAAGATTTATAGGAGGCGTTGATTGAATCGAATGAGTAGCGTAAAGTTTTTGTGACAGTTTTGAAACGTATTTCATCTGTTGATTGCCTTGAATGTATGGTAGAAAATGACGCTTTGTTCAAAAGTTTTATAGAATTTATTCACGTCAAAGGGCGCGTTTTTCGCCGTTAATCTTTCAGCAAGGTCCATTTCAGGCCCGGAAAGTCCAAAATAGCTCTGAATCGTCCAAAAATTCAAAAACTAGCTTTTCGATGTAAATTTTCGGGGACAGGGATTTATTTTGGAGCGCAATAAACACTTTTACTTATCCGAAAATGCCTCTTAGAGCATGAAAAAGTTCAAGCTAGCTGTGAATCGACTATTTGACATCATAAAGGTACTGACCCTTGCGGCGGCGAATGGAGCATTTATTAAGAAAATAACTTCAAAGAAAAACTGCAAGAAAAAAATCTTGCAATAGAAAAATTCTCGAAAAAAGACTTTTGAAACTCGTATTTTCTGTATTTTCGCATATTTATTCAATCGTGTGAGAAAGGAAAAATTTTGAAACCTCCAAAATATTTCATTTTTCGATGACCGTCTGGTCAGATCTATCCAAGCAAGTTAAAGAAGATTTGATTATCAATCTTGATTTGATCCAAAATTTAGTAGAACTTTTTTTGCAATTTTTTTGGTCTTGTTCTTGATTTTTATATCGAGGAGGTTGATGCGCAGTGAAATATTTAGGAGATACGGAGCAGCTAGGAACTCTGATAAACACTTTTTCCAATTTTCCTGTAGCTTTCCAAAAAAAAGGTTGATACAGTTTTATATCAAGAAAAAAAAAATCGTTGTTTTCTCAGAGTACCGTAATCTCAAGGCCCATAGTCTCCGAACTTCGAAAAAAAAACCCCCAATTTTCTTTGCGGAAAACCGAAATTTCAGTGCAAAAAGTTTACAGATTTTTCTCCTCTTTTTCATAATATTTTCCGTTTTTCTTTTTTTGCTTTCGTGTCCTATTATCATGAGCTAAGTTTTTAACTCAAAGGCAATGGATCATTATGATTTTTCAAATTTTCTCTGCGGTCTCGAATTATGGGCATTGGGATTACGGTACTCTGAGATTACGGCTCCGAAGATTTGCGGACTTGAGATAAAGCTTACCATCAGAAAAACGGAAAAAGATCGATCGAAGTGAATAGAAAACTATCGAATTATTGGTAAGCGAAACTGGAGCTCTATACTCGTCAGTCGATGCTCAGCCAATATATAGCCTTGGATACGTAATATTTGCGAAAAAACGAAGAGGGGGACCCTCATAAAAATCATACACTTTTTTTTATTCTAATTATTTATTCAGTTAATGGATTTTTTCCTTGATTCTATTGGTTAGAAACAGCGACCCAAAGAAATTCATAAAAATCACCAATTTTCTAGGCATCCAAGACGTGCTACCAGCGTTGGACGCCGGCCAAAATCGACAAAATCAGCCGCTACGCGTTCCCCCTCACCTTCTCCGTCTTCAATAGTGCTCGAATTTTTCGCCAAAAAAATCAATAAATCGATAATTTTCCAGTCGTCTACTGGATCCTGCTCAAATTCCTCAGCTCCGGCTCATCTGGCCTCGTCCTGGAAGGATGGGCCACCATCGATCTGGAAGATTGAAGCTGATCACTTTTTTCGGTAAGAGTTGATGCGCAGAGAATTTGGGATGATACGGAGTGAATCGTTAGGGTGTTATTTCTGATTTTGAGATCTAACTAGGCTTTGAATCTCGAGACTTGCTTCGAAAGGCTTTTTTCAAATGAAAAAATGGTAGAACCAGTTGATGCGCAGTGAATTTGATTGATACGGAGTGAAAATTTGAATCATCAACTGGTTTTGAGCTCAATTCAAAACTTTTTTCATTAAGCGAAAACAGAATTTATAGTTGATGCTCAGCGAATTCGATTGATACGGAGTGAAAAAACTGACTCTTTAACTGGTTTTTTAGCGTTTTCTGGAAGCAGAACACAATGTTGAGCTGCGAAATATAAGTCTAAACGTATATTTTAGTCGATGCGCAGCCAATTTAGTTGATACGGAGTTCACCTTAGTAAAAAGTCGCTGCGCAGCGAAATGTCAGCTTCAGCTTCTGCGTCTTGATTTATTTGTTTTTAGATGAGTTTACTGTTTCTGAACTTTCATAATTCATGTAATAGATAACGAGAATTCACGAAGGAGAATAGATTCAGCTGATGCGCAGGAAAATCTTGATACGGAGCCGAGAAAAAATGAAATTCTTCCAATTTTAACTGATTTTTTTTGAAGATTGATACGGAGCCGATGCGCAGCGAATTCCAACGACTCCACACACACCACCACCACCAACACCATCCGAACCCCCTTCTTTTTCTTCATATTTCACTTATTCTCTCATTTTTCACCGTCCAAAATAGCCGTTTTTTCGTATTCTCAATCGATCTTTTCTCTGAACCCTGGTGCGATCAATGACTTTTTTTCGATTTTTCAAAGCTTCCCAGTGAAATCTAGTCCGCTAATTGTGTATGTAGTGTGAATTTGTGTGAGTCTGAGTGTGTGTGGAGTGTTGGATTGGCTGAACCCTTGAGGGACCCCTTGGAAAATTTCCGAGTAGTTGAAAAAAGTTTTGCGCGTGAGTTTGAGGTTTAAAAAAAATTAATCAAGATTTTCACAAATTTTCAAGTGATCACTTTAGAACCAGATAATCTCACAGGAGTAGGGAACTTGGAAAGGAGGATCTTATCATTGTCAAGTGGCCACTTCAGGGCTAAAATGGTTGGGAAATATTAGAGAAAAAGTGGTCACTTGAGAGCTTATCCTTGTTCTTTTCATATTCAATAAGTTGAAGGGTGAGAAATCAATTACTAAAAGTGACCCCTTGAGGGATTTTTGACAATTTTAAGATTTTTCGGAGCGATTTAATTTTATTTCAATCGGATAAGTTCTTAGTGTAAGCAGAGGTTTGAGAAAAAAAGGTTTAAAAAAATCGTCGAAATTTCAAATTTTTTTATTTTTAGGTTTTTTTAAAAAAACATATATTTTTTTGGATCTCTGGAAACGATTTTTCAAGCAGTGTGAAAAATATAATTTTTCTTTTTCTGAAGGGATTCTTAGAGATGAAAAAAATTAAGTGAGCCCTAAAGGGACCTTGGAACTCTGAGAAGTTTAGGGAAGATTTTTTTATTATTTTTGGAAAAAAAGTTCTTCTTTCAAAACTCAAAAAGCTTAGCTTGGCTTTTTTTGGACGAAAAAGATGAAATTTAAGAGTTTCAAAAAAATAGTTTTTTTCTTGTTTAAAAAAAATATGAATCAGTGCTTAAAAAAATATGTCACCTACTTTTACAGCTTCAAAACTGGAATTTAACTGTTTCTGAAGCAGTTTTTGCAGTTTTTGTAATTCAAATGACATAAGTGGAGAAATTTTGACATTTTTAGGGACCCCTGAAGGGATTTGGAATTTATCATTTTCTTTCAAAAATTTTCTGAATTTTTGATTTTTATGACCCATAGGGAAGTTTCACAGCTCCAAGGGATCACTTAAGCGTCAGATAAAGCTTTTTTTCAAATGTTTTTGAAGGCCTTTTAGTGGCTATTTCCGCTAAAAATCGAATCAAGGTGATTTTTGGGAAGGTGAGGCTAATTTGAGGATTTCAAAATTATTTTCAGAAGTTTCATATTTTTCAAAAAAACACATGGAATTTTATTTCAATGACATTTTTTTGAGCATTTTTTTCAAATTTCAGTGGCTTTTTCCTAGAGAATTTCGAATTAAAAAAAGCTGTGTTTCTTCTCTTTTTTTCGATAAGAAGAAATCTACAGTATTGAAGCCTCCAAATTCATTCAAGAAGAGTCGATGCGCAGCCAAATTTTACAGTTGAAAAATTTTTTCCCCAAATTTACAAGCCAATTTAACATTCCCCACACACAAGTTAGCTGTATCAGCTACAGAAAAAAATATTTCTAATAGTCCCGAATTTTCTTTTTTTTTAATGTTTCGTTTCGAACATAATCAACGTCCAAATGTGATTATTTGTCGTGCAGCCGCTCCCGGAGGTTTGGGCGCAGCCGGGAAAGGCCTCGACTTTGAAAAAAAGGTCGTTGGTTCGATCCCGCTCGCCGCAAACTCAAGGACATCTTTTTTTGCTCAATTCCAATCATTTTGTCACACCGCCACACGAACCTCTTGTGTGTATATACCGTTGGTTCCCCTTGTTTTAGGCAATTTTTTTTTCACGTTGTTTTCATGGGTATATTTCTTCCGATTTGTCTTCTTTTTTTTCTATGATAAATTTTTTGCAATTCTTGGAGGGGAATAAAGAAAAAGAAAAAAAAAATTTAGACGGTTATTCGACGGCCGACGTCGAATATCACTGGTGCGACGCGGTGACGCAAGTTTGCACGAAGTCCGTAAACACCGAGGCGATCGAGTTGCCCAGCTACAAATTCGCTCAAGTCTGTGTCGGGAGGACTATGGCCACCACGGCTTCTGGTGAGAGTTTTTGAATAAAAAGCCTTATCTTTTTGGGAAGAAAAAGGAGCTCAAAATGAGATTTTCCTTTGACTTTTTGCGAGAAAGGAAAAAAAGGCTTGAAAAATTAAATTAAATATATTTTTCTCTATGAGCTTCTTTTTTTCAGAGAAAATTACAGAAATAATAAATTTGAGGAAAAGATGCATTTTTTTGGGATTAAATTGATATTTTTAGACGAAATTTTTCGTTTGAAAATGTTGTGAAAACCAATTTTTTTCCAGAGAAATTATATCCTAGGATTACTGTAATTCAGCTTGGTGCATACACTTTCTATTGCGGACAATGCACATCCTCACGACAATTTTGTTTCTTTTTTGCTTTTTATTCCGAATTCGTGTATTTTTTTGATTTCTTTTTCATTGAAATACATACAGTTTCCTATCAAAAAAATGGGATATTTTTGATTTCGCACAGATATTCAACGCGACTACGTTTTTTTATTGTGATAAAAGAGCCACAGGTGTCATGAATCGTGAAACTAGTTTTGATTGCAGATTCAGATGATTTCTTAATCGAATTCCTGTTTTCAGGTTCCTACTCACGACTCATTTTGAACTTTATTTTCGACCGGGAAAGCGGCTTTTATATGCTCCAAATCTTCTTGCCGGCTGGTCTCGTCGTTGTTATTTCATGGGTACTTTGAATTAATCAAATTATTGATTAGTTTGGAATTTTCAGGTATCATTTTGGATCAGCCGCGACTCGGCTCCTTCTAGGACTATTATTGGTTAGTTTTTTTTTTCTGGGATTTTAGAAGTGTTTAAATTTTATAGGCGCCATTTTGAAATGCGATATTACACAACTATTCGTTGATGGTATTGAATTGAAAATTTTCGAATGCTTATTTTTAATGGGCTTGAAATGGGGATGTCATTTTTAAGTGTTTTTTTTTTCAAAATTGGCAATTTACTCTTTTTGAGCTGTCTATAGGAACCACAGCAGATCTTTAATGAAAATTGTTATTTTTTATATTATTGCGAATTTTTAGGCGTTTTATCAAAAATCAGATAGATTTTCTTATGTTTCCAAGTTTTTTTTTCTCCAGTCGAATTTTGAAAAAGTCTGGATTTGAAGAGCAAATTTTTAGTACAAAAATGGCTTTTTCTCGAATTTCTAGCAGTTCTATAACGGAAAAATAGCTCGATTTTTGGTTTTAGAGCATTTTTTTCTTTAATAGCAGCCGCTTTGAAAAGTTTTTTTCCAAAGATTTTTTTAAAATTTTTTTGACTTTCCTGAAAGAGCTGCTATAACTTTACCATTAGAAAAGTCTTCCTATAACTTTTTTTTTCCTGGAAATTTAAGAAAATTTTGCTTCAAATGGCTTTGAGAGACGAAAATTTTGAGCTGCGAAAATTGAGCCTAGCCATAAATTTTTCAGCCAATGCGCAGCCAATTTAGTTGATACGGAGTTCTCCTAGTTAGTAAAAAGCCGCTGCGCAGCGAACTGTCAGTTTCAGCTTCTGCGTCTTGATTTATTTGTATTTAGATGAGTTTACTGTTTCTGAAAAATGATAATTCATGGAGTAATCAATCTTGCCGGAAAAGTTTAGTTTAAACATTTTGCAAATCTAAGCCAAACTAACAGTTTTTGCTCGAATTCCGAATACTTTTCCACGAAAAAAGTTGATTATCACCATTTTCAAGGCGTCATGACGGTCCTAACGGAAACCCACCTGATGACCGGAACCAACCGACGTCTCCCACCTGTGGCCTACGTCAAGGCGGTCGACGTTTACCTCGGCTTTTGCTATCTTCTCGTCGTCCTGGCCCTCATCGAGTACGCCTGCGTCGCCTATTCTAAAGCTAGTTTTTGACCATTTTTTCAAGATTCATGTAGAAAAATTGAATTAAAACAGCTTCAAGTATTCTGAAAAACTGAAATAAAACCTGTCATAAGCCATTTCTCGACGGAAAACGCGCTCAATGGATAATTGATTTTTGTGCTTGATTTTCGAGTTTCATGTAAAAAATTTGAGTTGGAGCAGCCGCAAAGAGTCTGAGGAGCCAAAAAAAACTTGTTCGAAGCCATTTTTCGACGGAAAACGCGCTCCATGGATAACTGATAATTTTTCACTTTTTTCGAAGATTTTCAAGTTTTATTTGGAAAATTTGTGTTAGAACAGCCTCAAAGAGTCTGAAAAGCCAAAAAAAAAAAATTTTAAATGGTCCAAAAAACCACCCTTGTGCGCTCCATGGATAATTGATCATTTTTTTAAAGATTTTTCTACTTGATTTTCAAGTTTTTGTAGAAAATTTGTGTTAGAACAGCCTCAAGTAGTCTAAAAAGCTAAAAAAAAAGTTCATAAACCATTTTTTGACGGAAAATCCCTTTTTTTTTTGTCATTTCCACACGTTTTTAGAGACCTAAGAGACCTCAGGCTTCATGTCGTGAAAAAGCATAAAATGGCCCAAAAAAATTATAGCTCCATGGATAATTAAAAAAACCATTCTTTCAGCTTTTCAGTTGAGAATAACTTATTTCAAACTTCATTTTGAAGCTTTTGCCGTGAAATTTTTGAAAAAAATCCTTTTTTATATTAGGTGCTTGAAATTTGAGATAAAAGAGTCTCGAATAGTTTGAAATGCCTAAAAAAAGGTCTTTAACTTTTTTTCTCAGGAAATTTATCTTCCCATGCGTTTTTTTCCAGTCATTCCAAGCTGGGCTTATCGAGAAAAAGAAAAAAACTGGCAAAAAAATTATTCTTGTGCGCTCCATGGACAATTGAAGTTCGATTTTTTTCAATATACACATTTTTGAGTTCCAATTCATTAATTTCGCTCTACAAAGGGCGTTTTTTTGAACATATAGCCGGGATTTTTTTATTTGGAGCAGTATAAATCTTTTTTTGTGGAATTTTTTTGTTTTTAAACTTCTATTTTTCTAATTTAATCATAACAGAAGCCTCGAAAACCACGGAAAAAGGTAAGAAAAAGGCGGCTTTTTCGCTTCGCTTTCTTGTATTTGATTCGTATTTTTCTGATCGTTTTGTGAAGCTTCTTTTGAAATTGAGAGGGTATAGTCCGTCCGCCGCGACTTGACAGTTTTCGCGTGTCTGCGTCTCTCTGTTCCCTCACCGGTGAGGTCAGAGAAACAAGAAAGTAGCACGTGAACATGAGAGGGTTGCCGAGAGATAAGGAGGGCGCAGAGAAGTCTTCAAGTCGCGTGAAACGGACTAGTGCAGCATTTTCGTTTCAATATCCCAGAACATTCCAGAAAAAGAACGAGGACCGACGGCGGAAAGAGAAGAAGTTGGAGCACAAGCCGGCTCCGCCCACACCGGACCTCTTGCATGGTGAGATTACTGTTTTGAGAGAAGTATTTCAGAAGTTTAAATCTTCTTAAGTCGGTTGTAAATCGCTACTGAAAAAAAAACAAAAGGATTTTAAGTAGATTTTCAGAAAAGCCAAATTTTTAGTGGCTTTTGGCAAATAGTTTTGAGTTTTCACACTTGTTTTTTAACTTAAAATTGCCCAAAATGCTTTAATTTTTTTTGAAATATAGCTGGAACTTAGCAATTTTGAACACCTTGATGTCAACTGCATGCCATTTCTTCAAACTTTTTTTTAAAAGTCTTTTGAATTTCATTTCATTTCAAGTCGACTTCGTGACGCCTCAAAAAGGCCACATTCCACGTTTCCGAAAAAAAAAGTTTCTATTAAAAAGTCTCACTAGGAAAAGTTTTTTCCCAACCCTTTACTTGTCAGACTCTTTCTACTGAGAATCTCCAGAGTGGTCCCTGTAGGGCCTCTTTAAGGGCCCCCTCTAGGGACCACTTTACTGATCCTTATAGCTACCCTTAGAGCTTGCGAAAGTGGTCTCTATAGGGGTTTCAGTTAGGGACGACTTTTTTGTCCCCTATGTGGACTGTTTTTTCTCTTGACTTCTATAGGGACCACTTTAGGATTTCTAACCAGGGAACGTTTTTTTACCCCCGGTTGAACTTTTTGCTGAAACTTTGCTGAAGTGTACTTTAGGACTCCTTGATTGCAGATCAAGAAAACAACTTATTGCAATGGATCTCGTTTTCGAGTTATGGAGCTTCAAAGTCCACTAAATATCCGAAAAAAAGGGACAAAAAAGCGTAATTGTTCTTTTGGGCTGTCCTAACTCGAAAACGAATTTCAATGCGAGAAGTTTTCTTCTTGTTCGGGAATCAGGGGGTCTTAAAGCACACTTTAGCAAAGTTTCATCAAAAGTTCAACGGGGGGCGGGGAGTAAAAAAACTTTCCCTAGTAAGAAAAAAATTTGTCGCCGACGATTTTTTTGAAAAAAACTGATAAAGTATAAGACTGTTTCAAACTGTGAATGATAAGTTATGTTTGAATATTATCATTATTGATAGATTTTTCGATTAGCCATGAGACTTTTCAGACGCCCGCCTCGCCGAATGCACCTGCAACGTCGAGCCAAGCTCGATAATCGCCGTCGTTCAGCAGAAAAAGAACCGTTACTGTGTCCGCCATTCACACATTGATATCGCCAGCCGTGTCCTTTTCCCAACTGCCGTTCGTTTCTTTTAAGACATTTTATAACCCACTAGTGGCTTATTTCAAAATCCAATTTCGGGCCTGAGTTCTATTTAATTGAGTTAAAAGAAAAAATCTAAACCTATATGGTCTGGAAGAACATTTCTCGAGCAAAATAGGGAAATAATATGTTCGGAAAGAAACTTGATTTTTTTTTTTGGTTCACGTCAAGTTGATAAGAAATAGAATCAAACTGGGTTGGTGTTTTTAAAAGTGAACAAAAACGACTTGAAAAAGAGATTGTCAATGAATTTATAATGCAAGAGGTTCAAAAAAGCTTACAAGGGCTTTTCAAATTCAACTAGAGGAAAAAAGCCCATTCTCTGTTCCCTCACCAGCGAGGTCAAAAAAAAAAGAACTTGAAAAAACTCAAAAACGAACAGAAAGGCTTTTTTTTTTCGAAACTCATGTGCTTTTTTGATAAAATTTACCTTTCAAGAGAACGCATGCGTCTTTGAAAAGCATGCGCTCCATGGATAAATTTCCAATTTTAATCGGAAAAGCTCAAATAAATGACTTCTGTATGCTCAACAAATGATGAGCCAAAAAAACCTCAAAAATATACACAAAGGCTATTTTTTCGGAAATCATGCGCTCCATGGATAAATTCTGCATTTCAAGCGAAAAAGCTCAAAAAAATGACTTCGGTGTATTCAATTACCTTTAGATAGCCTTAAAATTAGATGATCATTGAATTTTCAAGCAATGGGTCCTGACAGGATCGTTGAGAATTACTGTAAAATCGAGGGAAAAAAGATTACTGTACAGAAAACTTCCAAATTTCGACTTTTTTCAGAAAAATTTCTTCAGTTCAAAAACAGAAATGGACTATTTTTCAGTTCATCGTGTTCAATATCCTCTTCTGGATCATCCTCTTGGCCAAAGCGAAAAGATTGCCTTACTACAGTGAGACCAACGTCAGCCGGTGCTGAACCCCCGCAACTGCTCAACTCTTTGTTTTCCTCTTTCATTTTAATAATATTTAATTTAAATGTATTTTTTTATTTATTTAGGGGCATGTTATGTAACAAAAAAACAGCAAGAAGTAACAAGAACAGGAACAATGCATGGAAAAATATTAAGCTATAGAAATGCATGGAAAAGTCAGTATAGAGCCATCAAAAAATGGGTCCTGACACGATTAGAATAGAAATAGTGACTGGTTGGTGGAGAGCGCAGACAGGCCACGCCCCTCAAGCTAGCCTTGTACTCAAAAAGCCAAAGAATGCATGGAAATATTAATTTTGAGAGGATGGCTTGAAAAAATGACGAATTTGAACTGTTATTGATTTTTCTAGCTTGAAAATAGTCTGAAACGGAGAGGAATTCGAAATAGCTTAAAAAAGCTTCTTACATAAATATTCTAGAAAATTATAGACCCCGTCCAGCAAAGTCTTCAAGCTATTTTGATTGATCTGATTTTTGATAAGGCCTATTTTTTCATAATTCAAAAGAACCAGTTCATTTTGAAAAGAACTACAAAGAAAATGATAGAAAGAATTATTTTTTTTTCGATTCGAACTCTTCAAAAATCAAAAAATAAAAAAGTACAGGAAGTGTTTGAAACTCGAGATTTTGGCTTTTTTTTTCAATCCGATCGGTTTTTTTTCTGAGAAAACTGCACAGGGAAAAAATCAAAAGTCCGTTTCAAGCATGCAAAACGGTCGAGGAAAAAAATTATCAAAAAAAGAAACAAACTCGAATAAGGCAAAAAAATACAACCAATAAGAAATGATTAAGTAACAAGACGTAGAGCAATATATTTCAGAGGCGAAGGACAAAAAATGAACCCGAAAAATCAGCCGCCATGAAGCGTGGAGACAAAAGTGACCGTATCGCCGTCCTCCAACGGAGTGTCGTACTCGGAAAGGAGGGCCGTGTCGCAGTCGTTGATCAACGTTATCACGCCGTTGGCTACTTCTGTCACGTCGGCGTTGAACAAAAGATTCATCCGCGCCTTGTCCGTCACCAGCTTCTCCGCCACTTCTTTCAGGACGTCCCGCAGCAAGGAACCTGAAAAAACTTTTGAGTCAAAATTTCAGTTCGTTTGAACGTGACAGAGGTGGCCAAAACGAGAAAAATTTGACTAAATCGCGAAATTTATATATTTATATACAAACCTTCATTAAATGTCATTTGATGAACCTTCTTCCCGTCGACTAGAAATTCGGAACCACCAGAGAACTCGACTTTGATGTTCAAACTCATTTTTTCCTGAAATCAAAGAAAACAAGGAAAATCTCAATGCGCAAATACAACAGCGACCTTATAATTCATCATTTCACAACGAAAAATAATCAAATGAAATTCTCCCTACATCTATTTCGTGAAATCCCAAATTCTCCCTACATCTATTTCGTGAAATTTTGTACTAGTGTGTGAGAAATAAAACATTTTGATTTTGATTTGAAATAGAAAACAAAAAAAAAGCGAAAAAAGAAACTTTCGTAATTAGCGGCGAGGAAAGCGCGCTCGAATGCACTTTTCAAGCCCCTTAAGAAGCTTCTTCCGCCCTTCTAGTGGCCATTTTAGAGCCAATCACTTGTTGGATTTTTTCTATTGGCCATTTCTCACTTTATTTCATATCTTCGTTCTGATTTCTTGTTTTCAAAGCAAAAATGGATGCTGATGATCTTTTTGGCGGGGGTTTGAGTGAGAGCAGCGATGAAGAAGGCGACGTCGAGAGCCACAAAGAAACTAGATCGTTCGTTTTTTTATTTTCAGATCTTTTCCATGATATTGTGGATTATAGAGAAACTCCCAATGAACTATCCAATCAAGCTTCAAATTTAACCGAAGGAGATACGACTTTAACCGAGGGGAGGCCACCGAAAGTAAATTTTAACTTTAATAGGAGGAGGCAAAGATGTTCTGTTGAGATTTTGATTGAACTTGGCTAAGTGGTACTTTGAGACATCCTGGTTTCAGATTAGTTGAAAAGAAATGCATATTTGGCTTTTTGATAGTTATGACAGGTTGAAGCTTGAAATTTGCTGATTTTGAAGAAGGAGAGCGGTTTTGAGGTTTTCTAACTCTACTAAAAAGCAAAATATGAAGTTTTTCTCAATAGATTCAGAAAAAAGATGTCTTAAAGAGCCTCTCAGGCAAGTTTAATAAAATTTTAAGAATCTTTCAAGCTTCCAATCTTTAAAAAGTTGAAAAAATGTTTGTTCCTTCAAGGTTTCCTTCACGATTTCCGACGAATCGGCCGAAGATACCATGGATATGCCGGATTTCGGGATGTACACTGGAGCCTCGTCGAGTTCCACGACTTTTCCGAGTGGTTTTGGTGGTTCTGTGAAAAGAAAAGTCGGGGAAAAGATTTTTTTTTCGTGAAAATTATGAATTTCAAGGCTTCTCCGCCGCACGCCGAGGTGAAAAGAATCAAATCGGAGAAAGATTTGGGAGTAGATTCTTCTACTTCTGTTGGTTTCCATGAGGTATAAAAAAAAAACCAAAAAAAAGGAAATTTGAAAATTCCAGGCTTTGAACCTGCTCAACGACCCGTCGATGGGCCTTTTCGCCCAGCCAAATCCGGTTCCGGTCAAACCGCCGGTCGTTGAAAATAAAATTAAGGATGAACCGAATCTTGTCATGGTTTTATATCAAGGTAAAAAAGTACCATCTCAATTTTTAGGAGCCGAAAGCTGAAAAACAGCCGAATAACCTGGAAAAAACGGCCAAAATCAAAGAACCGGCGGTGAAATTCGCTGATGATGTGATTGATAATGAGAAACAGCCGAAAGAAGGTTTGGAATTGAGAAAATAAATAAAAATTCAAGCTTTCATATTTTTAGAGAGCTCGAATGAACTTAGAAATGAAAGTTTAAAAAAAAAATTGGTAGATTTTTCTGTTTTTTATTATTTGAACTTTAGCTTTTTTTAAATTTTGTATGATTTCTCAGCTTTTTTTCCATTGATTTCAAGTTTATAGATTCTTGAAATTGAGAAAATAATTGAATTCTCGAGATTGTATGTTTTTTTAAAGTGCTTGAAATTTTTCCAGAAGTAAGTGAATTCCAAAAAAATAAAAGTTTTGTTAAGAATTTCCATTTTTTTCAGCCTTTTTTTGTTCAGTGTGATTTTTTTCAGCTCTTCGTTCATTGATTTCAAGTTTACAGACTCTTAAAATTAAAAAAACAATTGAATATTCAGGATTGTATGTCTTTAAAATGCTTGGAATGTTGCAGGAACTTAAAAAATAAATTTTTTTCACAATATTTTTTTAGTTCTTTAGCCCACTTTTTTTGTACTGTGTGATTTTTTTGAGCTTTTCATCTATTGATTTCAAACTTAAAGATTTTTCAAAATTTATAAAAAGTTGAAAAATTTTTTTCGGCTTTTTCTTTCATTAATTTCAAGTTTAAAGTTTTTCCAAAAAAACTGATAAATAGTTAAAAAGTTCACAATTGTATGTTTTTTTAAAGTGCTTGAATTCTTCCAGAAGTTCAATAGAAAAAAAACTTTCGGTATTTTCAGTACTCAAGCATATTTTTTTATTCTGTGTTATTTTTTCAGCTCTTGATCTATTGATCTCAAATAAAAAAATAAGATATTTTTTTCTACAGGATGTTCAAAAAAATTGATACAAAAAAATTAAAAAAATCGGAACCTTTCAATTTTTTTAATTTTATATACAACAATCTTCATTTTTTTAGAACACTTTTTCTAAGCTTCATGTATTTTTCTACTTTTTTTCTTTTTTTAAAGATGAATTTTTCTGTTTCAGAAACTCCGGACGAGCCCGGACCTTCCACGAGTCGTCGGTCGATTTTGAAACGAAGAGAGCCGGCCGAACAAGAAGATGAAGATGAAGAGGTTCGTGCTTATTAAAATGCGAAAGTTTTGCGGTTCCTGAACTTTCAACATAAATTTTGTGAGAAAAATTGGCTTCAATCGCGGTCTTTGGTCAATTTTTGAACTGATACTGTAAAATTTGAGCGGCTAGGCCAATTTTAATTGCATTTTTGGCCGATTTTTGAGTAGAATCAGTAAGATTTTTTCCAAAAAAATGATATGTAATATCTTTTGGTCGGATTTGGAACTAATAGAATTGAACTTGTGCAAAAAGAAAATTCCAGAATGAACTTTTGGTTGATTTTTGAGCTAGTATAGTTGAAGTTCTGCAAAAAGATTAATTTAGAAGCAGATTTTTGTTAATTTTGAGTTAAGACTCTATAATTTAAGCAGAAAAGCTTTTTTTTTCCCCAGTTTTCGGTCGATTTTCGGACTAATTTTGATGAAAAAGACTTTTTTTGAAATGCAGTTTTGGTTGATTTTTTTGATTAAAAAAAGTAAAAATTTGAGCGAGAAGGTCATTATAAATCCAAGTTTTCGGTGGATTTTTGAAGTTTATTCAGTTGATATTATGCTGAAAGTCTATTTTAAAAGCAGTTTTTGGTCGATTTTTTTAAATCAGAGAATAAAATTTGTACTGTAAGGCCATTTTTCAATCTCATTTTCATCGATTTTTGAACTGAAATTTAAGCGAAATGCGTGAAAATGCGAAAAAAAAATGGATATCAAGTTGTTGTCGAGTTTTGAGTTTATATAGTTGATCTTATGCGGAAGGAATAATTTTTAAAGCGGTTTTGGTTGATTTTTGGCTAATATAGTTAAAATTTTCCCAGAATATTTTTTTTGATCGCAATTTACGGTCGATTTTTGAGCTATAACAGTGGAATTTTAAAGGAAAAGTCGTTTTGGTCGCAGTTTTCGGTCGTATTCAAGCATATATAACTGATTTCATGCAAAGAGACTCTTTGTAATACAGTTTTTGTCGATTTTTGAGTTCAAATATTGAAATTTGGATGGAAAGGCCATTTCTAATTGCAGTTTCTGCCCGATTTTTGAGCTGAAAGACCATTTTTAATCGCCTTTTTCGTTCTTTGTTTATGTGAAAACTTGAATCATTCAATTTTTTTTTTCCAGGAAGACCTCCATGATATGCCAATGAGCGAGGAAGACGAACTGTCGCGTTTGAAAATGCAGGTTTTTCAAGTAATTTTTACTTTTTTTCATAGAAAATAATCTTCAGATCCTCATTTCCAACTTCTCGCAAGAGCAATTGAACCGCTATGAGGCTTATCGAAGGTTAAATTAGAAATGTAAACAGATTTTTAAGGTCCTCATTCCAAAAATCGACGATCCGAAAATTGATCACCCAATATACGGGGCTCAATGTCGGCCAGAATGTCGTTATTGCCGTTGCTGGACTGGCCAAAGTTGGTTTTTTTAAAAAGAAAAAAAGGCTTGAAAATTCCCAAAAAGTTTCAGTATCCAAAATATTCTATTTTTTTAACCTTTTTCTTCATTGGAAAAACGTCTGAGAGCGTGAAAAAAATTGAAATAGTTGGTATTTTTTTAAAGAAGTAGTTCCAAATTGATTCTAACGGTAGGACAAACTGAAAAAAATTAAACTTCAAAAAAAATTTAATTTTTGGCTCTATTATCGTTCAATATGCACTATATTGCTGAAAGTGGGGAGCTTAAAGTTGAAAGTTATGAGAAAAACTAATTTTTTTTTGTTGTTAGTCCTTGTGAAAATATTTTTTATTAACTTCACTCTTTGGAAGTTCGTGTGAAAAATGTGTTTCAGCGGTTTTTTTCGCGTAAATTTGAAGGAACTCGCTTGAAAGGGTGTCAAAATGTAACTATAATTCTATAAAATAGTGCTTTATTCCCTGTTATTTTAAAAATATGTTGTGAAAAAAGCGCAATTGTGGCTGGATTCTAGTTTTTGATTTTTAACTTCCATGTATTTTTTGAGTTTCTATAGTTTTCCAATGAGTTGACGTCCTTTGGATTTTTATTTTTTCCCTTAATTCGGATTCATGAATAAGCACAAATTAATTGTTCTTTTTCGAAGTTTTAAACTGTATTGTTTGATTCTTGAACTTGCATTCCACCAACTTTGAATTTCCAGGTTTTCGTTGGAGAAGTCGTCGAGGAAGCGTTGGATGTTCGTGATGCGTCCGGTGAGAATTTCGCTTTTTTCTAATATAATTTTTGAAATCTCTCTAATCGAAATAAAAAAAATGAGTTATTTCGATGCCTTTCCACAGAATTTTAGCCTTTCTTAGGAAATCCAGAGTGGTCCCTATAGGGGCAATCTTAGAAGCCTCTATAGGGAGCACTTAAGCAACCCCCTATAGGGGCGAAGAAGCGTTTCCCTGCCAAAACTAGGAAAAATAACCATTTTTGAAGAAAATTGAAGGACCACTATAGGGGCCACTTTACCAGCCCCTATAGGCGCTACTAAAGCTTTAGAAAGTGGTTCCTATAGGGGACATGCTAGTCGATGATTTTTATGTACTCTATGCGAAGAAGTATTTCCATGCGAAAACTTAAAAAATAACCTTTTTTTTTAACAAAAATTGAAAGACCCCTATAGGGACCACTTGAGCTTCAGGGGCTAAGAGGTCAGACCTTAAACCCATCTAGGGACCACCTTGATTTTAACCCCTATAGGAGCCACTTTTTCGGCCCCTATAAGGGCTGTTTTACCCCCGAACCGCTATATGGACCACTTTAAATTTTCTGTAATTCCTCAAAAATCAAAATTTTCCCAGGAGAAACATCGGAACCATTGAAGCCGCACCACATCCGGCAGGCCTATGCAGAATTGGCCCGAAAAGGAAAACTCTATCCGCCCATCGGAACCCGTGAAGGACACGTCGAATGAGAAGAATTATCAATATTTGTACTGTATATTTGGAAAAAATGAATTTTTTATGATTTTTTTTGGGTTTTTTGTGTGTGTTTTGAGCGTACGAGAACGCTTCTTGATTTTTTTTTCAAGTTTTTAAAAATTTTTTGTGGTTTATCGGTCTTGGTTCCTCAAGCTGTTTTAACGTCTCAAAGTTGGAATAATAGTTTTGAAATGAGTAAAAATTCTTTAAATTGAGATAAATGTGTTTTTATTATAGTGTTTTTGTGTATCAGTTCAATAATTTTATGATTTTTGAAGAGTTCTAATTCAAGACGACTTTTTTTTCTTTAGATTCAGGTTTTTTTTGTTTTTTTCTTCTTTTGCATTTTGAAAGCCCAATTTTAGTGGATTTTAAAGTTCTTAGGAATACCAGAGTGGTCCCTATAGGGGTTGGGGGAAAACGACCTATGTAGGCCGAAAAAGTGTTCTTTTTAGGGGTAAAATCTAGGTGGCCCCTATAGGGGTTTAGGGTCTGATCCCGTAGCCCCTAAAGCTCAAGTGGTCGCTATAGGGGTCTTTCAATTTCATTCAGTTTTTTTTCCTATGGAAATTTTTCTTCGCTTAGAGTTCATACCAGTTATCGACTAGCATGTCCCCTGTAGGGACCCCTTCTGCAATCTTTAGTGACCTTCTAGGAGTTGGTAAGGTGGTCCCTAGAGAGGACCCCCCGAAAGCTCCTATAGGGACCACTCTAGAGTGGAAATTATCTGCTGAATAATATTATTCCACCTCCATCTGACCACTCGGAAATTGGTAAAGCTTTTCTAGGCGATTCTAGGGATCACTTAAGAGTTCTGAGGCTACTAAAGGGGTCACTAGAAGTGCCCCGACACGTCAGATTCGCGTTATCAAGGTCCGAGCAATCGTCCCGATTTTTTATTTAATAAAAAAAGAAAAGAAATTTTTTTTCTCGGTTCAGGATGTCGGGAGGAGTGCCGACGATACCGGCGCCTCAGTTCTCGACGTTCGCCACGGTCGTCGACCCACCGACACCTTTGCCGTCTTTCCTGAAAACCGTCTCGGCGACGCATCCAGATGAAGCTGAGCAGTCGACCGAAGCGCCCGTGCAAACACCAATTAGCGTCCCTTCACCTTCTCAGGTGCAAAATGCGGACTTTTGGATCTTTATTCAACGAATTCTGATGGATTATTCAATTTATTTTGTGCAATTTTCAGCCCCCGGGCCCTCCAAGGTGTTCTAATATAGTCTGTTCAGATTTTGAATGTCAAGTAGAGTGACGTCATTCAAAAACGCTCTGTGGATGGCTCGCTATCTGATTGATTTATCCCACCATTATGGGCGGAGCTTGAGCGACGACTTGACATTTAAAATCTGAACAGACTATAGTTTTTATCTTATTCCTCTTGGAAAAATATTTCTTCAGGCGGCTTCTCCGCGTTTTTATCAGCGTTCGAATATTAGTTCTGCCACCATTTCATCATGATTCTTTGAAGATTTTGCTATAAACGCTTAGATCGCAAGTACAGAACTCATACTGCCCGGGAAAAGGGGTTGGGTCCCGGAAATTAGAGAATAAAATCAAGTTTCAACCCCCGGGAGGTAGTTTTATGCACAAGAATACAAGTTTTAGCTTCAGGGAGGTAGTATCAACTTTAGTTTAGACAAACTTGGGAGAGGCCTTTAAAAATGGTCTGCCCATTTATGGCTTCGACTTTTTTCTAGTTTTGGCGAGATTTCGAAAAAGTGATGAGCTGTTATAGCCGATCCACGGCGAGATGGGGGGTGGGTGGCCTCTCTGCGCTCTCCATTAATCAGGCACTCTAATTTTTTTTTATCGTGTTAGGACCCTTTTTTGGCCGTGAATCAGTTACATGAGTGTTTTTTTGGGTGATCTTGTACATAAAAAAAAATTTTTGAATTTTCTTTCGAAAAAAATTGAAAACTGCATTTATTGTCATTTTTTTCAGATCAGAGTCCCTTACCCTTCGGCACCAACCGGTCCGGTCGGAGAGATCCTAACGAAACCGAAAGATGCTCTGTCGAAAAAACTCCCCCTCGCCCCGTCGGCTTCCAAAAACTACAAGTTGAAGAGGACTTTCAAGGTAAAAGACGAATTGTATAGCAAATAGTTATTGCAACTGCTATTTAAATAGGTATTAGAATGTCTGCGAACTCTATGAATAAGGAAAACTACTTGAAAACTGTAAAATATATTTTTTTTAACTTTTCGAGAAATTTATAGCATTTTCTTCCCTATTTTTTCTGCTTTCTAGAATGTTTTCTCTCAAGAACATTATAATTCTTCTTTATTTTTGAAATTATGAAAAAAATTTTTCTGAATCACGACTTTTAATATCATAAATAGCTCTCATTTGATTTATTATTCAATTTTTTGAGACTAAATTGGAAAAAAGGAAAATCAAAGTAAAAATTTCATTGAATTCTCAATTGAATAGTTAGGCATATTTCAAGAACATTTCAAGGAGTATAGGCCAATCACAGTGTTTATAAACACGCGGCGAGGCTAAATGCAATGGGGGCGCGCCTTATTGCAAGGGGGGCGCAATAGTGAGAGCCGATTTTTGTGCGTTTACTGGCGGGAATTATAGCGTTAATAATTTTTTTTCAAGGCCTCTTTGAGCTTTTAGATTAGCTTGGATGTATTTCAACGCAAAAAGAAAAGGAATTTTTTTTTCAGCACTTAATAATTTTTTTCAACGATATTTCTTTTCAAAAAGCATTTGTGAACCTTCAAAAGAGTTTTTAAGTTTTGATTTTGGCTCATACAACGGTTTTGCGCCTAAAAACTGGCCTTTTGCTTTCAAAATAGTTTCCGGAAGGATTATGAAGATTTTAGAGTTGAATGTTTCCCTTCCAATTCCCTAAAAATCTCCAAAAATGATGAATTTCCAGGTGATAATCGTTGGGGACGCGGGCGTCGGAAAGACTTGCCTCTCCTTCCGATTTTGCTGTGGCCGATTCCCGCAACACACCGAAGCCACCATTGGCGTCGATTTCCGGGAAAGGAGCTGTGTCATCGAAAGCGAGCTCTTAAGGGTCATTTTATATATATATTTTTTTGCGAATTGTTCATTTGAAGATTTTTTTGAAGAGTTTGGAAGTTTTTTTCAACTTATTTTTTTAGAAACAGCTATTGGATAATTAGTTTTTTTACTGACTTCAGTAACAGATGGAACTGATTTTTTTCTCAAGTTTTTCTTTTTTTGGTTTTTTTCTTGAAGTTTCTTTTTTCTACTACGAATTTTTCTGATAAATTTTTTTCTTTCAGGCACATTTATAAATAGCCAAAAATTCTATAGATGTTTTTTTGAATTTATCTCAAGATTTCTCCTGAATTTTTCAAATTACTTATTTTTGGCCTTTTTTTGGAGGCATGATTTTTTTCTAATATGTGATCTTCACAGTCAAAAATTATAGACAGCAGGATCTTTTGAAAGTTTTCTTCCGGATTTTTTTCAAAACCACTTTTTTAACCACAACCTCCCACCGATTGATTGTCTTGGAAGATTTCTTGTGGATTTATCTTGAAATTACTTTTTCTAGCCTTTAGAGTATTTCTCTGCTAAAAAACATTCCCATGTTGATTATATAGCAGAAAAACTATTTTTCTCCAGCTTTCTTCTGGATTTATCTCAAAATTATTTTTTCTAGGCCGTGTGAAGGTATAACTTTCCTAATAAATCATTTCCAGGTACAATTATGGGACACGGCCGGCCAGGAACGTTACCGACAGTCCATCGTCGCCCATTATTACAGAAACGTCAACGCCGTCGTTTTTGTTTATGACGTCACTTGGTGAGATTTTTAGGATTCTGACGGAAAATGGGATACACAAACCTCATTTAAAAAAAAAAAAATCAAAAAAATCGCAGCGTAACGTTTAGAAGGTTTTTTTGAGCCTCCTATATTTCTGAAAATCTTCAGGCGCAAAAAAACAAATTTTTTTGTCGTTTTTTTACCATGTTGATTTGTTAATTTGAAGTTTTTTTGTTTTTGAATAGTCCTTCAACTTTTTGCGTTATAAATGTTGAAAAAAATCGGTTCCCGTAGGGGATTTCGTATCAAAAAAATCGATAAATGCAGCTTTTTCCCAAATTTTTTTCCTGTTAATATCTTTATAAATGATTTAGATTTTTTTCCTTGAATTTAGTTGAACCGACAGAATCCAAAAATTTATAGGAACTTTTTGCGGTTTGCTTTCTTTCTTATCATGTTTTTTTCGTGAAAATTGATTTTTAACTTTCATTTTTTTAAAGTTTCTTTCGAAAATCGTCCAAAGAATCCATTTCAATTCAATCAAAATGTTTTCATAACGGTTTTTTCCATCATAAATTCATTTCAGCAGAGATTCGTTCAACTCACTGAATATTTGGATACGAGAGTGTGAAAAGCACGGATTAACAGCGGATTGCGAGGTTTTTCAATGGAAATATTGATATTTTATTACAACTCCCGGAAATTCAGGTCCCAAGAATTTTGATCGGGAACAAATGCGATATCCCCAGTGAGAATCGGGTATCAACGGACGAGGCTCAGGTTAACTTTTTTTGATCGAATCGCGGAACTCTTTGAATTTTACCTCTTCTCTTCGTATTCAATTCATTAGTTATTGATTTTTTGCACCTCGAAAAAGAGCAAAAAAACAAGAAAAAGTCGTTTAATTAGGTCCTTATTAAAGGCGCATGGTGAGTCGGCGCGAGTCACTGATTTATATGCTGGTTTGGGCTATTGAAAAAAGGGTCCTGACACGAAGAAAAAATTTATAGTCTCTTTATTCAAGTCATTGCTCCAGCTCCGCCCCTCATTCGTAGATCAAACCAATCAGAGACCGAGCCATCCACTGAGCCTTGTTCGGGGCGGAGTTTGCTGCTTGATATCCTGAATCTGAACCAGAACTGGGCCGATGGTGATTTACACATTTTCGATCACTCACTCCCCCATTTATACCTGATTCTGGCTTGAGCCATCGAAAAAAGGGCCCTCACACGATAATGCACAATAATAATAGATAGTTTATTCACTGCCATTATTTAACATAAAAAAAAATAGTTGAAGAATAGATGATCAAGTGAAGGAATAGGCAGAGAAATAACAATACACGGGAAAGAGTCAACCCCAACGAGTTGACGGGTACCCGGAAATATGGCAAATTCACAGGAGACGAGAGGGGATATTTTCATGAAAGGCTTCAAACGGAAGAGCATTCAACTTTTTACGCAGAGTTTCTGGGATAACGTTAAAATCTAAATAAGAAGTTAGTTTATTCCAAAGAGGAATAGTTCTAGAAAAAAAGTCATTAGAAAACTGACCAGTAGTCCGTAGTCGAAGTGGATTTCTCTGTAACAGGGATTGAGTGAAATACTTATTGCGATCGAGAAAATGATCAGAGCCACAGATGATTTTATGCAAGGTGATAATGTCACAAATTTCACGACGAATGAATAACGGTTTGATGTTAAATTGACTAAGGCGATCTGAGTAAGAAGTGAAACTAACATTACAACGAATGAAAACTTTCCGACTAAAAAGACGCAGTGAAGATTCAAGTTTGTGAGATTCCTCAGAGGAAATGGCGGGTGAGAAAAGCTCAGAGCAATATTCAAGGACTGGATTAACGTAGGTTTGAAACATACGGAAGTAGTTAAAAGGTGAAGAGAACTTGAAGGTATTCAGTATTTGATTAGAACGTAAGGTGGCAAAAGCAGCAATACGGCTGATGTGTTGTTTAAAGGAAAGCTTGTCATCGATAAATAAACCAAGGTTACGTACTATGGAGCTTTGAGGAACTTCAAGGAGGTCAACATAGTAAAGGGTGCGAGGATTATTTGGGCCAAAGTGAACAGAGAACGTTTTGTTTGAGGCGAGTGGGAGAGACCAAATATGAGACCATTCAAGGATACCGTTAATGCTTGATTGGAGAGATCTGGGACAGGAGCTATAGATTTTAATATCATCCGCAAAAATTGAGATAGAGGTAGAGGAATCAATGTAATTTTCGATATCGTTGATGAAAATGAGGAAGAGGAGAGGGCCGCTGACAGTGCCTTGGAGGACACCGGAAGGGTTGGGAAAGCAATTGTTGGCAAAAGACTTGTTGACCTTAACAATTGAACTTCTGTGAGATAAAAAATTAGAGAACCAACGGCTCAGAGTATTATCAAAACCAAAGTTTAGCATTTTAAGACGTAGCAAATTGTGATCTACTCTATCAAAAGCTTTGCTGAAATCAAAGTAAATAACATCGACATTTAGATTGGAGGCCAAGGACTTTTTTATGTCGGATATAGAAGAGATGAGAGAGAGTTTGCAAGATCTACGGTTTAAAAATCCATATTGAAATCGAGAGAATTTATGAGCGAATCGATTTCTAACCATATGGGCGATAATACGTTCCAATACACGTGATATAGGATGAGTGAGAGAGATCGGACGGAAATTGGAAGGGTCAGACAAACTGCCTTTTTTATGTACAGGTATGACCGTAGTGTGTTTTTAGAGAAGAGGGGATAACACCAGTTAAATAGGATTCATTAAATAGGAGAGACAGGGGAAGGCTTAAAGATCTAGCACATCTTTTAAGAACAAGAAAGTTAATATTATCAGTGGAAAATCCACATTTCGGAGGTAGAGAGGCAAGAAATTTATAAACAACATCGGGGGAGAAAAATATACTACAGTTAATAGGTTCAGGTGAGGGAAGAGCTGGGAAAGGTTGAGGGTTAGTGTTAGAGAAATTGGAATAGAACACAGATGAGAAGACATCGGCCTTTTGATTCATCATCAATTATATAATTATCATTGAAAAGCAGATTGGGGATCCCAGAATCGATCTTAAGCTGTCTTGAAATAAATTTGGAAAGTTTAGAGGAGTTGTAGGATAGAGCAACTTTGGTATGGAATTTCCTCAATAAAAAAGCAGTTCTTTTACGAATAAGTTTTACAGTGAGATTGAAAGACAGTGTCTGGCTCGTGGAGAGCGCAGACAGGCCACGCACTCTTAGCTTCCCAAGCTAGCCGTCGGCAATACACACTCTGTGAAAATTTCGAGACCACAAAGTTCGAAAAGTGGCGAGTTTACTGCCTTGCAACAGTATGGCCCGCCCAGAGGACCACAGCTCTTATAGCCTATTCCGCGCCAGCTTGTCACGTTTTTCTTTCCGCCAAAAAGACCGTATACCTAATTAGATCAAATTTCTGCTTTTATAACGGCAAGAAACAAAGGTCTTGAAGCGAAGTTGGTCAAATTTGACCTGGCCTTTTGGCGGAAAGAAAAACGTGACAAGCTGGCGCGGAATGGCCTATACCTGAACAGACTATAGTCTTGTAGAGTGAAAGAACAAAAATTTTATATACGGTTGCTTTTTTTCTGCTGTGTTTTCAAAACTTGAACTTCTCTCCTGGAACCTTCGCGGTGCAAGCTAAAAAGGAAATAAGCTTAAGGATTCTTGTAACACGATTTTTTTTCCCTTCAGATGTTCGCCGACCGTAACAACATGGCGCTGTTCGAGACGTCGGCCAAGGCGCAGTCGGAGGCCGACCACGTCGAATCGATCTTCCTCACTCTGCTCCACAAGCTCCAGCAGAGCAAGCCGATGCACGTACAGAGTCCCGACGAGCGACAGGCCAAAGTACTCTTTTTTCTACTGAGGATTCATCGAAATTAGGCTCTTGAAGTCACTTAACAAAAAAAACGGTTAAAAAAATTTTCGAGATTTTTTTTCGTTAGAAAAAGGTCTAGTGTGAATAGAAACTTCGATTTGGTCGTACTTAGGAATTCTTGAGTGGTCCCTATAGGGTTTAACGGAAAAAACAGTTCCTATAAGTCAGAAAATCACTGACAGGGGGCCAAAAAAACCACTATAGAGACCACTTTCGAAAGCTCTAGGGGCTACTATAGGGGTCGGTTAAGTGGTCCCTAGAGAGGCCAAAAAACCACTATAGAGACCACTTTCGAAAGCTCTAGGGGCCACTATTGGGGTCGGTTGAGTGGTCCCTAGAGAGGACCTTTTAAGAGCCCCTATAGGGACCACTCTGGAGGTTCTCAGTAGAAAGAGTCTGACGAGTAAAATATCCTTTTTTTTCCGAGCCTTTTTCTTTGGAAAATGAAGGAATTTGACAGGAAACTTTAGGAATTGATTTAAAAAAATAGTTTATGGTCAAGTTTTATGTCAAGAGTAAAGCTTATCACTACAAGTTTGAAGAAAATGGTCTTTTAACTCGATAATTTTTTCAGGAGCAAGAAAAACTCGTCCTAAAAGCGGATGAAGCTGCGCGTTTGGAGGAGGATGGCTGGTGTTGTTAAGAGAGAAAAAAAATGAAAAAATATTCCCTTTTCAGCTAATTCTTGTCTATTTTCCATTGCATTTTACTCGAAAAGGTTGTAAAAATCATCATTTTTAGTGATATCTCACTTTAGGGGTCGTTTTTTAATACACCTCCTTATGGGTTCTTTTTTCGTGGTTCATCGTTTTGGTGTATGTTTGAGAGATAGTCGTGGATCGCTGATTTTTTTTTTGTCAACTACCCGGAAAATCCGAATTTCACATTATTGAGGATATAAATGATTGAAATGAAGAATATTTATGGAAGTTAGAATGAATTCGAAAAGCTTCTGCCTGAAAAAAAGGTAATTAATCGGTGCTTCAGCTGTGGAAAGACTACCAGAAGTTCTCATGGCATATTTGGACAGTGTATATCAAAAAGTAAAGTAAGTCAGAAAGAACATAAAAATGCGAATATCGGAGAGAAAATCTTTTTTGAAAAAAAAAAACCAAGAAAGATTGTGTATTTTACGAATCAGACTACAATAGGTTGACATGGTGCAGACAGATTTGCGTACATTGCGTTTTATTTTACGTCTAATTCAAAAATTGCTGTTTTTCAATGAAATTCCACCTTTTTTTTTTCTCTATACACAGTAATGGTGTTTACTTGGATAAAACATTCCTTTCAGATCCCTTGGAAAAACTGTAGAGGTACTATAATTTTCCGCCAATTCATTAGACGATAAAAAGAAGGCGCTATTGTGCAATTTTTGTCTATTGTTAATATTTTCTATGATCATGGATGGAAGAAGAACTTCGAAAGTTTTAATTCGAGGAATTTTCATGTAAAAGAATAGTTTTCTTTCTTCGTCTTCATTTTTATCGGACTTGCCGTTTTTCTCTTTTATTTTTGTTCGTTCGTTATTTTTTAAATGCGAACTTCTTGATAGAAGTAATGAGGGAACTTCTAGAAATATTTGGTATTTAATGGTTTTCTTGAATATTGCAAAGAAAAATAATTTTTCTGTGGGATATCAGACAAGCCATTGGAAGACGTCTGTTTTTGACCCCGCCGCGGAGTTTTGATCTTGGCGGCTATTCGATTTTTTGTCATCGTTTTTTATTGATTGCCTATTTTTTTTTATCGCTCCACTGTGTTCTAGAACGGGTCAATGTTTTTTTTTGTTTTTGCAGGCTTAGGCCCCTTCTGCATTTAAGGTGTTTGAAGTGTTCTTGTAGTTTCCATAGAAAATTTAAATAATTTTAGCGATTTTTTATTTTGGAAAATTTTTTCGTTAAACCGAAATATCTTATTATCTTTTTACTGTGGATGAATTTTGTCATTCTATCAAAGTGATTCATAATTATCTGAGGGATAATTTTTTTATTCTCTGTCTCAACTCCAAATTTCGTGGAGTTCGTTCCAAAGTCATGTAAATTTAAGGCTTTATTTTGTTTTGTGGAGAGAAAGATGAACATCAGTAATAAAAAAGTTGATCAAGAGTTTCTACGATTTCGGAAGATTTTCACTTACTTTGATTTTTTTGTTTCTTTCTGCATTTAAGTAATGAAAAGTCCTGGAAGAGTCCTCAGTTTCAAGAATTATGTTGATTATTGAATGGAGACTTTGCAGAGCACCAATGAGTAATAAAGATGTTAGGGCCTGTCAAAAAATTTCTCCAATTTCGGGAGATTTTCACTGTTTGTTTTGACTCGACGGTTGCACTTGGCGAAGTTCTGAAATTTCGATATTTCAGTAGCTTTGCCATGTAAAAAACGCAAAATCGCATCCAAACGGTGTATTTTTGATGAAAATTTTGAAAAGAAATTGCAAAAAGTGCAGCAGAGAGTACTCCTAGAAGCACTCTCGCTTTAGCATTTAACATAATTCGATATTGTTCCCCTCAGCTTCGAAATGAAATATTTTCAAACTGTTTGTTTTGATTCGACGGTCACGCATCTTTTTAAGTGATTACTCAGAAAACGAGCGATTTCTTGCTTGATTGATGATTACAAAGAATTTTTCAGTTCGAACCTGAGACGTTCTACGACGGAAGGAGAGGACGGTACTTCACGGATCGAACGAGACCCTTCATGGAGCGGGATGATCGGCCGATCTTGTTCAACTACGAAATCGCCTCGTCTGTTCAACTCCAGCTGTTCAACTCCACTGATCGACGGATCTCGTTCGCGCTTCGACGTCGGATCTACTCCAGCTGATGTTCATCTCCAGCTTGACTCGAAGGTTGTGCCTCGTTCAGAGTGATTTCGTGGTTTCTACTCGGAAAACTTGTGAAATAGCGATATTTTGCAAGGTTTCCCGAGCGGAAATCGCGGAGTCACTCTGAACGAGGCATCACTTCGAGGCCAAACTTGTAGTTGGTCGAAAAAAAGAAATTTTTCGGGGTGTACGAGCCCCTTTGCCACCAACGAACATAAATTCTTGAAGAAGCGCGCCAGGAAACGGACGCCACCAGATCGATCGTTGGTGACGTCCACACCCGGCGCTGTACTCCAAGAGTCTCTGCAAGTTGGGAGGCAAATGCTTGGCTGGGATTCGAACCCGAGTCCCCAGATCGAGGGACGAGTTGCCTCGCCACTCTACCAAGCCCGCACGCTCGTTCCACAAGCCTCGGCGCCCCATACCGCCGCTGGTCCAAGTGCCCGAGTGTTGGCTTGGGTCGAGAGGCGCCGTTTGACCCCCGACTGTAGTTTGACCCGCGGCGCCAAAACATTGCGTCATCCTTCCACTGCCTTCCATGGCCTTCTAGAACTTCTTGTTACGTCATTCTTTTTCAATTTTAATCTTTTTTTACATTGTTTTAATTCAATTTCAAAGCGTTTTGTGAAATTCATAATAGTAAGATATGAGTGCGAGCCTTTCTTTACACTAGTTAGCATGAATCGTTTTTTTATTTCAGTTTCCAGCTATACTTGCGTTTAACTTTTATGAAGACGTTAGAAAATCCTCACATTATTATAAGGCTTTTTTTAAAATTTGGATGGTTACTGTAGTCCGCATTTGACAAACATCACCGTGCTGGAACAAAAATACTTGCTTTCCAATTTTATTTTGGTCATATTGCTTCGGTTTTTCAACTTCAATTGAATGAGAGGTGATTTGCTTTTTATGTTAAATGATGATTGGTATTTCAGGAAACGCGGCCGATTTCTTCGACAGAACTGGGTGTTGAGGTATCGTGTCAGAAACGAAGCTGAAAAAGATCCATGGAATGGTGTTGATGATTTGAAAAAGTTGCTGTGAGGTTTCTGACATGTTACCTGAACGCCCAGTTCTGTACAGCGATCAATTTTGAAGAACGTAAAGATGAGTTTTTCAGCTTTGTAAATTGAACTAAATTGAAAATTTCAGTGAACCTCTTCGACCCTCGAGAGGAAAGACAGAACTGGGTTTGGACAAAGATGTCATGAACGAGTTGAAGCCATGGGTGTCGACGATGTGAAGCTGTTTCTGACATTATGCCAAATGCCCAGTTCTGTCCGAAAATCGCATATAAAGTTAAGCTCTCATTTCTCGTATTTTAACAAATCTGAAACTTTCAAGGATCTTTGATTTCTTCGACAACGGGAGGACGGCGACTCTGTCGACATGTTGATGATGATTTTTGGATTGATCAACGATAAGGATGGAACGGTGTGCACTGTCAACGAGTCCGTATCGATCAATTAATTTTTGAATCCGTCGGCAGTATTGTGAATTTTTCAATAATTCTGAGATTTAGTTCACTTATTTTGGGAGAATGGGACAAGACTCTGTTTCACTAACTTGTGAGCTAGTGGATAATCTACTTTCGCGGTCGCGGTGCGGAACATCCGAGTACTAATTATGCATAGCTTGTCGAAAATAAAGTCTTCAATAAATCAAAGTGAACCCTACAGTGTGATGACCGCAACGGGACCGCGTCGAAGGCCTGACCATTTTTACATTTCTTGAATCTCCAATTACTCAATTTTTCGTTTCAAATATCGATTGAACTTTCAAATTTCTAAGAGCCCCTAGATGTCATTAGCGCGTCCATGCACATTACTTTTTTATAACCGGCTGATCTTTTATTGTTCGGTCAATGAATATATTGATTAGCCACGGAAATTCTGGGAGCCAATGGCGCGCCAGTGCATACTCACCTTTTATTTTAGTGCAAGGCCTCCTCTTCTGTGACTTCCAAGCTTCATTGTAAACTATAGTCGGGAGAGCTTTACTGACACATGTCAGTAAGTGAAAGGTTCAGCCTGCATGGAAGATAGTTCTCAGCCACTTCCGAGTGGCACTTCGGTTTAACCAAGGAGACTGGCGAATATTCCCAATCTTCCATGCTCCGATTCCCACTCTACAGTTGAACAAAGAACTTGAAGTCACTGAAGGAGTGGACTTCTTGCTTCTCTGTCACTTCCAAGCTTCATTTTTATTCGCGAAAGGCGAGCTTCACTGACACTTGTCAGAAAGAAGAAAGGGGGCATCTAGCCGCTCAGTAGAGCCTGACCTTGGTCAACCTTTCCGGAAAACATGTCAACTTGGTTTTACCAAACAGACTGACAAATTTATCCCAACCTTTCCGGTCTCCAAGCCACTAGCTTCAACTTCAAACTTTGATTAAGTGACAGAGAAGCAAGACTTGTACATCAGCCAACTTGTAGAATACCTTCCTTTAACAAGAGAAGACTTGAGAGAATACAATTATTTATTTTTTAAGACAAGAGAACATGAACATTGAACAATGAATAAAAGAGTTTGAAGTTGTTGAAGTGAAGAGAACATCATGATCTGCAAATTGAATTTGTGTTTATTTATTGCTATTTGAATAAAGAGTCTGCATTTTTACATTGCACAAAATGACAAGTTTGAATGAAGAAAAGATGATTTGCTGTTTTAATATTGCAATTTCAAAAATATTGTATTTTGAGTCGAAATATCGCAATTTGAATATAAAGAATGCTGTATTAAAAACTTGCTATTTGAATTGAAAAAAAAAATGATTCATTTTTAAATACTTGCAATTTGAATATAGAGATTTATGTATTAATAAATGCAATTTTAAAACGAATTGAATAGAAAAAAATGCTGTATTAATACTTGCAATTTTTAAACCAGCAATTTGAATTAAAAAATTGCTTTTTGGAACTTGCATTTTTAATATAGAAATGCTTGAAAAAATTGCAAAAAAAAAAAGTGCAATTTCAAAACTTGCAAATATAAATAGAAAATGTATAAGAGAAATTTTTAAAACTTGCAATATGATTAGAAAATTTGCTTTATTTAAACTTGCAGAAAAAAATGCTGTTTTTAATAATGCAATTTTAAAAACGCAGTTTAAATATTAATAATGCTGTTTTTAATATTCCAATTTCAGTTTGACTATAGAAATGTTGTTTTAATATAGCAATTTGTATCTCAATCTGACATTTATTAGTATTCTTCATCGTGAAAGGCACAAATTGATGCCGCTAAAGCATTTTCCGCCGTGCTGTGATGAGATCGGCCGGGAGAACCTGACCGGACTCGACTTTGGCAAGTCTTTGTGAGCACTCTCTCATCACTGAATGGAGTGGCCTCCATTGAGCCCGACTTCCAATGTTCAGCAACACCCTTTGAACTTTTTCACGATGTCTGATAACTAATCCAAACTGCAACCAGATGCCGTGCAAAGGCTCGTACTTTTGTTCTGAGGAGCTTGAGTGGGAAAAGCACCAGTCTCCTTGGTCAGACCGAAGTTGCCACAAGTGGCTGAGAACTCTCTTCCGTGTCGGAATACCGAAGTAAACCTCACGCACGTTTTTGAAAAAGTACAAGGCTTCGCAGGGTTGATACAAAACATTTCTAACACTGATCGTACACGCCCAGAAGTTCTGTGATTTGACAGGTTTTTTCAAGTTAGACTATGGGCATATGGAGCACGGAGGAGTGGGACAGTGCACCAGTCTCCATGGTTGGACCGAAGTGCCACTCAGAGGTTCCGAGTGGCTGAGATCTCCCCTCCGGAAAGAGTGTCCGAGGTCATGCTCGACACGAATATCCCCGTGCCAAAGAGCCGGCTGGAAGCCCCCTTTCTTCTTTCTGACCGAGGCCAAGAAGAAGCTCACCCTTTTGAATTGAAAATGAAAATCGCAGAACAACCGGGATGGACGAAGCAGTTTAGTCGCAGTGGATATTTACTATGAGAAGAGGCCATTCTACTGATATTTATCACTAAATTTTCTTCATATCTCATGACAGATTTTAAAAAAAACGTAGCGAAAAAGTGTGAGAAGTCGTGCTAGTTATTTTTTGTAAAGGAAATTGAGCCTTTTCTTCTAAACTTAAATCATAGATCTTTGGTTCTATAATTAAATTATATCACAGTACGAGAGTTCAGAAGTGTTTAGGGAATAAAAAAACCAGAAGAAGAGTGATAAAAATTCTTGAAGAGATACAAGGCCACATAAAAACAACTTTCAATACAAAAAAGTAACATTCCAAAGCGAAAACAACCAAAAATAATCAATTAACAATAGAATGGCCTCACTCATCTCAAGTCAGGGCCCAGTGAAACTCGAAGCGGCTGTTTAGCGGTCATCGACTTCCCACCAAAAGTCATAAAGTTCCGAAATACTCAAAAAAAAAAAATGAGAACGTCAATAACCGCTCAACAGCCGCATCGAGTTCACATTTAAACTTTTCCCTATGGGATTCAAACTAAAACTGAACTACCGAACGCATCATTAAACAACCTAAGAGTCAAAAAGGGCCTTCAAAGATATATGACGAACAAAACAACCGCAATAAGCTCTTTTATTAAAATAGCGATAAAAACATGAAACATTTGAAGAATGAAAGTTGACCAGCTTGTTGCGGCTGTTTTGTCCAGGTGGCTTTGCTTTCTCCTGAAAGTTCTTCGTCATTTATCTTTGAAAAACTAAAAGTGAGAAAGAAACAGAAACTTACAAAAGGATCCTTGTTCGAAGTCGGAACAGAACTGGGCTTGTCAGAAATTCCACGGAATCGCGTCAAGTCGTCCCATTCAATTTCGTATCGTTTCTGACAAGCCCAGTTCTGTCGGCCACGTTTCCTGAAAGACCCAAAATCATTTAATATAAAAAACATAAGAAAATCACCGCTCATTCAATCGAAGTCGAAGCACAGACGGGACCGGGCATTTGAGCAGAATTTCAGGAGCAGTTCGGCCCTTTGGAAACACATGATGTCGCCAAAGTGCTCGCACTTCTTTGGACCACTGAAAAATCATGGATAATAAAACAAAACAAAATGAGATTCGCGGAATCATGTGGCATCAGCAAAAGTTTGACTTTGGTTCAAGAATGGTGAAGTTTGTAGATTGCGGACTTGCATAAAGTTATTGAAATTAGGAAAACTTCGCCTTATGGTTCTTCAAAAAAAAATGTTTAAAGTCTTTGGAATAGAAATAAAAACCAGAGAGACTAAAGAAAATATTTATCTCTTTTAATAACAACTAATCAATGAATACACTGAATAAGCTTTCAATTATTTTAATGAATTCAAAAAGCAATGAGTAAAAGATAAGGAAAAGAAGTTCTAATCACAGGATACTGTCATACTTCATACTAAAAAAGCTTTAAATTGTATTAAAATAGTATAAAAAGCCTTAAATTTGAAAAAGAATGACGCAAAAAGAAATTCTAGAAGGCTGTGGAAGGATGACGCAATGTTTTGGCGCCGCGGGTCAAACTACAGTCGGGGGTCGAACGGCGCCTCTCGACCCAACACTCGGCCACTTGGACCAGCGGCGGTATGGGGCGCCGAGGCTCGTGGTACGATCGTGCGGGCTTGGTAGAGTGGCGAGGCAACTCGTCCCTCGATCTGGAGACTCGGGTTCGAATCCCAGCCAAGCATTTGCCTCCCAACTTGCAGAGACTCTTGGAGTACAGCGCCGGGTGTGGACGTCACCAACGATCGATCTGGTGGCGTCCGTTTCCTGGCGCGCTTCTTCAAGAATTTATGTTCGTTGGTGGCAAAGGGGCTCGTACACCCCGAAAACTTTCTTTTTTTCGAGCAACTACAAGTTTGGCCTCGAAGTGATGCCTCGTTCAGAGTGACTCCGCGACTTCCACTCGCCTTGCAAAATATCGCTTTTCACAAGCCGAGTGGAAACCACGAAATCAATCTGAACGAGGCACAACCTTCGAGTCAAAAGAATTGAAATTCTTGAAAATAAAACGCCGAGGGTCGAAAATTTTACAGTGAAAAAATTATTTTTTGAAAAACTCGTAAAGAAAATGCAAATTGCGTTTACAAATAAGAAATCCTTGAAAAAGGGTCATGAATTTTCAACAATACATTACAACAAACAAAAAAAAATAGCAAATTGAACCGTCCAAACAGATGTCGATAGCATTCCCGGTCTTCTTTCGTCTTCAAAACCGAATTCTGTTCCATTTCTCTCCAATAAACTTAATTTCGACCGGGAATGCTCATCGGCGCCGTTCTGGACGTTCCAATGTCGCTTTTAAAAATTCTAAAAGCTGATTCTCAATTTTACTTTTAACTCACAACAATCCATTTCGTGGCCTCGTCGAAACACTCTTGCTTTGTTTGGAATCGCTTTTGTTGACGCCGGTATTCCACTTTTCATCCGACGAATTCAATCACTGAAATCTTCTTTATGAAATATATAAATCACAAAAAAATTGTTCAAACACGATTGAAGTCGTTAAAAACATATGTAGTCAAAATTATTGAACCAATATAATCATTGAAACCAAGTCTCAAATTTCGCAAAAAAATCTCATCAATATAAGGAAAAAAAGTTTCCTCACTTCCGAGCAGAAATTCCGAGCAGAAATTCCGAGCTTTTTGCAAAAAAAAAAACAAACAACTCAAATTTCGCTGCGATAAAAAACGCCTAAAAAAATGTGTTTCAATTCAAAATTTGACTGAGAACCAAATAATTAGAAACTACACGACTATTCCAACCGTCAATTTCATCATGATATTTTCGAGAAAACTTCAAAAAGGGAAAGTTTGCATGAATTTACAGGAAAACTTAAAATTCGGGGAAAACCTAATGAAACCCAATTGAATATGTTTGAGAGAGCCACTTATTTCAATAAAAAAAACTGAAAAAAACGAAAAACGCAGAAAGTAGGAAAAAAAGATGATTTTTTGAAATCGATCAAGGGGTCGGTGGCGCGAACTCACGCCACAGTAACCCAGCAGGCGCGAAACGAAGGTCAAAACTTCTCAAATATTCTCGCATGCTGAACAGGGTAACCCCGCCGTGCTAACACGGGGTCTCCGCGGGTGCCCCCGTATTAAACCCGTATAAGCCCAGCTGATAGAACTTTTGGCACTTTTTAGCCCAACTGAGACCCCGCTTTAGCCCAGCTGGGTTACCTATTTTTCTTACACCCGTTGTTCCCCCGTTTTAGCCCAACTGAGACTAAAATAACCTCAGAAACACGGGTTTAATACGGGTACACCCGTTGAGACACCTGCTCAGCATGCGAGTTACTTTTTGTGCTATGTTACAAAATTCTCGATTCTCTGTGGCTCAAAATTAAATTTCTGAAGGACGGAAAATCACTTTTATCAGTAAAATCAATGCAGTTTTCAGCAAAACCGGGTTCCACTAAAATTTTTTCTAAAAGAGACTCACTCTCCTGGTTTTCGAGTCAGAAAAAATTATTGAGGATAGAAAAAGTAATTTCAGCGCTTTGTTGGTTCGATTGAAAAAAAAGCATAGAAAATTTCGACAAAATGTAAACAATTGGGTTTCCGAAAAACGTGATTCCTCCGTTTCCTTTTTAATGAACAAATGCCGTGTTGAAAGAAATTCCGCAAAAGTCAAAATAGTAACCAGAGAGTGAAACATATAACTGAATTTCAGAAATTCACATTTCGATTTTTGCGAAAATTACTTTGAATATGGAATGAGAGCACCGCGGTGCATGCACACGACACGCTACACTTTACGGAACAAATATGGGCGGAGCGTGCCCAAGGAAAAAGCCGTGTAAAAGTGAGTTTTCCAATAATGAGAAACAGAAGACATTTCATGCTCCGTGGTTCGAAAAACTACACGAAAATCCTACTCTTCACCCGAAAAATAAATAAAAACGGGCCGAGCCATAAATTTATGTACGTTAGATCACGGATGCAAAAAGGCGATGGTAAAAAGAAGAAAAATGTCGATAATTGGCTTGAAATCCATCAAAATGCGCACGCTTGTCAACTTCTAGCTCATTCCCTGAAAACGAATCAAAATCAAGAAAAGATTGGAGAATTTAGAATTTAATAAATCTAGGGAAAAAATGATTTCTTTCAAAAATTTATCACTTGATTAAAAAAAACCTTGTTCGAAATTCTACATCAGAAATTTTACGGTCTTTCTGAGCATCGGGCACCGATTCTTCTGCAGTTTGGATACCGGAAGGCGCTTCTAGAAATATTTAATTCATCGTAAATTAATAAAAGTTTTTGATAGTTGTTTGAAGGTTTAGAAAACGAATTTAAAAATGAGAAAAAAATACTGGAAATTTATATGTTTTTTTGTTGATTAATGTAGCGAAAATTGAATAAGAAGTAAAAAAAAAAAAAATTTCAAAAAAACTTTGATGTTTTTTTTCTACTCATCGAAATCTGTTTTTTTTTAAAGAAAATGCGACGTGTTTCCGATACCTTTCATGATGAAAGCGTCAGTCATGAATAAAAAAATTATTCAGGAAAAGGAAAAAAAAAATGAGCGAATTTTTCTCATAAATCCGATAACCATGTGAAGAAAAAAAAAGAAATAACTTACTGTTATGATCAGCAGAAACGGCGTTTAGCATTGCTATCAAAAGCAAAAGCGTCAGATTCAATCTTCCTGAAATGAAAAGTTTGGATTCAGAAAAATAAGAAAATAACAAACCTTCAATAAGTTTCCACTTCATTCTAGGCAACGTCCGCTGCTGAAAAATTCCCATATAATTTTTGGAAACAAAAAACAACTCTGTTATTGTCAATACTATTTGATTTTTCTGTGAAAGTATCTTAAAAGGCCTCAAGAACTGGCTGGTCCGCTGAATAGGACCGATTCATTCAAAAAGATTGTTACAAACTTTAACAATACCTTGCGAAAAAAATTAAAAATATACAAAGATTGAAAATAAATAGTTCAATGCGTTATTGTTTTATATTCACGGCTGGCTTGAGTCATCGAAAAAAGGGTCCTGGCACGAAAAGAGAAGAGACAGTGCCTAGTTGGTGGAGAGCGCAGACACGCCACGCCTTTTTGCGTCCCAAGCTAGCCGTGAATCGACTACATGTATTCTCAAAAAAAAAGATATATCGTCGGGCAACACTCAGAAATTCCAGAGTGATCCCTATAGTGGTTCGGAAGGAAAGCAACATCTATAGGGGTCGAAAAATTAGTCCATATAGGGGTAACATTAAGGAGGTCTTTATAGAAGTTTAGGTTCTGACCCCTTAGCCCCCAAAGCTCAAGTGGACCCTATAGGGGTCAGAATTCAAAAAAAATCGTTATAATTTTTCATTTTTTTTTTTTCAAAGACAAAGGTTGATCTAGCCGCCAAGTGGTCACTCAAGTAGCTTCAGAGCCCCTCATGGGTTAGAAGCCAAAAGCCTCCGCCGGGATCCAAACTCACACTGATCGACGTTGGTCTGCTAGCTGGTGACTGACGATCCGGCTGGATCAGCTCAGCATTCCGTTTATATACTTTCATACCATTCTCACTTGAGCGTCTGTTTTTTCATAGTTTGAGGTTATTTCGATAATGGTCATGTACTAAACATCAAACAAATGAGACTATGAAAACATTGAAATCGAGAAAAAAAAAAACAGATCGTCTTTTTATTGATCCTAAGCCGAGCGGCATGTTTCCCAACCTAGGAAATTTTGAAATTCACCGAAGAGGGGAACTTTAGAGTTTTCCTTATAAGGGTTAGGGGAAAAATTGGTCGTTAAGGGGTAAAATCGAGGTGGTCCCTATGGGGGGCTAGGGTCTGACCCCTTAGATCTCAAGTGGACCCTATAGGGGTCTTTCAATTTTTTTCAAAAAAAAGCTTATTTATCGAGTTTTTCGCATAGAGTTCATGAAAACTATCGACTAGCATGTCCCCTATCGAGGCCACTAACTGAATCCCCTATAAGGCCCACTTTCGCAAGTTTTAGTGGCCCCTATAGATTCAATTAACAGAAGAAAAACCACATCATTTTCAAATTTACAGGGCTCAAAATGAATTGAAGCTTTTTGAATGTTTCAAAAAAGTTATTTTCCATTTGACTGTACTTGAAAAAAGAAACTTCACGGCGTTTTTTTTATTACGCAAGGTCAAGACTTCTCGTAAAGTATGATGCTTAGGGTGTAAGCACACCAAGACGCACTGTCGCATACTCAAAATTGTTTTTTTCAATTTTAGATGTTGCAAATTTAGGATAATAACTTCTGAAATGTTCGAAATCTTGTCAGTTTGAAGAATATGATGTGAAAAAACATTCACTTACGTTAAAAAAACATTTAGGAACGATTTCGAATGGGGAAAACTCTAAATTACTAATTACAAAACAAAAAAGAAAAAATATTATGAAAATGAATCAGCTCCCATTGAATAGGCAATTTTAAATACGAAAAATATTGAAATAAGGAAAATTCGAGGAGTAAATGAAAAAAAAAAACATTTTATATAGCTTGAAAACCTAGCTTCAGAAAAACAAATAATGGATAGAAAGCAGAAATTTCAGAAAAAAAAACCTCGTATGGCGAAATTTTTGTTTAAACCCGAAAAACCATGAAACAACTAGAAAAAAAAATATAATTTAGCTGATTCATATAACAAAATCTTCAAACTGCATCAGTAAATTCAATTTGGCTCTAATTTACACGAAACTGGTTTCAAACTACGCCACAGGAACTGGATAATAACTTGTACTTATAGAAAAAAACGTTAAAAGAAGTATTAATAAAGAAAAAAGCAAAAAATATGCTTTTTTCCAATTAACTCTTTCCGTAAATCTTGCGAGAGCTTTAAAGGGTGGGTCTTGTAATCCAAAAACGGGTACTGAACAGATCGAAACTACTGCTGCCGTACGATTTACGGCGCCCGCCCCTGGTATTTTTTTTCTGCATTTTCTTTCACTGACAAGAACGCCGTGACTTCAACGCAAACTTTTGAAAACAAAAATATTCCGCAGAAAATTTCAAACTCGACGTCAAGTGAAATGCAAAGGTACATACAATCTCGACGCAAATTCACATACTCTTCAAATTTTCGAAAAAAAAAGTTTTTTTCCCGTTGAAAATTGAATATTATCTACAAGAAAAATTGAGAAAAATCGTGAATTAAACCTTTTTTTTGAACCGGTACTTGGCGTTCACCATTACATTTTCCAATAAAGTTGCAAAAAAATTTGAAAAACGTTGAACTTTATCATGGGACCACATTACTTGATATACAAATAAAATCAAAGAAATAAAGAAATAACAGGAGATTATTAATAAAATAGGTCAAAAAGAGCAAACATAAAGATGGAATCGAACAGCAAGAAAAAAACTCAGAGAAGATATGGTGTTGAAAAAATTCGAAAACAGGTGAATCTCATATAGGATAGGTAAAATTGAATGAATGAATCTTCATTCGGGTGAATGACGAAAAAAGGAAAAATAGCCGTTTTCAAGTGCGCTCCATGGCTAAAATTTCGAAATAAAAGCTGTGACGACAGGTAAAGTACTCTTCTAGTGACCACTCCCACCGGAAATGGCCGCTAAGGCCAGGCTCTTTGAAAAAAGGGAAATTCTCAATGGAGCGAGATTTCTCAACTTTACGCGGCTCTTTTTTCTCCTAACGGCAAAAAACCAATTAAAGCTCAATGAACTATCAGCGGGGCGAACGAAGCGAAAAAAAAGTCCTAGTCTACTTCAAAGAACGGCATTTTTTGTTTCTAGGCAGTAGCGAGGGCGATTTTCTCGTCTTCACGGAGAGGCGCCAGTTCATGTCCCTCGGCAGCGTCGAGTTTGGCCCAAGGCTGGCAGCTTCCGGAGGCGAAGATCGAGAAGAAAACGGCGCCGAAGACGAGGATCGCCGCCGTCAGCCACAGCACCGACTGCCATTCTTCAGAGGTTCCCTGGAAAAGGAAATCGTGGAATTAAATCAATCCATTGTTCCAAGTGATTCCGCGACCGTCAGGGAATGAAAATACGACTCAACTTTGAGAAAAGTTAGAGAAAAATTCGAATTTCGCGGAAATTACTTTGACCACATCATTAAGCTAACAACTTCTCAATGAATTCTGAAAAACATCAAAAAATTCAGGCGAAATTCTCAAAATAATACAAATCCTTCTCTTTTACTGCATTCTGGAGATAGGAGTTATTCGGAATTTTTTCTTCCATCAGATTCAATTTTTTTTAAATTCACATTTGAATCTTGAGCTTCTGAACTTCCAATGGAGAAAAACACACAGAAAAATGTTACAATTTCCTCCAAAAAATTAAAATTAAACCTAAAAAAGCTGCTGTCGTAAAGAAACTTTAACAGCTCTCAAAAATATCTTTCCAGTCCTTAAAAGCCTGAGTGTAAAATTGAAGTGATCCAGATTAGTCAGATGTAATCGATCAGACGATGAAAAAGAAGTTTAGAAGCTATAACGAACAAAATCCGAACGATTCCTATCAATTTTTACACTGAAAAAGCTTCTCTCCAGTTCATACCAATAATAAATATACTTGAAAAAGTTCTAAATGCTTCAAAATGTTTCAATAGCTTCGAAAAACTCCGAGAACCTTTTTATTATTTCTACTGAATCGAATTCAAACCCAAGCGATTTCTATCAATGTTACCACTGAAAAAGCTTTTCGTCAGTTCAGATCAACAATAAATACACTTGAAAAAGTTCTAAACTCTTCGAAATCCTTAATAATACTTTCAAAAACTTCAAAACCTTTCTTTTTCCCTAGTTCTGCTTCGAAATCACATCAATTTTCATTCTTAAATCATGCACAATGATCGAAAAAAGCTTCCAAAAGCTAAAAAATCTTAATTTTTTCTTTTTTCTTGTCCTACTTCAAAACAGGAGCAGTTTTCATTCTGAATATTTCAAAAAGGCTTCCAAAAACTTCAAAATCCTTGAATTTTGCTTTTTTACAATTTCTAGTTCAGAAACCCATCAATTTTCATTCTTATATACTCCAAAAAGCTTCCAAAAACTCTGAAAACCTTCATTTTTCTTTTTCCTAGTGTTACTAGGCGAACTACTTTCTCTCAACTCAACTCTGGAGAAAAATCTACTAAAAAACGAACATTAGGCGTGAGGAAGCTGGTAACAGCGGGGGAGGCCATTCCAGCGACGGCCGAGATCGTGTTACCGATGCCCATGACGGTTCCCGAGAACGGGGGCGCGATTTCCAAGTAATTGACGACGAATCCGGAATATTGCAGTCCGGAGATGGCCATGGCCGCTGTGACGAGTCCGACGACGAGGTACTAGGAAAAATCAATTTGTTTATTCATTTATTCTTTCTCAAAACCTTCTGTCCACACTTGCAGTAGCCAGCCAAAACGAGGAAGATCGCCTGGCCAATCAGGGCTGGGAAAAGTCCATTTATCTCTATTTTTTGATTTCTATTTTCTTACCGACGAGCATAGCAGAGCGGCGAGTGTTCAAGGTCGACAGGAGTTCTTTTTTGCGGATAGTATCAGCCAAGACACCGCCAATGTTGATGGCAATGAAGTACATAATGTAGGGGATCGAGGCCCATACTCCGAGCTGAAATTTCTTTTTGGATTTTTTTTGAAAAAAGTTCAAATTTTGAAAAAAATCAGATGATTCGAGGTCCTTAAATTTTTTTGAATGAAAAACTTGCAAGCTTCGAAAAATTATAAACTTGAAAAAAACGATTGAATTTGGAAAAAGTTTCTTGTGAATCTTCTGTCTTTTTCATCTATTTAGAAAATTATCTTTTTTTCAAACGCAAATAAAAAAAGAACAGTTCTTTTTAAATAACTGTTGAATATCACACATAATCAAAGGGTTTTTTTCAAGATTTTTTTCTTAATTTTTTTCCTCAAAATTTTTCCTTTTTTTCGGAAAAATGCTTCAAAAAGCAAGCAATGAAAACAGGGAAAGTTCCTTGGAAAAAGCTTTCAGAGTCAAAAGTAAAGCATTTTTTTGATGAAATAAAGAAAAAGATTCAGGGTAATTTTAAGATCTTCTACTCTTCTGCCACTGTTAAAAATTTTTTTCTCTTCACCTCAAAACGCTGCTCCGATCTTCTGAGCCTTTTTTTAAATGTTATTCTAACTTAGGGAATCCTCAATTTTTTCGCTTCTTTTTGATCTTTTTTTTCGATCACTTGGCACAAGTAACTTTGCAAATTTTCATTTAATTCTTTTTATACGTCAGCAAGTGGGCAAAGACAAGGGGCGGACTGTCGGAATTCTTGAGAACTTAAGACTGAGATCCATTTCAATCTCTTTTATTTACTAGGTCAACTTGAAACGAGGTGATGTTTGAAAAGGCCCATGTCTGTCCTTTTCCCATTGGAAACCCACCGATCCCATGTCCAATCCGAGAACGTCCTTCAGGAAAGACGGCAACGAGACCAACATCGTGTAGGCTCCCCAGTCGCCGGCAAAGTGTCCGACCCAGCAGGCCCAAACTTCCTTCGATTTGAAAATCGAGAGCCATGGGGTCGCTGGCGGCTGAAACTATCGTACTGTTTCAAAACCTTGATGATCAACGACAGTAAATCCTAGGCATCAAATGATAAACATAGTAATTTGATAAAATTCCGTTTTTATGTACATCATCTATAGCTATTTCACGACTAGTTTAGGACGCTAAGGGGGGCGTGGCATGTCTGCGCTCTCTATCAACCAGGCACTATCTCTTTTATTATCGTGTCAGGATCCTTTTTCCGATAGCTCAAGCCAAGTCAGCTATAACAAACTCCAAGAAACCTTCCTTCAAAACGGTCCAGGACTTCTAGAATCTTCAAAGCTTTCTATTTTACATAATCAAAGCTAACAAAAAACCTTCTCTAACTTTAAACTCAGTATGATTCGGAGAAACTAAAATTTCCTTTTGATCTTTCTATTATGTTCAATTTGAAACGTAGCATTTCGTGCAAAATTTCTAACACGTTTAATTTTTTTGCCGCGGTTTATTTCTTGATTCAACTTTTCTGGACTTCAGAGCCTCCCGATTTTCGGAAAAGATCATATTTTTGAGTTATGGCTTCTCAAAAGCTTCAAAAACCGATTTTTCTTAAGATTTCTCTTAGGTTGCGACCTTTGAAGCGTTATAACTTGAGAATGAGATCAATTGAGATGGATTTTTTTTTTCTGAATTTAGGAAGTCCTGAAAAAAAGGAACAAGCTTCAGAAAAAGTTATAGCCCATTCCGCGTCAACTTGTCACGATTTTATCTTTTTTCAAATCTACAGAACCCTTTCTTTCGGTATCTCTTTGCATGCGCCGCTTGTTTGGTCTAGAATTCCCGTCACATTAAAGGCGCATGCACAGATAAAGGCCACGCGCATCAAAGGGAAGGGTTCTGTAACTTGGAGAAAAATAAAATATGACAAGCTGGGGCGGAATGGGCTGTACGACTTTCCCCCCATGAAGTTATCCAATCTTCACCGTTCCAGTGTTCTTTCCGACGCTGGCTTCAACAGAAGAGATGATATATTCGCGTTCGCCGGCAGAAATTCGGGGATGAGTCGAGGGGCGGTCAGAGGTGAAATAGATCCAGGAGATGCACCAGAGAAGGCCGCACGAGCCTGAAAACTTTCCGAATTCCGTGTAGAATCTTGACTCGAAGTGGTCACTCCATACTTCGGCTGGATTTCATCCCGGGGTGCGGCCTACCCCCCTAAAACTGCGGCCTACCCCCAAAAAAGCGCGGCCTGCTTCCCGAAAAGTGCGGCCTATTTCAGTACACTTTCAAATTTCTTTTTTTCGCGCGCAAAAGACTGAGGTGGGATACAGCCAACGTATGGGTCGCTCTCATTTTGAGGCTTCCACCTAGAGCACGGTCTTCGAGCTCCAGCTGCAATATCAGCTACATTCTGAGCTCGTCAAGGCGCAATTGGTTGAACTACGCGCAGAAAAATGAGGCGAAAAACCGTAAGACCATGATTTCAACTTGATCAACTACACGTTTTGACTTCTAACTTGATCAACTACACTTTTTGACTTGCCAAAGGCGGTTGTTCGTTATCGCTTTTAAAGTTCGTCTTCACAGTCGTTTAAATCTGACTAAAACAACAAAATGAATAGTTTTTGAAAGCTTATCACTGGTTAAAAACGACCGATCATCTCTTAAAACAGAAAATTCATGGTGAGACTCACAAAATTCCTGAAAAACCGTCAAAACCAGCTTTTCAAAAAAAAAGGTCAGTTTCAAACTTGCTCAGAAACGATGCGAATTTGCGATAAAACTATCAAGAATTATACTTTACCTTGAAAATTAATACTATGCTAGAAAAATGTTCAAATTTGTTCGCTAATTTAGCGGATTTGCTTAAAAATTCCTGGTTTTCGCGACAAAATTCCACCCAAAAAAGCCATTCTTTCTCCCGAAAATTTCATAAAAATTCTGGAAAAGTTCCAAACAATATCCTAATCAAACTATCAAATTTCCCTTCACCCACCAATGATGTAGAAAATCGAAGGCCAACCGCCGTCGAAGCCATTTTCGCACAAGTAACCCGACAACGGCAACACGATCACGTTTCCGATTTGGGCGCCTTGGAAATGTTGATTTTATCCCTTCAAGTCCATTTTTCAAGATAAACCAGCATAAGTGATTCCAGTGAGGACGGAAAGTTCGCTGGGAGGTCCCCAAACCGACCACATCGTGTGGACCGCCGGGAAAGTGGCTCCCTGAAAGATTTTTAAGGTATTTCCTACATAAAAATGCCTTTAAAGGTTCTTAAAATCTTCATTTTTTGAAAAAAAAAAACCTGGAGGAATCCAATCGCGGCACGGAGGAGGATCAAGGCGTAGACAGAAGTTCTGGCGGCGATCGGATTGGCCAAAGTCAAGAGGGCAGAGCCCAGAACAGTAACCAGAACCACACGTTTACCACCATAATGGGTCGCCAAATAACCACCGAGGATCTGAAAAAATTCGAATTGAAAAAAAAAATTCAATGAAAAAACTTGGTTTTTAAGAGAAAAAAAAATGTTTTTCCTCTCAAAGATGAACATTTATACAATCTAAAAAAATTTCGAAGTGAACTAAAACCGAAAAAAAGACACAAAAACCAGTTTTTAAGAACAATCTCGAGCAAAAACGCGATTTTTAAAAGATGTCGTGAAATAAAACGGCTAGTCCGCAATGATTTTTCCGACCTCGGTGCTTGCACAAATTAAACTACAGTAACCCAGAAAGTTGCATTTTCTCTTTTTTCTCATTTTAATCACCTGACTTCCGACGTAACCATAGAAGAAGGCCGACAGGACGAATCCAGACAGCTTCTTGTCCCAGTCAAACTCGCCAATCATCTGAAAAAATCAATAGTTTTTATGAAATGGGCATTTTTCCGAAAAACCAGCCAAAATTTGAAATTTCTGCAAACTTCCGGTCTATCAGAAGCTTGAAAACCTGGATTCCAGTCAAAATACTCCATAATTTCAAAATTCTCGATTTTTCATTTTCCCATTATCAATTACTACTGCTTCCTATGATATTTCTATCTGATTTTCATTCGTTCCACATCAAAATTTTTTTTTTTTTTCATCACTTTCTGCCTTACAAACCTCGGATTTTGTGGTAGTGGACGCATCGGGGTCCACACATTTGGGGATGGCCGTGACGCTGCCATCGACGGTGGTGTTCTCGGTAACCATGCAGACGATGGCGAGGGACATGTTCGTCCTCATCGCGTAGGTCAGAAGGCATGCGAAGAAGCAGACCACCGCCAGGCCCAGTCGTGTCGACGGGACAAGCTCTAGAAATAGTTATTCCTCTACGAAGTGTCTTTGGAGATCAGCAATCAAAATCAATCAATCAATAAATCGTTTATGTTCTTGTTTAAGTCATGCTACGAATAGAAGTCTGAACGTTTCGTTGATCATCGTTTACTCGGACATTGGTAACGCGAAACGCAAGTTTCTGGGCGATTCTAGGGATCACTTGAGAGTTCTGAGGCTTCTAAAGTGGTCACTAGAAATGCCCCAACACGTCCGATTCGCGTTACCAAGGTCCGAGTACTGAGTCTTTTCCAAGCTTAAAAAATCCAAGAATGACCGAAGATTGAAAATCCACTCTTAACGGTCTGTTTTCTTTACTGTACACCATTGGGCTTCAAAAAACCTCTTTTGCAAAGAAAATTTGTGACCGAAAAAAAGATTTGAAATTTTCCTTTTAAAACTTCTTTCTTCTAATCTCCTAAAGTGAAACTTAAAAATTTCATCTTCAATATCTTTCTTCTCAAAGTTTTTTTTTAATATATATTTTTCAAAAAAATTCTTAATATTTTCCCACTTTGAACTGAAATTGTCAATATTCTTGAATTAATAAGTTCAATAAACTATTTGCAATATTTCTTTCCCAATTTTTTCGTTTTTTTTTTCTTCAAAATGCGTCAATTTCTCATCTTTAAGTGCTTCCTTCCCATTTTACAAAGAAAAATTTCCTGAAGTAATAATTGTCACAACCCAAAAATGAGTGTCATTTATGAAAAACCCCAAAAAATCATGATTTTTCGACTGATTCCTCTAGAAACTTTCATTCTGAAATTTTCAAGCTTCAATTTCCAGGGATTCATTCTGATCTACACCCTCTAAATCTAAAAGATCCAAATAAATGATCCGCACAAAGTTCCAGCAATTTTTCTCCTATCTTCCAAGATTACAATCAGAGCGCAATTGTTCATGCCAACTGTAACATTTAGACTAGCATAAATCAAAAGGGTTGATTGCAGGAAAAAAAAAAGCTGGAAACTTTTTCTCCCGGTAAAATCCTCCACATTACACAGAGCATACCTTGTACCCTGAACTAATCAAATCAACATTTTTTTTGTTCTTGAGTATTCAGTAGGCCACGCATTAATCTAAAGGACCATAAACGTCAAAAATGCCGTCTTGAGGGTAATAAATGTCAAAAAATGGGTCGAGATAAGGCTTGTAACTACTGTCGGGATGATAAAAATGACGAAAAGGAATCGAAAATCTAATTTTTTTTTTTGAAAAATGGACTTTGTTCTAAAAATTGACGTCAGGCTCAGATAAAGAGGATAAAGTCGTAGATTTAAACTTTATTTTGGTGATTTATTAAAAATTCACCTTTTATCTTAGAGCATAAATACTTCAAACAATGGTAAACCCTCTCAAAAAATGAACAAAAACGGAATTTTTCAGAGAGATCAGTGGAAGTCTGAAGAGACACAGAGAAAAATAGGAAATCCTAGTTGTCTGGCCTCTCTTAAATCAGCCTGTGATCTCTCTCTCTCTCTCTCTTACGCTATTTTCTATCAAAAAACCTTTTTTTAAAGAGCTAACCAATACGGTTTACGGAAATGAAATTTCTGTTCCTGGTTCTTAAAGTTTCAATTTTTTGAGAGAAGTTTGGATTTTTTTTCATACAGAATGCCCAAAAAAGTCACACGGAAGACGGAAAAACTGCTATTTTTGGGCTTTTTTCAAAGTTTGGTCTTATTTTGACATCCATCTCCACAATAATTATAACCCAATACACAATGAATAAACACATAATTTTTCAAACTTCAAGATTTTCTGAAAATTTCTTTCTTAATAAAGAGAATTTCAGTGTTCTTTTTTTTTTGAAAAAACTAAAAAAAAATAATAAGAGAGATCGTTGAAACCTTGAAGAGACACCAGGAAAAACCAACATCGTTTGATGTCTGACGTCTCTTCGGTTCACCGTTGATCTCTCGCTTCTTCTTTGCTATCTCAGTTCCACGAAATTTACTACTCACATAAATCCATTCGGGTTTCATTCTTTTCTTGAGACGTATCTTTCCCTTGATAAGAATTTGAATTATTTTCTTCCTATTTTTTTTTATGGAAAAAACTAAGAATGATAGAAAATAATGTTAGAGATAGCAGAGAAAAAGACAAATCTCTAGCCGTCTGGCATCTCTTCACATCCCTGTTGATCTATCGCTAATATTTCTTTTTTCTTGTTTTTAGCCAAAAAAAACAGCTTTAAAATTCAAGCTTAAGAATTTCCCCCTTTCTTCAGATTCTGTCAACGTTTTTTTCGATTTTTCAGTAGGCCTAAAAATGATCTAAAAGGCCATAAATGTCGAAAATATCGTCTCAAGGGCCATAAATGTCAAAAAAGGGGGCAAGATAAGGCATGTAACTACTGTCGGGATGATAAAAAAATTGAGAAAAAAATGGACAAGAAATCAATTTTTTTAATGGACTTGGGTCTGAAAAATTGACGTCGAGAGGATAAAGTCGGGGTTTTTTTCATTCTGAAAATAGATTTTGACCCAAAAAAATTGAATATATTCAATAAAAAAATTCGAAAAAAATTCTTCTGGATCTATTTTAAGGGAAGCAAAGGGAGTTGGTCAAAAATCGGGAAAACGGACTCAAGGATCTTTTTTTTGCAAATTAACTGAAAACTTAATCAGGAAAGAAACACACCGATAAATCTGGAATCAATAAGTTGTAAATTCATAAAATATGTTCATTTTTTGAAACGTACTTGTTGACGTGTCCATTGAGTCGTCGTAATGCACACGGTTCAACCTGAAAAATTGGAAAATAGTTCAGAAAAATGCCAAAAAAAAAACCGAATGAGAACAATTTCAAAGCCCGTCACTTTCAGAGCGTAGAAAAGGCTTCAAAATTGACAAAATTTGAAAAATAAAAGGAAGGAAACGGGAGAAACGGCCGTTTGAAAAGTTCTTCGCCCTCTGGCCCCGTATCAGTCTTCTTGTTCGCGATTCGGGTCAAAACAAAAAAAAAAAGAGAACGGAGAGAAGGTCACATTTATATATGATTTGGGGGTGTAAAAAAACAGGAAGTTTGTGCAGAAACCTTTCAATTTAGGGCAGAGAAAACTAGGAATAAACTGGCGGAAGGAAGTGAAGAGTTAGCGGAAGAAAGTTTAAGATTTGGTACTTTCAAAAAACTTTTTTGGGTACTGAATTAAAATATCCAACTTTTAATCTTACTAAAAACACCGAAAAAGTTTACAAAAGTCAGCAGAAACCGAAAAATTGATAATTTCTTTTAATATTGGCAACAAATCATTTATTTTTCGTCCTTAGTCCATGGAAACGCGAACCAGACTTGTTGGGGCGTTTCTAGTGACCACTTTAGTAGCGTCAGAACTCTTAAGTGACCCCTAGAATTGCTTAGAGACGCCCGAGGCGCGTCCGAGTTCAGGGGGAAATTCTCAGACCTCGGTAACGCGAACCAGACTTGTCGAGACGTTCCTAGTGACCACTTTAGTAGCGTCAGAACTCTGAAGTGGCCCCTAGAGTCGCCCAGAACTTCCAGAGCGTGTCCGAGATACTTCTAGGTAGCATTCACGCCTCTGACAGAGCAAGGAAGCCCAAAATTACCTCACGACGAAAATAATGATTAAAATAACAATCAGAGGGTCGCGCGGCCCGACTGATAAAGAACGCCCTCGATTTTTGATAAGCTAGGCGAATTTTCCTACGCACTTATCACACCTCTGACATAATCCTGAGAAAACAATTTCGAATTTTCGAATCGGTCATCATTATCATGTTTCTCAGGTCGTGTCTGCGGTTGAGCAGAAGAATCAACAGATTAAAATGTTGCCATTCGTTCTATTTTTCGACAATCGCTTGATAGTCATCAAAGAATGGACGAAGTACTGTAGAGGTCGTTATTAAAACGCTTTAAGACCCATTTTTCGGTAGAAAAATTTATAGACCCTTCTGTTCTCTCCCTAGGAAACAGATGGAAAAAATACAGTAAAAATAAATTTTAAAAATCTTACAAAAATTCACCAAAAAATGGACTTGAGGTACTGTAGATCGCTATAAGACTCATTCTTTGTAAAATTCTGTTTTTTCCAATTTTTAAATATTTTGACCTCTTTTTCTCGTTTAAAAAAAGGTCAAAAAAAAAATGGAAATCTTACAAAAGTTACAAAATAAACGGCTAACCCAAAAAATCTGATAGTGCAAAAATTCAAAGGAAACACAAAATGATACGATTTTTCCCTGAATGAAAAACGTAGCGCGACGAAAAAAAAAAGATGGAGAACAGAGTCGTAAAAAAACGCCACATGGGAGGTCTGATAAACTTGCACTTTTAGTAGTATTCAAACTCCAAACTTTTTTATATTTTGAGCTTTTTGAGTTTTTTCGAAGCTTAATAATTGAAATATGTTTCATACACAGCATAGCCTATTGGAAATCGAAAAATTCAAATAAAAAGCCTGCTCAAAATAGAAAAAAGCACTTTTTCTCTGATTTTCTTCCTTATAAGTCGTTCTGAAGTTTTAAATATTTATATCACTTCTTTTTTTCTTAAAAATTATTTATTTTTAAGCTCAAATTTCATTGAACTATATGTTCCATACACAACATAGCCTATTGAAAGTTTAAAAAATCGTTAAAAAGGTCTGCTCAAAATAGAAAAAAGCGCTTTTTCTTTGATTTTCGTCCTTATAAGTCATTCTGAAGTCTTAAATAATTATATAAGTTCGAAATTTCTTGAAAATTATCGATTTTTGAGCTTTAAATCTGTTAAAATATATGTTATATTCACAACATAGCCTAACGAAAATCGAAAAACCCGACTAGAAAGCATGCTAAAAATAGAAAAAGGAGCTTTTTCCGAATTTTAGATTCTTTTTTAAGCTAAACCGTTTAGTTTCAAATTTTTTAAGTTCAAAAATCCTCCATTTAAAAGCCCAATTTATGCTTTTTTGAACTAAAAGAGCCCACCAAAAATCCCTCTCTTCTCAAAAAATGACAAAAAGAAGATAAAATCAAACAAAAAAGAGCGGAAAACTCGGCAACTTGACGAAAAGGCGCGTGCCGCAGCGGCCGTTCGTCTTCTTTTTTAGCAAATAGCCTCGGTCAATCGGCTTTTCTCGGCAGAAAGACAACAAAAGTACCAAGTTACCGTTGGAGTTTGTCCCCCACGTGGTTTTAGGTTACTCTTTGAACTACTCAAGAGGACGAGCTATAATTAAACTCACTTCCTCATTTTTCAGCTTTATAGACAAAAAAATTGTATCACAACATATAAAGCACAAGAAATCGAATCGAAACATGAAAATTTCAGAAAAAAATTGACATTTTTTTCAAGATTTTTTTGATACAGATTACCTTCTTTTTAAACATTTAAAAAGTTTTTTTCATGGTTAAAATTTTTTCGGAAGATTTTTTTGAGTCTTACTCAGTATTCAAAAGGTAGGATAAGTGTTTTTGAGGCCAAGAATTTCAGAAAATCAAAATTGAAGTCTCCTTTTTTCAAAAATTTACTTGCTAAATCCGCTTTTTATCTAATTTTAAACATGGTTAACATACTTGTTTTTCAAAGTTTGCAAAAAAATAGTCTTTCATTAAAAAAAATACTTGTTCTTCTCAAATCAAAATAAATGTTCAAAAAAATAAAAAAATCTAGTTCAAAAAAACGCTTCTTTTGCATGTTTTTTTGAGCAGCTATTCACTGAAAAAAAGGCCCCGAATCAAATCCTAAAAAAATTCAAATTCAAAAAGGATGTTGCGGAACGCAATAGAGAGCACAACACACAGAAGAGAAACAGAAAAAAAGAGGCAGCGAACGGAGGAAAAAAAAAGAAGAGAAATAGGAGGACTTGGGTCAAAAAAAAGGAGGTTGGCACTCTGCCCGAGCCTTGTCCTGCGTCTCTTCCACATATCTGGCTCTCTCGCTTTTTCTTCCGCTCTTTGGGTCTCTTACTTTCCAATTATCTCTATATCTAAACAAGATAGGCTCCATTTCTGGGATAAATGGCTCCGTTTCTGCAGATTGCACGGCACATTACATCGAGATTCTATTATATTATACTTATTTTTGGAGAGAAAATAACAGGGTTTATAGAAGAAAGGCCTTGAAAAAGAGAAAAAATTGTACTGAAAAAGGGAAAAAATATTTTTGAAACTTGATATATTCTGGCGTATAATCGCTAAGTTATTATTAATAATAGCCGTTTGAAACTAAAAGAATGACTTCAAAACATTTAAAAATTCATATTTTCATCAAACGGTAGACAAGAAAAAAATAAAAGAGAACCATATTTCTTCATCTTAAACAACAAACAAAGATGTTACTTTTTTTGAGGATGCACTATTTAACATTGTAAAAAACAATTGTACATACCTAAAATTAAAAAAAAAACATCAAAAGTACTAAAATCATATAAAATAAACAGAATTATACTAAATAGGCGTAAGGATGCGCATCGTACGTAATATGGAGTGTATGCACAAACCGAAACCACAGTAACCCAACATTTAAAAAATAAACACGCTCAACTTGTTTTCTTCTAGGTTATTTTCTAGCAGTTTTAATTCAAATCTAACAAAACGAAATTATAACAAAAATACGAATTTAAACAGATAAAAGACGCGAAAAAACGGAAAAATCGAGCCCAAATCTTCAAAGAACGCTCAGTCCGAGAGGGCATTAATCAATGCAAAAACTTCCCTTGTGGCCATTACACAAACGTCCGAACAGAATGTCCGCCTGTCGGAAATATTACAAACCTGACACCTACATATCTGCGGATGTTTCTAGGAAAAAGGACTAAAACGGAAATTTGTTGAAAAGTGTTCAACAACAGCCAAAAGCTGAACAAACAGAGGAAAATATCATTGTTATTGAAATATTCTCAGCCTAATTCGATTTTTGTTGAATGATGTTTGACCAGAGGGCTTTTTCATCGAAAATTATAAGAAACTTTGAGCAAAATTAATGGTTTTTAAAGGCGCAGAAGCTTGGATTGATACTAAAAAATGGCCTTTCGCTTTGGAAAACCTCAGGAGATTTTTTTAAAGCATTTTTGAACATTCAAAAAGTCTTTGTGAACTTTTTGAAGTTATATAATCGGTTCACAAGCCTTTCAAAATGAGCACAGGCAAAATTTCAAAGAAATTTACCATCAAAATCCTACTTTTCAGTTAAAAGTAGAGTCAAGACTTATTTCTTGGCCTTCTGAATATTCTAAAACTCATTAATAGTGAACGTCATCCTTTACTGTATAAGTGGATAGTATAACAGCATAAAAAGGAGAAAATAAAAAAGAAAGAAAGAAAAGAAAAATCGAAAAACGAGTAAAGGTTGGCAGCGTGGGAAAAAAATGACGCTTTTTCCGTTTGTCCAGTAGCCACGCCCCCTTCTGGATATTGCATCAGACTGATGCTCAGAATGGATTTTCTACAATATTAAGTGAAGATTGCATCATTTTCTTCGAAATCACTCAGAATGATTATAAAAAGCTTTTCTTTTCGATTTTGCCGCCCTTTTAAAAACGCCCTATTGATATTGAATGTGTTAGAAAAGTGGTTTTTCGACGCTTTTTTTTTTTGAACCGAAGAAAACCTTTACACACTTTTAATAAATATTTACTGTAAAGTTCAAGGAGTCCAAGAAAATTTATTTTTCGGAAAACCTATTAGACTGATCTCGAAACTAAGTAAACGAAGTCGAGCTCAAATTTAGTAACCATTGAACTAAAAGATATCAAAACCCTGTCATATAATCAACAACAAAAAAAGAAATTCTTCTTTTAGAGTTTTTCGGCAAAAATCGAGCCGTGGACGCTTTTGACATTGAAAAAAAAGAATCAGTTCAAAAATTTCAAGAAAATAACCTTGTTGATATTTTTTTCTCGTCTTTCTAATTCCAAGTCCAATCTGATTCGTTCCTATTTTCAAAAAAAAAAAAAGCGGCTCAGAGGTCAATAAAAAGGCAATCTGCCGTGCGAGGCTCTCGAAAAAGTGCGATGGCTCATGAAAATCCACTCGGACACTGATTACTTCGGCCCACTTCAATGTCAAGTGTTTTCGGCACGCGCTTTGATTTTAATTGAAGATTATGAGCAAACTAGACGTTGAGAAAAAGTGAGTTGATTTTTAAAAAATCTCAGATTCATCTCAAAATAATTATTATCTCAAAACCAGAAAGAATTTTCAATGAGAATATAACTGATAAAAACGCATAAATAGGTTTGAAAAAGATGGAAATTTTTTTTGACAAACTGTCGAGAGCAATAGTTTTGGCCGTAGATAGGGCTGTGTTCACACTGTTTATGCACACAGTACACATTTTCTTACTTTTTTCCGTCTCTGTTGTTTTTATTAATTCTTTTGGCCCAATTAAATAAAATATACCTTCTCCTCCATCTGGGTTCAAGAAAAGAAATCGTTGACGCTGAAGTTGTTGTACGAGTCATTCCAGTTTGGCCGGAAAACTCGCTGTATACACTTGTATCGTCAAATGGCCGCCGATGTCTTGTCTTGGGTCGGATACCGATGCGATATTTCAATTTGAAAAAGATTGGCGACGGAGTTGAAGCAACCTGAATTTTTCCGATACGAGGTAATTTTAAATATGGATTTAAAAACCGATAAATCTTCGTAGATTTCTATTTTGGTAAATATTGGGAAAACGAAAATTGTCCTTCTGCTTGCATTACTTGACGATTTGCTGAAATATTAAAAAAACCATATTGAATATTTTTCAAGATAAGAAAAACCTCATTAACGTTGTCGGAACTCTATAAGTCAAAGCTTGTTGGGAAGCTTCATGTACAGATGTTCTCCTCACACATTCGCTGTAAAAACACTTTTTGAGTTCATTTTTTATTTTTTTCCAAACTCAAAGGGATTTGGCTGGCTTTGAGATTTTTTGACCACGACTTCTGGATTTATATGTACTTTTTTCTCTTGTACACTTGCGGATCTTTGTCTGAAAAAATGAAGTAAAACTATTTGATAAGTTGAAAAATAAATACCGAATACTGCTAAGTTCAATAGAGACCGAGTCTTCCAAACTTGATTCCTGTGAATCCCTTTCACTGAAAATTATCAAATTATTTAAAAAAGGAAAAAAAGGGCTTACAAAAATTGGGATCGGCTATTTTTGAACAATGACGATGGGCGTGGTCTTCTGAAAATTGAAATTTTTTCAATTTTTGAGAAAAACTAGTCCGAAAGTTTAAGTTATGAGTTAAATTTCGAGAAAAATGTCTTGGCACGAAAATCCGAACCTTGGAAAGATTTACTGTACTTCTCCCCGTTTTTTTGGCCATTTAAAAAAATCTCTCCTTTAAATTTTTAAAGGCGGGTTTTTCATGAAAAAAATAGCAAAAAAACGGCTCTTCGTCTCGAGACCTTTTTAATAATATTCTATAGACCCAAAAAAATATTTAAAAAAAGCTTGAAAAAAATCATAAAAAAAATCAACCTTTTATAGGAGCAACTGGGCAAATCCATAAACGAGGTCTCTTCCATATCCGCTGGTTGTATTTGACTGAAAATTAAATTTTTCTGGAAATAAAGGTATAAAAATGAAACTGACTCATTTTGTGACGGACTGGGATACAATGAAAACGAAGTTTCAACTAAACTTGACGCCTGCGAACGTCTTTCCTGCCTGAAATTATGACTTCCATCGAAAAAAAAGAACGAAAAAATGAAAAACCGTGTTTGAGAAGTACTCGGCAACATGGAAGACGAGGATTCTCCGAAGCTATTGAATGAATTTCGGTGACTGGAAAATTTTGATTAATTAATTAGATAATTTAAATAAAACCCGGGTTGTAACGTGCTGGGCAACATGGACGATTCTTCAAAACTGTTGGGAGAAATTTTCTGGCTGAATAATTTTCACTAACTTTCCATTGTTAATGCTGAAAAAAAAAACCCTGCTTGGGAAGTACTGGGAGCATCGATAAACGAAGTCTCTTCCAAGCTTGATTGTCGATCGGATCGTCTGTACCTGAAAAGGAAAAATCGTAACTTCAAATAAAGATTTTTCTCACCTCGATTTCCTGGGATTCATGACGAACGTCGTTTCTTCTACATCTTTGTCTTTTTTCCGCATTTTTTTATCGGTTAGTAAATATTTAACATGAAAATTAACATAGAAACGAGAAAGAAATGAGAAATCGCCAAAATTTTTTTAGTTGTTCATGAGAACCCGATTTGACCTCCTGTTTGACTCATCAGCGTGGATTTTTTTGTTCTTTTTTTCAATCAATGAAAAAAACTTCATGGCTTCAAATTCATTTTTTTCAGTTTTTTCCAATGCATTCCTCGAGGTGCGACAATCCTGTCTAAATTTTCCCTTTTTATTATTCCGCTCTGTTTTCATTCAATTCGTCTATCAAAATTTTCGAACTCTAGACTCACAAACAACCAGTGAGTCTTTTTTCTTTTCTTTTTCAATTAACTTCATAAAATTTTCATTTCGGACCGTTTTTTCGGAATTGATGCCGTGTTCAAAGTAATTTCCGCGAAATGCAAAATGATCTCTGACTCTCCACAATTTAGTGATCTTTTCCTTTCTCTAACGGGTATTTTGAATTTCGCGGAATCAAATTGAACACGGCATGAACGGGTGAAAAAAACGTTCCGGCTCAGCCAGCATGTGCGCTCTATCGCACGCTCGCCGTAAATATTTTTTGTTGCGTTTTTTGAACAGAAACTCTACTTGATTAGCTGTTTACATTCAACTTTCACCTTTCTTCTGCTATTTTATAGCTAAAAATGATTTTTGACATTCAAATTGACAAAGTAAACCTACTTATATCGATGCTACTCTTGGTAAACGAGTTCAAAATGTCTTAGCGTTGAAGATCGCATTTTCTTCCGTGTTTTCTCGTTATTCGGTTTGAATTGAAGATATTTATGGGTAATTTGAAGGAAAACTGTATCGTCGATCTCCTTCGCAGCAGTCGTCACCGGCTTCGACGAGCCAGTCGCCGCCGGTGGCGTCCGGCGCCGATGAAGACGGTTTGTAGATTTATTTTTGATTTTAGTGTTTGAAATATGCTGGTCTTGATTAGTATTTCATTTTTAAAATAAAAAAAGGTTTCTGAAGAGATTTGAAAATGGTCTTATAAGTGGTCTAATAAATTTATTATGTTGAGGTTTTTGGAAGTCAAAAAAACTCTTGATGAATCGAAAAAAAGTTCAAAATAGATTTTTCGACGAATTTTAATGATATTCGATCGAATAATACCTTTTGGGAATTGTGTAAAAATTCGAAAAATATCTCGAATTTCATGGATAAATCTACGTTAATTTCGTTTAAAATAGTTTATAAGACCTTTTTTTGTACACATAAGAAAGAGTTTCCCTACTTTAGTAGTCAATTTGAGCTTCATAATTTTTTAAAAGCATATTTGAGCATGAAGTTTTCAAAATCTTCTTCATTTTCTCCAAGTTTTGCCGAAAATCCATATTCTTTATTGAAAAAAAGCTCATAAATACTCTAAAAATGTTGTTAATTAACGTATAAAATTTTTCTTAAGCTTACAAAATCCATTAAAGTTCAAAAAACTCTAATAATACGCTGAAAAAAGTCTTTAGAATTCCAAAAATCGACGTATTTCCTTTTGAACGGATGGTTAAACAATAAAAGTCAGTCATGAAAAGCTCAAAAAATCCAAATTAAGATGCGAGCAAAGATTCGGAAGATATTCTTCGGCCGCCACTTCCCGAGGTGCCGCCTGGAGAAGGGCCCGATATAGTTCCCTTGTCGGTCTTGTTGGATTTCGCCGTCCAGAACATCTACCACGAGATCACCGTCTTGTCCGAACTGTAAGTCACAAAAAAAAATACAAAGCCCTTCAATTTTTTTCTCTTCAACCAAAAAAGAAGGAAAATTTTCAGCCGTATTAACATTGTAAAAAAACAACATATTTTTTTCGTATTTTTCAAATTAATTTTGAGGACATCTACCAAGAAATCACCGTTTTGTCTAAATTCTCTGTACCGAAAAAAAATCCGAAGTAATTTCAAAAAAATGTTTTTGTGAAGACAGAAAAAGTATAATTTTAGTCGTCTTACTACTGAAAAAAATATTTCTCCCGTATTTTTTTCGTGGAATTGGTAAAAAAATATTTTTTTAAAGATTATCTACAACAAGATCAAAGTTTTGTCTAAATTTTTTTAAATTTTTCAATTAAAAAAATTCTAAGCCCTTCCAACATAATTTTTTTCCTCAGAAATTACTAGTTTTAGCCGTTTCTCTTCTGAAAGAATCATCATTCTCGTATGAAAATATAGTGTTAAAAACCATTTTTTTAATGACACATTCGAGAAAAAAAGATCACAGTTTTGTCTAAAATTTCAAATATACAAAAAAAATCCAGAGCGCTTCCAACATAATTTTTTTCTCAGAAATTACTAGTTTTAGTCGTTTTTTTGTAAACATCTTTTTTTGTGTTTTTTTCAAAAATTTAGCGTTAAACCATTTTAGAACATCTACCATGAGACCAACATCTGGTCTGAATTTTCAGAGACGAAAAAATTCCAAAATTTTTTTTTCATGTACAGAGGGCAGAAAAAAAAACGTTATAGACCTTTTCTCCGTATTTTCTGATCGATCTGGTATTTAAATTATTTTTAAGAACCTCTACCACGAGAGAACTGTCATTAGTAGGTAACAAAAAATCCGAAACCATCCAAAAAAAAAATGTTTCCACAATTCAGAAAAGAATAGTTCTAGATGTCTTTTCTAGACGTTTTTTTTCTCATTTATCTAAAATTATTTTTAAGAAAATCTAGCATAGTTTTCGAAAAATATCTCTATCCATATTGTAGAAAATAATGATTTTAAAGGTCCTTTTTCTCAGTGAATTCTCGAAAAAAATTCAGTATTAAAAATTTTTTTCTCAAGACTTTTTACCAAAAAGATCAAGCACTCTGAAATAACTCCAAAAAAGTGCAGAATGCAAAAAAAGTCGGACGCCGACAAGAAGATCTCCCTGGTGCAGTTCGCACATACGACGCGGCTGATGTTCATCAAGCTGCTGGCGTTGGTCAAATGGCTCAAGTCTTCGAAGAAATTCGACGCATGCAACGTTTATACACCAATTTCAAAGCAAAACATTCAATTTTTCTCGATTTCCAGTCGATTTGCTACGTTCTCGAGTCGCAGGCCAAGTTGTACGTCGAGACGGCCGATCGAATGGTCGCCATGACGAGGTTCGGGACATGAAATCAATCAAAATCGAGATTTTCCGTGCAAAAACTCAAAAAATGGTTTTTCCTGTGAGGTTTTGTAACTTTTCGTGCAATTTTCACGCAAAAAATCAACTTTTTCTTGAAAATTTTCTATTAAGAACGGGTTTTTTTCATCTAAAATCAAATCTAGATAGGATTTTTTGTTCCAAAAACCTTCAATAGAAAGCTGTAAGGAAGTAAGCCTCAATATAATTGAAAAATAGAGCTTTCTTGATTCAGAGGAGTTCAACGAAATCCAAAAAAAAATTTTCCATGCAAAAACTCAAAAAAGAAGCTCTCCCTGTTAAAAATTGTGCTGAAAAATGGCCATATTTTCTACAAATTCTACCGAAAAAAAAAATTCTTTTCTTTAAAGTTTCTTATGAAGAACGGGTTTTTTTTTCGTTTAAAATCACCTTCAAAATAAGATTCTTTTATAAATATATTCAGAAAAAGCTTCTATTAACCCTGAAAAGTTGAAAATTTTGTTTCTTAGAAGTTCAAAGAAGAGCTTTTTCGTTCCAAAGGAGATCAATGAAAATCCCTTTTTTCTTAGGTGCATTAAATCAAAAAAAGAGATTTTCCTGTTAAAAAAATCGGGCTGAAAAAAATGACAGCATTTTTCTATAAAAAAAGAATTTTTTTCTTCGAAAACTATATAATTTGAAAATCAGCTCTTCCTTAAAATTACACTCGAAATGGTTGGAAATGAGCTATTTGTTAAAAATAAACTCTGAAATTATATTCTTCTTGAACATCTTCATCTAAAAAAATGCTCTAAATTTTGCTTCTTTGAAACTCAAAAAGCTTTTTTTCGTTCCGAAGGAGATCAATGAAAATCGAATTTTTTTCCGTGCAAAAAAACTCAAAAAAAGAGATTTTCCTGTAAAAAAATCACATTGAAAAAAATGGCCATATTTTTCTACAGTTTCTACCGAAAAAAATTCTTTTCTTTGCAAAATTTATAATTTTTTTGGACAATTTTTCAATCAAAAAAAAGCTTTTTTTCCTCGAAATTTCCTATTCATGACGGGTTTTTACTTCTGAAATAATATTCAAAAAAAGGATTTTTATCAAAAAAATCTTCAATACGAGCTTTTGTACTAAGAAACGTAAATTTTTGCTTTTTTTAAAGTTCACATTTTTTTCGTTCTAGAGAATGTTTTTTTCGTAGAATAAATCAAAAAGAGATTGTAAAATTTAATTCTGGAAAACGACAATTTATTGCATTTTGTTTGTCTCAAAATGATTACTTTAAAATATCACTTTTTTTCCTTTCAATTTAAACTCGAAAAAAATCAGCCTTTCCTAAAAAAATTTTTTTCTATAAAAAAACAGGTTTTTTTCCTTTGAAAAATGAGCTCCAAAATGTTAAAAAAATGAGCTTATACTTATACTAAAAAAAATTTTTGTGAATTTGGTTACATGAAATTAAAAAAATGAGCCTTTTTTTGTCCAGAGGAGACCTCCAACTGGCCCGATTACCTCATTTCCAAATCATGCCGGCCGTCGAAGTCCTCACAAAGGTGAGATTCGAAAACCGCAAAAATTTAAAGAAAATTCGGTTAAGGGAACCTACGACACCCTTCCAATCTCTATAAAGGAGACCTTCATTCCACCGGCGAAAATTTCGGCGAGGGATCAGGTAAAAATTGTGTAAAAATTGAAATTTTAATGGGAAAAGGGGTTGAAAATTGCTTCAAAAAAGCGAATTTTTCTCGAAGAAGTACATAGAAAACGTCTATATTTTTGATCCAAGAAGGATCTTTTATAGGAAAAAAATTCCTAGGCCAATATTTTTCTTCGGTTTCTAAAAATACATTTTGAAGCCAAAGTTATAATTTCGTATTTAGTTCCGCTTACTACGTAAAAAGGTGGTTCTGATGCTCAGAATTTGATTCGAAATCAACAAGAAAAAGATTCAAAGTTAAATTTTTACTCTTTATTTTTCCCGATTCGATTTCGAAGCTAAATACCTACGTTTATTTCTTATAAAACGCAGAGGCATGGAAAAACGCGTTTCCTTCCGTTTTGAAGTTTAAAAGTGAGTGAAAATCAAACTGGAACAGTATCCCATGTTCAGCTTTACTTAAAATCCAGAAATTTTTACGAAAAAACCTCGTTTTTGATTTCCAAAAAAATGATTCTTTTCCGTTTCGAAGTTCAAAAAAGAGTAAAAATTAAACTTGAAGGGCAGAAGATAAAGCCCAAAAAAGTTCCAGCTGTTCTGAACTTTCGAAAAAAAAATGTTCCTTCTGTTCCGAACTCAAAAATGAGAGAAAAAAAACTGATACTTTTCCAAGTTCATGTTAAACTCTAATTAAAACTTAAAATTGGATTTCCCAAGCCCAAAAAAAGTCTTAACCCTTCAAGATTTCCAAAAAAGCAGTTCTTCCCGTTCCGAATTCAAAAACGAGGGGAAAAAAGTTTAAAAAAAAAAAATCAATTTTTTTCGAAGCCCGAAAAAAGTCCTAATCGTTTTCAAAATGCACAGGCGAACGTCCTCGCCCGCCTCAACCAAGTGATCGAATCGAGGATCTCCCGGATTTCCTCAACGTTATCGCCGCGTTACAGATCGATCATCATCCGGAACGGAACTGTTTGAGAAAAAATCTCTCTGAAGAAAAATCAATTTTTCAGGCGGTTTTAACAGTACCCGGGGAATTCGAGGTCATCGTCGGGGTTCTCGGCGAAACGGAGCAGCTGAAGTGGACCTTGATGAATATTAAGGTTGGTTGGAAAATGGTTGAAAGGAAGAAAAATGTAGTATACTTCGAAAAAAGTTATTTTTTAGGATAATGTTTTTAAATTTTCTCATTTTTAATGCTTTCTGTAGGATACTACTGTTTTTCATTATTAGATATGTATATATATACTTTTCAAGTAGAATTTTTTTTCCATTTAATCTTTTTTTTTCTAAATTTGTTGTCTTCATTATTCTTAGAGGACTTTTTCGGAGGGTTAGAAGCGACTTTAGGGAAAAATCCTTGTCTATAACAATTTTTTTTTTTGCTGGGGTATTCAAATTTTGCATTTTCCTAGCTGTTTTAGTATGATTGAACTCGAAGAAAAGTTGGTATATTTTGTAAAAAGTCATTTTTAGGACGATATTTCAAATTTTCTCATTTCGAATGTGTTTCTGTAGGATTTTACTGAGTTATTATCATGTATTTATATATTTCTAAAGCGTCTAGCTTCCAATTATTCTAAATTTCTGTCTTCATTTTGTTCTAGGGAGTTTTCGAAGGGTTAGAAACAACTTTTGAGGGGGAAAATTGTCGTTTTCAGTAAGATTTTTTGTTGAAGCGTTCAAATTTTGCATTATCATAGCTATTTGAAAATCATAAGAATAATTAAAAAAAGAATTAAAATATGAAATAAAAAGTGAAAAAAATCATAAAAAAAGTTGTTTTTTTCAACACAATAATTCATTAAAAATCTCTCTATTTTTCTTTTAAAATGAAATTTGGAAGAAAATTGAAAAATTTTTCTGTTCATATTCATTGAAGGCTCTGAAACTCCTTAAAACAAGTTTTTTTGAGTAACATTTTTCAATAACTTTGTAATTTTTATTCAGCGCCAAGTAATACTATATACGCATTTTTATCATATTCTACTTATTTTCTAATAGAAAAATTGTGTGATTTCTGACAATTTCACTCATAAAATGCCCTTCAGATGCTGGTGGAGGACTACGAAATCGGCTACGGAATGCAATTGGTGCATCCGTTGCAGCTCGGCTACATTCACAGCCATCTTCAGAGCAGGATGAACGTTTCTAAAAATGTAAAGATTATGATAGACTTTCTGTAGTCTCTTTGTTTTTGCTGTTTAGAAGCCTTTTTGGTTTTTAAAACCTCGTCTTTCTTCAAAAATTGGTTTGAGAATTCCTTCAGAGCGGGAGGGACGTTCTTAAAAGTGTAAAAATGATATCTATGAAAAAAGGAATTTTTATCATTTTTCTCATTTTCGCTTTGCTCTTTTGAATCAAAACTCGTCATTTTGGCCCAAAAATTGACTGATTTCTCTTCTGAAAGCTCTTATCTCGTTCTAAATATAGGTTTAAAGAAGATTTTAAAGAATTTACAGCTAAACGGACAAAGTCCAAACGACCTCATGAAGAAGAGTCTAAAGCTTTTTTTTGAGTTCCTAAAAGGTGTCAAAAATTCTTCGGAATCTCCTTTTTTTTTAGCTCCAAAAAAGTCTTTGAGGCTTTTTTAAGACCTTTGCCCGTGTACAAAATCTTGAAAACCGCTCAAATTTGCTAATTTAACTCTTCTCAAGAACATATAAATCAATTTTTTGAAGAATCTCGAATTTTTTTCATCAGCTGAACTCATCATTTTCTCCTAGAAGTTCCCAACTTCCACTCTAAATCGTAAAAAAAAGCCAAAAAAACTGTATTTTTATTCCAGCCAATCAATGAAATCTACTCATTTCTGCATCGTTTCGCCCTGTCCCTTCAGTTGGACGTTTTATCCTGCCAGGCTTCTCAGTTGGCCGCCGGCCAGTTGCGGTTCCCTACTCCTCAAAAACAGTGAAAATAAAGATTGTTGCAGTGACAACATCGTCATCGAAAAGTACGAAGAGAAGGAGCGGAATCTGGTTATCGGATATTGGCTACAAAATGTCACCAACCGAAGGACCACCCTGGGAGTCCCGAAGTACGTATAGAAAACGAGAAATAGTCTTCTCCAAAACATTATTTCAGTCTTTAAATCAGTTTTATCTAGGTGATATCTAGGTGGAGAAGATGTTGAAAACTTCAAAAGTATACGAAAGCTCAAAAACTCGGAAACGTTTTGAAAGGTTCAAAAAAAAATAGCAAAGTTCCAGAAGGATTCCTAAGCATTTCGAATTTTAAGTAAATCTTGGAAATATTCTAGAAGTTCTATTGAAGTCTTGGAAAGCTTTATAAGCCTTGAAAAGTTCAAATATGGCTTAAGAATTTCAAAAATACACCAAGAGCCTTCTAAAAATCTCGATTTTCTCATAGAAAATCGAAAAAATTCACTTTTTTTAATACCGCGTATGAATATTTCGAAAAAAATCTCTTGAAAAAAATTAAATATTAAAAAAATATCTAGTAGCTCTACTGAAGTCTCATAACATCTAGAAAGTCTTGAAAGGTTCAAATATGGCTTTGAAAGCTCAAAAAACACCAAAAATCTAAAAGTTTCAATTTCCACATAGAAACCGCCGGAAAAATTATTTTTTCAGAATCTCTATCAAATCGCTTGAAAAAGTGAATATTAAAAAAATCTCCCATAGTTTTACCAAGGTCCCGTAACATCTAGAAAGTCTTGGAAGGTTCAAAATAGCTTCAGAAGCTCAAAAAACACCAAAAATATTCCAGAAGTCTCTATTTCACATATGTGGAAACCGTCGGAAAAAGTTAATTTTGAAAAATCTATAAAAAAAAATCACTTCTACCCTATTTTGAAAGTCTTTAGTGGTTTGAATATGCTTTAGAAGCTGAAAAATACACCAAAACCCTTCAAAAAAGCTCAATTTTCTCATAGGAACCTTCGAAAAAGTTATTTTTACAGAATCTTTATCAAATCGCTTGAAAAAGTGAATATTAAAAAAGTTTCCGATAGCTCTATTAAAGTCTCCTAACATCTTCAAAGCCTTGAAAGGTTAAAATCTGATTTTAGAAGCTCAAAAATACACCGAAAATCTTCTAGAAATCTCAATTTTCTCATAGGAACGTTCGAAAAAGTTATTATTACAAAATCTCTAATAGTTATACCATATCTTTAAAGTCTTTAATGGTTGGAATATGCTTTAGAAGCTGAAAAAAACACCAAGAACCTCGCAGAAATATCAATTTCCTCATGGGAACGTTCGAAAAAGTTATTTTTACAAATTTTTTAATACTTCTATTGAAGTCCCATAACATCTTAAAAGTACTGAAAGGTTTGAATATGGCTCTAAAAGCTGAAGCTCCATAAAAACCTCAGAAATCTCAATTTCATGGCCTCGAAATCTCAAAAATCTCCCAAAAAGCTCAAAACTTCGAAAATCAATTTTAAGGGCGGTTCCCCAATACCGAGTACAAATCTTCGCCGACAAGGAAGACCCCCAAGGAGGTTTGAAAGTCCGGCATTTCCCTCATGCTCCACACTTGGGCACACTGGACACCAGGACTGGGTTTTTTCAAACTACCAAAAAATGAGAGTCAAAAAAAAATTCCAGTCGATTATCGATCCACCGGCTACTCTCAGAGACGTATATCGTTCGGTGTCGCGAGAAACTTCTCCGATTGAGGCGGATTCTGGATAATGCGGATCCTACGTTGCAGATTCAGTTGACCGGTAGGTTTTAGGGAGGAAATCGGGGGAAAAAATGGTTTTGGGGTCGGAAAATCACAGATTTGTTGAGAAACTTGTGACACAACTCTGTTAAAAATTTTTTTTCTTATCAAGTTTTTGATTCTTTTTTCTCACCAAAGTGTACAGAAGACCTGAAATTCCTCAAGAAGGTCAAAAAAATAGGTCGTTATGAGGTTCTAGAGCTTCCAAAAAAACGCAGAGCAAAAATGAAGGAAAATAATTTTTCTGAACAGTTTTTAAGTGTCTTTTTTTCGTTTCTACTGAGATTTGAACTGGAAAAAAAGATTTAAAAGGCTAAATTTTGGAGTTCAGCATTAATTTTTCAGGCTGTGCGGTACCTTCCCTGACGATTCCTCTGATAAACGACAGCGAAATCGTCCGCGAGGAATGTCTCGTCGTTTCCGTCAACGCGTTCACGGGGAAAATCATCTCGAAAAATCAGCACGTTGCCAGGTTTCCCGCTGATTTTTCTTGCTAGAAACAAAACTTGTGATCTGAATTATTATAGAACGGGAATTTCAAGACTCTATACTTTCACATAACTTTTTAGCTTCTGAAATGGTGAAAATTGAAATTAAGAAAAATTCTTTCTGAATTTTTACTTTGAAAAAAATTGTTCTGTATCTTTAAAAGTTGAAATTTCATGGCTCTGATCTGAAAAAAACTTCATTAAAAAAAGCTTTCGATTTAACTTCTAGACAAAGTCGAAATACAACTGAATATATTTTTTCTCACTCTAAATTATGAAATTAACAGAATCTGTTTCGATTTTTTTTATCCTTGTGCTCTGAACTTTTAAAATACGTTTTTAAAGGCTCTTATTTCTAAGATTTGAGTTCTTCATTCAAAAAAAGTTCAAATCAGTTCTAAAAAAAGCTCTTGTCCCTTTGAAAGTTGAAATTTTTTGGCTATAAAAGCAAAATTATCATGAAAGCTTCAAGTTGAACTCTTTACTTCTATAAAATCAAAATTAAACTAAATATCTACCTGATTTTTGACTTTGAATCACAAAATTTCTAGCCGATTGTGTTGAGCTCACAGAATCTGGTTCGACTTTTTCAAGTTTTCAAGGTTTAAACTATTGAAAGCAAAATTGTAGCTCTTGAATTAAAGAATTGGCTTTAGGAAACGCTTCAGGAAACTTTTTTCATTTGAAAATGGTTTTTATAATATTCATTTTTATCTTTAGCAACCTTTGTCTTTTTGGACACACTTCTGAATGTTTTGAACACCTTTCGAAAATTTTCTCTTTATGAAAAAGCTTCAAATTGAACTTTTCACCTAGAAAAAGTCGAAATATAACTAAATTACTACCATTTTTCCCAATTGGAAACACTAATTTTCAGCCGATCGGATGGAACTAACAGAATTTGGCCGGGTCCTCTACGATAATCTATCTCCAGTCGTTGTTCGAAGGTACTTGAACAAATTGAGGTTGGTTTTTTCCCACAAAAAAGTGTCCAGAATGGAAGGTTATTTTCAGAATCATGATCGTTATTGAGCGATATCGACGATCGATCGCTCTTTTGCCGCTTCGATTGAAGACTAATAAGGAAATGGACCACATTTTGAGAGATGTGGGGCGTTTTTTTTGGAATTTGGGAGAAAAATTAAGAGATAATCTTGGAAATTCAAAAGTCAATACGAGGCGAAAAGCTTGAATTTTATAGATTTAGAAAAATCATTTATTCTACGTTATAAGTGCTTTTGATTGGCTTAAACTTTGAATTTACATAAAATTTGGAGACCAATAAGAAAATGGATCATTTTTTTCAGAGATTTGAAGGTTTTGTCAAAAGTTATAAAGCCTGTAAAGAAAAAAATCAAGCAAGGTCGCTTTTTTTCCAAAGAAAAAGCAAATTTTTTTGAAAATTCCATAATTTTTTTGAAGTTTAGTGGTGTCAGTAGAGAATGAATCAAAATTCAATAAATTTAGAATTATTTTTTTAAAAAAAGCAAGTTTTTTTGAACAATTCCTAGAAGCAAGTATAAATATTACCTTACCGAAGAAAAAAAAACTTTTATCAATTTTTCAGATCAAAAACTTGCCTCCGGACCGTCTCTGCTTCCAATTTTTCAAGGAAGAAGCTTATTACTTGGTAATTTATATTGTTCATTCAAGACAACTTGATGGGTTTTCGAAAAAAAGCAAAGTTCTCGAAGGGAAAAAAAATAAGTATGCGCTTTTAAATTGCCTATAAATCTTTTTTAATGTTTTTAATCTATAAATTAAATGATTAAACTGATGAAAAAGATCATTTTAAAGCTAATAACCTTCCTTTCAAAGAGGTATCGGGCGATTTTTAATGGTCTCGAAGGGAAAAATGAGTATGCGCCTTTAAACTACCCAGAAAGTTGTTTTTCTTAACGATTCAGACTATAATTAAAATGATACTTTTAAAGCTGATAACCTTCGTCCCGGACGAACAAATGAAGATCGAGATCAAGCTCCAAGTGATGCACATCGAAGAAGACATCGCCGAGTTGATGACCATCACTGAGGTTCCTATCGATTAATTATTGATTATCGATTTATTTTTTCCAGAACCTTCGCCTTTACTCGCATCCAATTGTCAACCACATTGAGATGGACCAGTTCCAGGCGTCTGGGGTAAGGGAAAAATTTAGAAAAAAAATCATCAAGTTTATAGATTTTTAGTATTTTTCGAGTAGGTTACAAGTCTACATTGAAAATTATTAAGGGCTCATGGGAAAATGAGAAAAACTATATAGATCTGAAGGGATTGAGTTTGAGATTATATCGATTTTACAGTACACTCAAGTCTTCAAAAGAGTTGAAAATTATTCTGTGGTAAGAAAAAAAAAAGCATCAAATTTATAGATGTATAGTATTTTTCAAGTTAGATATAAGGGAAAAATTTTTCAGTAGTCCAAAAAAATGAGAAAATTGAAAAATGAGATCCAAACAAATGATAGATCGATATGATAACGAGAAGGCTTTTCAGAACCAACAAATTAGCCTAAATTGATCGAGATTCCTGCTAAAAAAGCTCTAAAAAGTTTAAAAATCAATATTACCAGTAAGACCTTTGAAGAAAACGGTCTTTAGAACTCAAATTCTGAGAAAAAAAAAGTTATGTCGAGGCTAAATTTGACATTAAACCGATGCTCAAAAGATCAAAAACGGGTTATTTTTGAAAGGATCGTTGAAAAAAAAATTGAAGTTTCACTACTGAAAAGTCTATGCGTTCATTTTGACTGGAAATTGAAAAACTGAAATTTTACGACTGAAAACTCAAAAATCTTCTTGTGAAAACGCATAGGAAAGGTGCTGAAATATTGAAAGACGGGGGGGTGGGTTTTATCAGAACATTAAAAAAATTGGAGCTCCACTACTCAAAAAGTCAAAATTTTCCTCTGAAATTGATACTAACTCGACGTGAAATGGTTTCTAAAAGATGAAAGAGGGGTGAATTTTCACTGAATGTTAATTTTAAATTGGAACCTTGTAAATTTAGACTTTTATACTGAAAACTCAAAAATCCCGTTTTGAAATTGAAGCTAACACGACGAGAGACGGTGCTGATGTCGCATCGGCTGGCGGCGGCGATTTCTGAAATCGAAGACCGGCTGACGATGATTTTCATCTGCGAGGAGCTCACCAAACGGGGCATCCAACACGAATTCCGATGGGATGACCCGTATGGAGCCGGGAGTCCCGTTCTTCACATTACTGGGTAAATTTCGGATAGACGATAATTTCGGTTTTTGTCACCGCCTAGACCGGTTTTTTGTGTTTTTACCTTTCCTTTTGAAGTGAGAATTATATTTTTTTGTAGATTTCTCATTTGGTGCATGCACAATTTCAACCTACAGTAAGATTCGTTCCTAGAAAAAATTAACGCTAAACGGATCCAACTGAAAAAAAAATTTCAAGGTCTAGAAATAATTATTAAGCTACTATAAGGTACAAAAAGGGCATAAAATTCATCAAATTCAAGGAAAAAAAACTGTTTTCTGTCAGGTTTTGATGTTTGAAAAAGGCCTAGAAGGACTAACTGACAGGGGAGGTCATTTTACTTTGCGGTTGAGAATTTCCTGAAAATTGGCCAGAACCTTTCTTGATGTACCAGATGAACATCCTGAAAGTCGCAACCTGCAAAACTCCCTAGTTCGAGAAATAAAGGCTGAAAGCCTACTTTTTATGAATTTTGAGGATTTTCTTTGACTTTGAGGCGTCTTTTCCCAATAATGAGAAAGTTGTGCAGGTTGAGACTTTTAGAATCGTCTTCTGGTACATCAAAGAGTGTTCTGGCCAATTTGCAGAAAAAATCCCAACCGCAATTTAAAATGACCTTGTGAAGAAATTTAAAAAAATGAAAAACTTTCACGTTTCGAATTATTTCATTTCAAAATTTGATCTTTCTGATTTATTCCCGAATATAATAAGTTTCAAAAGCTACATGAAATGACGGATAAACTATTCCAATCGTTCTAAGCATTCTACAATCTGATAATATATACAAATATATAGTTGACTTCAATTCTTAACATTTTTCATCATGAATCGCTCAAAATTGAATTTTTGAAAAGACCTTTGTGAAATGGCTTGAAAATAATTGGATGTTAATCTTCTTCAAGAAATTTTTTTCATAGGCAAAGTCGGAAAGGCTGGAAAAAGGCTCCATGAAAATGTTCCTTTTAGGGTGACAATGATTACTTTTTTGCTGCCTTTTTGGGCCATTTTATCGGCTGTTATGAACCCTTTTTGCTCCCCTTTTTCACCATTTTTTGAGCCTTCAAAATCCCAGAAAAATGGAAGGCTAATTAAAGGGACCCTTTTTGCTGCCTTTCTGCGGCCTTTTTTGAGCCTTTTAGCGGCCATTATTCCGACTTTGCCCGAGTCATCAAAAAGTTTTGAATGAATTTTTGAATGAATTTTATGTACGATTTGCTGAAATCACTTCACATAAACGCTTTCTCACACTGAAAAAGTATGAAGCTTCAAAAATTTTTCAAAAACTCAAAGTTTTTCAGTGTCAGTAACGCGGTGGACATGAAATGCCCGGAATTCTTCCGGAATATGGTAAAAAATTCATTTTTTTTCGTGTAAAAAGAGCATTTTTCAAGGTCCGCTGTTGTATACGCGTCGATAACCGTCTACGGCTCACGTTTCCATTTGAATGTTGTATGGAAAATATTCCGCTGATCCGAGATTTGCCCTATGGGCGGCTCTACTCGGCAAAGGTTGGTTTGAAAATGAAAAGGAAATGTTAAAAAAATGGCTTCTGCTGACAAGGGAGGTCATTTTACTTTGAGGTTGGGAATTTTTCACAAAAACACTCTCTGAAGGAGATCAAGATCCCTCATAGTCGCTTCCTAGTCCCACTTCTAGTTTTTGAGATATGATTTTTCAAAGTTGCAAAAAAATGGGTTTAACTTTTCGACTTCCAAAATTAATTATTTTTAAAATCTAGAAGCTGGCGTGAGTTGCCACTTTGATGGATCTTAATACATAACTTCAGAGATTGTTTGAGCAAATTTTCCTAAAATTCCGAGCAAATTAAAATGACCTTTCTTGTAAGTTAGATGAATAATTTTTAAAAAAATCATAATAGGAAGAAAAAAACATAAGAGCTTTTTGCCTCTCATAAAAGTTAGTTTTTTTGATGATTTTTTTAGAAATTTTTTTAATCGATAATTTATTCAAAGTACAAGCTAAAATGAAGAGCTTGAAGCTTAAAAAAATTGAAAATTGGAGCTTCATGATATTTTTCTTAAAAACTTGCCTATTTTTTTAACCACATCTTACTTTTTTTGATGATGGTTTTTTTCCGCCTAATTTGCACTGGAACTTAAATTGAAAATTTTGAAAAATAAAAAAATTGATTTTTTTCTGACAAAATTTGTACAGAAAAATTTTTATTTCATGACAGTTTTAAGCTGTTTTTTTCAATTTAGAAGCTTTTTATGTGTATTTTTTTCAGAAAAAAAGTGAATTTTTTTAAATTTTTTTCGTTTTTTTCATGAACGTCTCTGAACAAAAAAATAGGGCTTATTCTCTTTTTTAATAAATTTTTTTAATTTTTGAAGTTGAAATAAGAGCTTCTGAAACGAAAATTGTTTATTTCATGTTTTAATATCATTATTATTGTCAAATTTAAGCCAATCGAACCGGATATAAAACCACCTCGGGATGTAAGTTTATGTTTGAGTGATTTCAAATGCTTTATGTTGCATGAAAAATTGTCTTTTTCTCAAATTATTCCGCATGCTTTTCTTCTTCCCACCACACACACTTTCTACACAGAGATTACAAAAATCTTCCTTTTTTCTCAATGATTTTCCACTCCACTTAACACCTCCACCACTTCTTCCCTCACTAATCTTGGAAATATAATACTATTTTTCATGTTTTTATGTTTTCAGATTTGTACGTGGATCCAAGAAGTTTCGGCTCGGGACGCTAGTAATATGGCTGGAAAGGTCGCCGATACGGTTAGTTTTAGAAAAGGATGAAGAATTATTTAATTGAGAAGATTTGAATGAAGATCAATAAAGAGAAGTGCGATTTTTTTAATAGAAAAAAACAGAATCTTGAGCTTTTTGAAAGTTCCTTTAAAAAAAAACTTGAAGTTTTTCGCAACTTTTTGAAAGTTCTAGAAGCTCAGAAAAGCTTGAGAGTTATGCCAAAAGAAACTTTGTTCCTGATATTTTTGATGAAGGTCTTGAAAAATACAGAAAATCATCTGGAGTACTATTAAAAAAACTCCCTGGAAGCTTCAAAAAAATTGAGACTCCTTTAGGAAATTATTTTTATTCGCCAGCGAGCTTATAACTTCATTGAGAAAAGTTTTCGCATTTTCTGAATCAATCCAAAAATTCAATTCCTTCTTGGACTTCTTAAAATTCTCATTCTTCATTTAAAAACCTCAAAGCTCTTTAAAAGTGTCTTAGAAGCTTCAAAAAAATAAGACTCCTCTAGAAAATTATTCTATTCGCCAGCGAGCTTACAACTTCATGAGAAAAAAACTCAGAAGCCTTCTGAATAAATTCAAAAAAATTCGATTCCCTCTTCAACTTCTTAAAATTCTCATTTTCCATTCTAAAACCCCAAAACTCTCTAAAAATCCCTTCAAAAAATAAGGTTCCTTCAGAAAATTATTTTATTCCTACCGAGCTTACAACTTCACTAGGAAAATTCTGGAAACCTCCTGAATGAATCCAAAAAGTCAATCCTTCCTTAGACCTCTTAAGAATCTTCTTTGCCATATTAAAAACCCAAAATTCATTTTTCCCAGATCGTCGAACGTGTCTCCCGCTATTGTCACCTCTACAGTGTCATCTACAAATTCGCCATCGCTTACGATAATTTCTACAACAAGTTCTGCAATGTACCCCCTTTCCAACATGTTTCCTAACTTTCAAAAAACATTTCAAGATCGAAGCTTACACCTTCCACAAGCTGGTCCTCTCCTACGGCGAACAACGGGATCAACTACTTATTGTCGGCTATCGCCTTGGATCGAAACCACTTTCTGGAGTTCCGAAGGACCTCTGGCAACAGTTCCCTGTTCCGCCAAAAGAAGACTTCTTCGCTGTCAATTTTGGACAGGTAAGAGGGTTGGAATTGACTTTGCAAAGGAGAAAATGAGGTTCTAGAAAATTAAGGGGTCTTTAAACGAGTATAGGGATGGATTTTATAGTGTCAAGGAATGAAAAAAAAACAACTTTGAAGGATGAAAATGTGATTAGCCGACTTCAAAATCGTGTAAGGGACTTTTTAGTGTCAAGAAATGAGAAGCGGAGACTTGAAAGAATGAAAATACCCTTACTAGGGAATTATCCTTATTCGCAGCGAGACTTCTGAATTCCCTTGATGTAGTTTTTCACGCTGATTCGAAATCTGGCCTCGAAAACTGCCCTTGAGGTCTGTGAAAAAAGTTAGGAGCTCTCAAAAGTCGAAAACTTGTTGGACGACCTCAGAAGGTTGGAATCGTGCTCAGAGTGTCAAGAAAGGATAAAAAAATCTGAAGGATAAAAAAATTCCATTAGAAGAATTGAAGACTTCAGAAACAATCCCTAATTTTTTTCCAGACTTTCTTAACCTTTTGAATATTTGAAATAAGCTTCCTTAAACTCTAACCTGAGTGTGAACAGACAAAAAAACTTTCTGAAAATCTCCTAGTCATTTTATATTTTTCTGAAACTTTAGAAATCTTGAAAATGAGATCCCTCAAGTTTCAACGTCACAAAATTGAAAAAAAATCCAAGGTGCTCGTAAAAAACCAAATGAGTATTGTCAGGCCTTAAATTTTTGTCGAAAGTTCTGAGAACTTGAAATTTTTAACCTGGAAAAGATCTTTGAAATTCAAAAAAATTACAAAAAAATTCAAGGTTAAAATTCCTCAGAGTATTTTTGACATTTAGAGACATTTCAGGAAATTTTCCTACGGTCCTGCTGCTTTGAAAAAAAGTTTCTAGTACTTTTTGAAGGTTAGACACTTTTTTTAGAAATTTTGCGGGGGGTTTTTTTGGCTCTGCTGCTTCAAAAATCTATGATTCTCTTCTTGTCAAGAGTATTTCTAAAATCTAAAGGCCTTCAAGGAACTTTTAGATTTTTTTTTCAAATCTTGCTTTTCAAAAAATGCTCTTCCATTCTAGTTATCGCCAAGAAGTATTACGGGGCCGCCGGAAATCCGTTTCCGCGATGATATGCGCTGGAATCCGCATGCTCTACTAACCGGGACGATTAGAGAAAGGTAAAATTCCGTGGTAAAGTCTGAAAATAACACATTTTAAGGCTAAACGAAACGAATGACCTGACTGGAATCGTCCACTACTTGGTCATGACCTCGAATTCCCTCTTTGCCTTGTCCAACTTCATGCGGATTCGCTTCAAGACCCATAAGGTTCCCTCAGAAAAATCAAAAAATCAAGGATAAAAATTGATTCTCCAGGTCCTCGCTCAAATTCTACATCAGGAAGTGCAATTTCCGTTCCGGTTAAAGGTGAGAAAACTTGAAAATGGTCATTTACAAGGTTAATTTATTTTCTAAACCCTCTAGTGATCACTTAAAGGTATTATTTAGTACAATAAACTATACAATATGTGTACATATATCAATACATTTTTTAATACGTTTTCCAGCCTTCAAGCACATAAATGACCACCAGAATTTCACTTTAGTGATCACTTAAACTCTCGCTTCAGTAAAATGAATTGTCACGTTTTTTAGCCTTTAATCCTTTAAATGATCTTAATAAAGCTTGGACATTTTCTAAACCTTATAGTGATCACTTGAAGCTATGATTTAGCTAATTGATACGTTTTCCAGCTTCCAAGCCCTTAAATGACCACTAGAATTTCACTACGGTGGTCTCTTAAACGCTCGCTTCTGTAAAATAAGCTGTCACGTTATATAGCCTCAAATCCCTCAAATAATCTCAATAAAGTTGGGACATTTTCTAAACCCTCTAGTCATCACTTGAAGCGATGATTTAGTAAAATAAAAAAAATACGTTTTCCAGCCTTCGAGCCCTTGAATGATCACTAGAATTTCACTTTAGTGATCACTTAAATTATAAGCTTTAGTAAAATAAATTGTCACGTTTTTTTTAGCCGTTAATCCCTTAAATGATCACTAGGATTTCCCTCTAGTGATCACTAAAAGGTATACTTTAGGGAAATAAACTAATACGTTTTTAACTTTGAATCCCTTAAATGATCCCTAGAACTTTCGTCCCTTTAGTGATTATTTGGAGCTATGATTGAGGAAAAAAAACTAATACCTTTTCCAGCCTTCAAACCCTTAAGTTAACACTAGAATTTTCCTTTAGTGATCACTTAAATTATAAGCTTTAGTAAAATGAATTGTCACGTTTTTTAGCCTTCGATCCCTTAAATGACCACTAGGATTTCACTTTAGTGATCCTTTGAAATCTCGCTTCAGTGAAATAAACTATCAACGTTATTTAGCCTTCAAGCCCTTAAATGATCACTAGGATTTCCATCCTTTTAATGATCACTTGGAGCTATGATTGAATAAAATAATCTAATACGTTTTCAGCCTTGAATCCCTTGAACGACCACTAAAATTTCACTTTAGTGATCCCTTATATTATAAGCTTTTAGTAAAATAAATTGTCACGTTTTTTAGCCGTTTTAACGGATTAAAATCCCTTAAATGAACACTAGAAGTTCAATTTCGTTAAAAAAATTAACTTTTTGAGCTTGTCCTAACCCCTCAAGGGGCTTTTAAAGTGAATTTCTTCTTCTAAAGATCAAAATCTTCCAGTTCAACCTAACGGCCGCAACGGAAACCAACCTCCGATTGTACTACGATTACATTTTGCTCGATTTTATGCTCCTGGCCGATGGATTGGTACGGAATTTCTTTTTTAGCAAAATGATCGAATAATTACAGATCGCGGTGAGGGACAGCTGTAGGGGCGAGGCGCGTTGTGCGGGCCTTTTCCGATTTTTCTTCTTACATTCGGGGTGAATTTTCGAATTATTTAGAAGGGAAATGTGTGCTTTTTCGCTACAGTTTTGTTGAAAAGCCTATCGAAAATTGGGTGGTATGAAAAAAAAACCAGCGAAAATTCAAACGGCGACTTTTCCGATTTTTTCATATCGCTAGGGAACTTTCCGACGGCCACCTTTCCGACGAATCTTTTTCCGAATTTTTTTCTCGATAAAATCTTCGTTTTAAATCTTCCTATACAAAGTAGGTAGTTGGTTCATGATTAAAACACAAAGAAATAGGAAAAAAAAAGGTTTATAGATTTTTTATAATCCAAAAAATATAAGGGAAAAAAGTCGGAAAAGGATCCGTCGGAAAGGTGGCCGCCGGAAAGCTCCCTAGCGTTATAAAAAAATCGGAAAAGTCTCCGTTTGAATTTTCGCTGGTGTTTTTTTCATACCACCGAAAATTGGAATTTGAAAAAAAAATTTGGTTAGAATTTTAAATTAGTGGCTAATTATCCTAGTTTTTTTATTAGTTTTTCCTTTTGTTATATGTAATTTTTCCATTGAATTTCCTCAAAAAAAGTAGATAAATTGAATTAAAAAAATTCACCTACAGTACCGTTTTTGCTGGATCTTCGGTTATATGAAAAAAATTGAATTTCAAAAAAATTCACTCAGAAATTACATAAACTAGCCAGTTTTTTTCCTAAAGTTCCTTTTTATTTTACTCTATTTTTTTCCATCAAACTTTCCCTAAAAAAACCATTTTTCTAAGCAGGAATATCTCTGCGAAGCCGTTTAAAAAAATGGGACTTTTTAGAAATTACCAACAGTGATTAATTTTTGGATAAGATTTCTCATATAATATTGAAAAAAATGCCTCAAAAAAATTTCCACCTTAAGATCCTACGAAATGAAAAAAATCGTATGAAAATTTGAAAATTTAAAAAAATTCGATCATAATTTTCGACTATTAATAGATTTTTCCTAAAGTTTCGTACATTTTACTGCACTTTTTCTATCAAAAAAATCCCTCAAAAAAATCATTTTCTTTTTTTCCAGCTGAATATACTCCGAGTTGAAAAAATGTTATAAAAATTTGAAAATTCAAAAAAATTTGATCAGAATTTTTAAACCAGTAATAGGCTTTCCTAGAGTTTCTTACATTGCACTGTAATTTTCCATCATAATTCCCTCAAAAATCGTTTTTTTTTTCTCCAGCTGAAGATATTCCGAGTTGAAAAAATGTTATGAAAGTTCGAAAATTCGAAAAAAAAATTCGTTCATAATTTGCAACTAGTAATAGGTTTTCCTAGAGTTTCTTACATTTTACTGCACTTTTTCCTCAAAAATCATTTTTTTTCCAGTGGAAGAGCCTACGAACTTCACGATCCATCATTCCAAAGACCCACTGACAACTCACATTATTCAATAGCGGTAAATGAAAATTCAAAAACTCCTGAAACATCTCTGAAACATCTCAGGAACCCCCAAGAAACTACGATCCATCAGAAGTTCCTTCGATGAGGTGTTCCAGGACGCCGATTGTCGTCGACGATGTCACTATGAGGAAAACGTGTAATTTTGTCAAAAGAGGTAATTATAAAATAGTTTCTAATTACTAGCCTCAAAAAATGAATTCAAGAACAATTTTAAAAAAAAAACTTTGGGAAAGTCCAAAAAGTAGCTGAGAAGTTAGAGCCGCGGTAAAATAAACTTTATGCGCTCTATTGATAACCAATTGGATGAAGAGCATTGAGATAATGTTCAATATTTATAAATACCTAGATATTTTTTTAAATTTAGCCATAGAGCACACAAGTTCATAAAAAGTAGCCGCGATTTTTCCAGTCTCTTTAACCTTCAGAGAAAGCCTATCAGCTCGTCCTAAAAGCTCCAAAACTCGAAAAACTCGACTAATCAAGTAATTTTTCCGTGTCTTACCTTAAAACCTCCTCGAAAAAAAATCGAACCAAAAATTTGCAATGGAGCGCACTTGATCGAAACTTTCACGGCTTCCAGAAGACCTCTACTCGCCGATCGACGACTATCTAAGCACGCTCAACTACTTGCTCCACGCCAAGATCGCCTTGGAGGCGATGAACAACCCTCAGGGTCCACAGACCACCGCCGCCGTCTCCCTGAGCACCGTCGAGTTTATCGAGTGCACGGCGGATTGTGTTCGTTCTTTAGAGATGTAGACTAGATATTATAAAAACAGGAAAAAGTAAATAGGGGATTAAAGCCGGAAAAATGATACCTATCTTCTAACCAGGTAATGGTCTCAGCTCACAGGGGGACTTTGAATCAGACTAGATTCACTAGGTGTATTTTTTCACCCTGATTTCAAATCTGGTCTCAGAACTTGCCCTCAAGGCCTGTGAAAAAAGTTGGGGGCTCTCAAAACTCGAAAACTGGTTAGACGACTTCAGAGGGTTGGAATCGTGTTCATAGGGTCAAGAAAGGATAAAAGATGAGTTTAAAGGATACAAATTTTGATAAAAGAGATGAAAATCACCTCAAAATTAGCTATAGACCGCGAAAATTTAGGAAAAAGGCGTTCTAATACAATTTTCAACTATAAAGATTTTTCTTCAAAAAAAGTGTTCGTTTTTTTAAAAAGAGTCCGGGAGGAAATATATTAGGAAAATAAAAAAATATGAGGCGAAAGTGATAAAGTCGGAAAAATTATACCCTACTTATAATGAAATTATCTCAGAACCAACTGAAAAGTGTGAAAATTGACTATAACCTCCTGAATTTTTTTGAAGTGATAACTCAAGTGAATTTTTTTCTGCGTGCCCTTGGAAATCAATGTCGAGCTTCAAAATCTATCATAAAGTTATCTTCAAAGTGGTCACTGGAGTAGATTTTTCACTGAATTTCATTTCTAGCCTTGAAAATCTATCAAAAATATGACTTTGAAGTGATCACTCAAGTGTATTTCTATAGATTTCACTGAAGCTTGGAGAACATTTTAGAATAGGAAAATCAAAAAAATAGACAGTTTTTTTTTCGACAAAGTTCCGAAAAAAGACTTTTCATTTCCAGTTACACTTCAAAGCGACTCAAATCGATGGAAACGGCCGTGCGGCGACGAATTACGTCGAGTATAAAGTTTTCGTGGATCCGCAGGACTTTTGCGCCCGATTAACCCTCAAATATGGTGAATCCGATCAGAAGACCAATGTTAAGACTTGAAAAAATTCAGACGAAGAAGATGTCGCGACACAGGAAGAGCTGGACATTATACAACTGTTCTTCGAGAAGGTTAAGATATCAAAAATTGTTTAATCAAACTGAAATTGATTCCAGATGGTCTACCGGTCTAAGAACGAGATGGTTTTCCAGTCATTTGTTCTATTGTGCCGATTAACAGCTCATCGAGCTCTCTCCAGCATCGCCCGGGTCATGAAGTTTCAACTGGTAAGGCGATTTTGGGACTTCTCTCGGGGTCTTAACAGGTGCACCCGATTTTAACCCGTGTTTTTTTAGGTTATTTTAGTACCAGTTGGGATATAAAACGGGGGAGGGACAAGAAGAAATAGGAAACTAAACTGTATTTATTAAAAAAAAATAAGGGACCAAACTGGGATAAAAAGGGTGTGATAAAGTTCTACCAGCTGCGCCTATATGGGTTTAGTTCGGGTACACCCGCTGAGAGCCCGTTTAAGCCCGGCTGATAGCTTCTCGTTATCATGAAATGTTTTAATTAAAATTTCGTTTGAGAAGAATAAGATCAAAAGCTCCACAAATTCCTTGAAAGACAAGAAGCTTTTCAGATAATACATAGATAGGGCACTTTTAAACGAATGAGTAGTATAAAACAAGGTTTTAGGTATCTTGTACAGCTTCTAACTGAGTATCAAACAGTTTACAAAAAAAAAAAAAACGCTTTCTAGTCAGACCTTCAAATAAGAAATCTGCGCGGAATCGGTGTACAGAAAGTTCTCTGAAGTGTTTCTAAATTATATTCTACCTCCTAAGCTTCAATTCTATAGATCTTATGACTGAAAATTCTGTATTTTTTGAAACCAGTGACAAAAACCACTTCACCTCGACTGATTGAGTTCTGTACTACCAGATGGTTCGAGAAGAAAAAAAAATGAAAACTTCCCGAAACTATTCTGGAAGGCTTAGGAGTAGAACAGGACGTTCTATAGGATTCTTGAAACTGTAGATGATCTGCTGATTCATTAAAAAATATGACGAGAAGGCTAAAGAGAGTCAAAAGCTTTACAAATGGTTCTTAAAGACTGAGAAAGGGGTCGAGAAATCGACAACTTACAGTTTTGTACTAGCCCGTGTATGTATCAGATTGCCTTTAGGAAAAAGTCCCAAAAAGATGGTCCATTGAAAACTTCGCGAAACTAGTTTGAAAGGCTTAGGACTAGGACATGACGATCTATAGGATTCCGGAAGCTGTAGATGATCTGCTGATAGATTAAAAAAACATGACGAGAAGGCTAGGAAAAGTCGAAAGCTTTACGAATGCTTCGAAATCGATATCCTCAAATTTCAGGATGCGAAGCCCGAAGCGCGGCTGCACGTCCAGCTCAAATTGGTCTACCTGCTCCGGGAATCGTCGCAAACCGTCGGCCGATCGTTCGCGTCGGGGATCGTCGTCGACACGGCCCACACGAGCGTCATGATCGCCATCGCGATGAGGCGACAGAAGCCGGTCACCGGCGAGAAGGGCCAGCCGCGGCCGAGTCTCATCTTCCGCATGGTCTACAACACCCAGACGTTCGTGATAAGCTCGGCTTATGCGGAATTCGTACGAAAAACAGTGCTAGCTTTCGGCGACCTAGGCAAAGTCGGAAAGACGCTTCCTAAGATTTCTCCTTTTACGGCGGAGAAAGTCCTCTTTTTGCTATCTCTTGCTTTTTTGAACCTTCATAACTACATACTGATTATTTTTGGCCATGTTGCACGACTTCCGTAGAGGACCATGTCCAATGTAACTCGATCTACAGGAACACGGTGCGGATCCAAAACTCGCAGTACGCCCATCACGCACCCCAGGCGGACAATTCGGCTCCGACGGCGATGCCACCGGCGCCGACCCAAGAGGACCTCACGGTCGTCATCAATGTCGCCAACGCTGTCGCCGAGGATACCAAGTTCTGTCCGATTGGGGTCGCCGTCCAAACCCTTCATGAATTGTGAGTTTCGCAGCGTAAATGAGCTCGGAGAAGGGGAATTATTGCAGGGAGACATTTGAACCGTTTCTAAATATATCTATGATGATTCTAAGCTACCGTAACCAAAGCTTGGCTTTCAAGCTACCGTACCCAAAAATTTTTGTCTAAGCTACCGTACCCAAAACTTCTTGTCTAAGCTACCGTACCCAAAAATTCTTGGCTAAGCTACCGTCCCAAAAATTCTTGTCTAAGCTACCGTCCCAAAAATTCTTGGCTAAGCTACCGTCCCAAAAATTCTTGGCTAAGCTACCGTACCCAAAACTTCGCTTCCCAGCTACCGTAAACAAAACTTCTTTTCTAAGCTACCGTACCCAAAACTTCTCGTCTAAGCTACCGTACCCAAAACTTCGTTTCCAAGCTACCGTACTCAAAAATTCGTTTCCAAGCTACCGTACGCGAAAATTCTTTTCTAAGCTACCGTACCCGAAAATTCCCCTTCACTCTATCATTTTTCTTTCTGACCAACTTCAGAATTCCAAAATATCACAATGAAAACCAAAAACTGTCTATTTCACGAGCTATTATCATGAGCTAAAGAAAAATAAAGAAGCTGGTTCAAATCGTGTGTGCCAATGAATATCAGAACTTTTCAACTTCTACCCTTTCCAGCATGTCCACTGGAGTCCATCCGCAGCCCTACGTCCCTCGGTCTCAACCCCCAGGAAGCGTCCAACCCGTCGGCTCCGTAGGTCCAGCTCCGTCGAGCGTCGGACAGCCGCCTTCGGCTCAATCGGCGACGGCAGGCCCCGGCAGCGTCGCCGGCCCCTCAAGTGTCCACTCGCACCTCGGACCCGGTCCGGCTTCCGTCCAGCCGGGCTCCGTCCAACACCTGGCGCCGGGTAGCGTCGGGACTCAGCCTCCCGGAAGCGTCCCGCCAGGAAGCGTCCCCCCACCACAGTGATCTTATATGCTTGTATTCTTCCGTGTATCATCGACTATTTATATGATTTGTTGTATTTTGCAAGCTGGATGAAAAGTTGTGAGGAGAAGCTGGAAAAGGTTCACAGGAGAGAAGAATCATTCTTTTTTGAGTAATAGAGTAAAAGTTACCTCAAAAAACTGGTCTTTTTTTACGGATCTATCTAGATTTCAGTTAGAGATGATTTTCTATAGAGCAGAGGTACCTCAAAAATTGAATATTTCTTCAAGCCAGATTCAAATTTTGACTTCTAATGAAAAAAAGCTTTATTTTGGAAAAAATGTCTTTTTCAGATATAAGAACTGTGGTACTAGACAAACTGAAAATAACTTGAAAATATGTTTTTTCCGTAATTTTCCAAAAGAGCTTCCAGAAATTAGCTCTTCAAGTTTTGAAACTAGGGCCGAAAAGACGCTCTTTTTTCATATTTCAGTTAGATTTTCTCAAAGTAAGCTCGTAAATTGCCTAAAAAGGGCCGAAAAGACGCTCTTTTCTCATAGATTTTCTTAAAATAAGCTCTCCAAATTTCGAAAAAAAAAAAGGGCCTGAACTTCTAAAAAAGGGGTTCCTATTCCTAATTAAAGTTATAGAAAATCCTCAAAAATCCAAACTAAATATCAGGAAAACCTTTCCTCCACAAGCCTCACAACTTTTCTCGCCTTGAGTTATTTATCACTTTATTTTATTTTCGCATTGTTGGCCACTGTAGTTGTTGCTTGTATGTTGATTATCATCGTTGTAATATTTCAGAGAAAACGCCAGTTTAAACCAATTTCCTTCTTTTTATTTGCTACACCTTCTCGTTTGTCTTCCAACCGGGTCACTCAACTTTCCAACCAATCGATATTTTAGTTGTGCTCTTTTTGTTTTATTGTTCAATTTTCCATCTTCTTCTTCTTTTTTTTTGTTCTTTTTTTTCGGAAAATAACAAGTAACAAATGGTTCAACAAACTGGGTATATATATGGTACAGATAAAAAGGTAAGGAAAGGTAAGGAAAGGAAAAAAGAAACGAACGGAACCACGTCTCAGCGGGCCTTCTTTTTCTTCAATTTCGCCATTCCTGGCCCATTTCTCTTCTTCCCACCGATCCTCTTGTTGAACGCCTTCTGAACTTCCTCCGTGTCGTCGTCATCCGAATCGCCGGCTCTTCTGAAGTCGGAAAAATGAAAAAAGGAGATTTTAGGCTGATAAAAAAAAAGGCTGATGAAATGAGAGAGCTCAAACTGAAACTGATTATTTAATAATTTTCCAGAAAAATTTCCAAAAGCTTGTCAAATCTCACTTTTTGAACTCTTAACAATTACAAACACTCATAGAAAACTTCAATTAGAGCTTTTCATGTAGCAATTTCACACAGAAAGCCGTTACGAACCGTTTCTGTCCGCGTTTCTTCTTCTCCTCCATCTCCTTGATCTCCAACTTGGCCGCTTCGATCGCTTCTTGGGTCCTTTCGGCGAGGAGCATCACCTCCTGCTCGTTGCAGTCATACTCGCTCATCTTCTTGCCTGAGAATCGCAGAAATAAATCAGGGAAAATTCATAAATTATCGGAAAAACCCTTCTCAAACGCGTAAGAGTTATAAGTTCGTTATTCATCTTCTTTCTTTGAAATTTGAGAAATGAATGACGAGAAATATCGAAAAATCTATACAGAGACACAATTTCCTTCAAAAAATTAAAAATTGCTCATCTTTTTTGAAGAAAATGGAAACGAAACGTGCTTCAGAGTGCATTAAAACGCCCAGCAAACGATGAAATTCCCAGTTTCGGAGCGGTTTTGTGTTTTGAAACATGTTTTAACATGTCAGTTTAACGAGGTACAATTCTTAGAATTATTGAGAAAGTTTAACCATCAAAAAAAAATTCCGAATTTTATTTTCAACTACATCTTTTGCATCAAGGAAATATATACGAAGAAACTTTTTTCTGCTTATAACAAAATGAAACAAAAAAAAATTCAGGAGGAAGGAATGGGCTGAGATTCCACACTGTTTGTTTTTATCAGGTCACAAAAACATAACCGATGAGATTTGTTCGCGCCCAAATGGAGGTCAAAGTATATACACGATCCTCATAAATCTTTTCGATGTAATTTTTTCTTCCGTTCCTACTTCTTGGTTTCGAACTTGATGGAGTCATTTCTTGCATTTCTTTCAAACTCGCTCAACGACTAGTTGATGATCCACGTGAAAAACTTCCGGCCAATTTTCTGTTTCTACCGCAAAAAAAAACCGTATAGCTTTGGTACAAATGTCGGTGTGAAACCTGTGTTTTTTCATCATACATATTTGTACTCTGAAAGGTCTCACAGCGAAAAAAAAATCAAATTTTCAGGTTGCTTATTTTCTCTCCGTTAACGTTGCCCACGCAGAAAACATTACATCAACCTTCTATTTTCATTGTTTTTACGCATTTTATTTTATAAACTTTTTCCAAACTTTTTCTTCATTCTTTATCTTGTTTGAGTGTTCAAAACCAATATTTTTAAAGGAGCATGATGAAAACCGAAAACCCCTTTTGATAGGTTCCATCCCAGAAAAACTGATATTTTGAGTATCTGCGTTCTTTTTTTACGCAATTCTTGAGTGATTCTTCACGTTTTCTTGATTATTTTTCTCATTGAAATGCTCAAAAACATTTGGTTTATTTCAAAACACCCTAAAAACCGACCCAAATGTCCCTCGACCCTCTGATAGGTCTCCACGTCGTATTGGGTAACCATAGTGATGGCCAGGCCGGCCCGTCCCGCGCGGGCCGTTCTTCCGACCCGATGGACGTAGTCCTTGGATTGCGAAGGCACGTCGTAGTTGATCACCATGTCGACGTGAGGAATGTCGAGCCCTAGATAATGAAATGAAATATTGAACGAAAACTTGAAATCTGTGGAAGTAAAACCCGGCGAAAAAGTGAACTTATCCTGATTCTTGAAGTTCAAAAACGTTCCACTTGAAAAAGTAATAGTTTTGATTGCACTCGGAGCTTCAAAATTTCAGCCAGCTTGTCCCGTTTTTTTTTTCATTTCCGAAAGATAGACCAAAATTGTGTAAATTCAACCCAAGACCTTTGTTTCTTCCTGTCAGGCAGAAATTGCAAAAAAGCCGTTTTTCGCGCGGAACATACTATAACATCACTAATTGAGCCGTCTCTTCGAGGTGTTCACTGAATAAATTCAAGTGAAACTTTTTCCCTCAAGTGACAACTCAAAGAGTCGGCTGCTCCGTTTGTCTTCCGTAAAATGTAATGAATTCGCGTACTCGAATGCTGAGCAGGGTAACCCCGTCGTGCTAACACGGGTTCTCAGCGGGTGCCCCCGTATTAAACCCGTAAAAGCCCAGCTGATAGAACTTTTGGCGATTTTTAGCCCAACTGAGACCCCGCTTTAGCACAGCTGCGTTACATATTTTTCTTACACCCGTTAGCCCAACTGAGACTAAAATAACCTCAGAAACACGGGTTTAATACGGGTACACCCGTTGAGACACCTGATCAGCATGCGAGTATTTCTATATATTATCACTTCGATTTTTTTTTTTCCAATGAAAGATCATAAAAACCTCTGGAGGCGACGTCGGTACACACCAAGATTCGGCGAGCTTTGCTTCGGAACTTGTTGAGAGATCCCAGGCGTTTCTCCTAAATATTTCATTATTTCTTTCTAAAAACTGAAGTATCCTTGATTTTAAAGCTACTTACATGTAGTTTATTAGAAAGTCATCACCAAAATCGAAATGAAGTTTAAAAAAATAAATCCTTCAACCTTCTGATTGACGAATTCTCTTCGAAAACATCAAGAAACGCTCTAAAATTGTATCCCTGTAACGTCCCGACTTCTGAAAAAAATTTCAAAAATTCAAAAACCAAAAATTTCAAATCCTTCTCGACGATAGAAGCCTATATTTTTTTACAACTTAAAAATTTTTAATTTTATGAATTTAAAAAAACTATAAAAAGAAACAATTAAATTCTCATGTATGATTCATCTTCTAGCTTTCTTCCACATTTTAAATCATTTCTTTTCTCTCTCTAAACCCTCCGTACCTGAGTCATCTTTCCATGCAGCGGGACGGCTTCCAGGCCAAGTTGCCGTAAAGTCAGTGCGAGCTGAACAAAAACATTGATTTAATTTTTAAAAATCATCAAAACCAGCATGGCCGTATTACAAGTGGCGGTGAAGACGATAATAGTGTTGGCGCTGTGTTCGTTGAGCAGGAAAATCAGGTAGGGGTCCTGAAATATTCAAAAATATAACCAATTGATATTGCCGTGATCAGAACAACTTCAGCGACTTCAAAATCGACCTTTTTCAGTTCTACATGCATTTGCGGAATTGGAATTTAGGAAGGTCGCAGAATGGCGATTTTAAGGCGCAAAACCTTGAGATTTGATTGGAAAACGAGTAAAATCGAAAATTCAATATTTTTTGAATACCCGCGTACTACCTCTTTAAAAGAATCGACTTTTTTTCAAATTCCTAATTGACGCATTTCGCGAAACTCTTTTAATGAATAAAAAGTCAACTTTAAAACGCGCGAAATAATCTTGAAAGACGAAATTATCATCAATTTGAAGTTTTATAAACTAAATTTTTAGAACTGAATGAACCTTGTATTTCTGGGGAATGAACAGATAGTTCTGAAGGAGCTTGTCGACGGTCGTATATCTCGTGGAGACTTCGATTCGGGCCGGGTTTTTCAGCGAAGCTCGCTCCAATTTCGCGACCTGTAAATGAAATTATTTAACAAGGTTCTTCTAAAGTTTTTCGACAATCCACCATTGTGAGAAACCGCATATTGAGAAGTCAACAATTTATTTCGGGAGGTTTTTAGGGCATTCTGATTACTTTTAAATTGCAAAAATTTGCACCTTCTGCTTTCCAGTAACGTTATGAAGACTAAAAGCTTGAAATATATAAGGAGAAAAATAGTTTTTTCACGTTTTTTTTTGGCTTATAACTCGACTAAAACTGCTGAATCCTACAAATTTCCTTCTTTTCTTGAATCAAAAAGCTCTGAAAAGCATCTCAGTCAAACTTTATAGATTTTAGAAAATCACATCGTCGCTCAAGCTCCGCCCCTATCGGCATGATAAACCAAACAGGGAGCGAGTCACGCACAGAGCTTCAAATGACGTCATTCTACTTGAAATTCAAAACTTGAACGGATTATACTCATTATGAAATTTTAGAGGTCATACCCCGTTAAAAAAATAACTTTCCGCAATTTTTCTTTTTTTCTTGGATCAGTACGCTCTGAAAGACATCTAAGCCAAAATTCATCAATTTTTCAAAATGTTCTCGCAATTCCCTTTGACAACAAAAATCCACTTTTTTGGTCATGGTAGCCGAAAAAAGGTAGGTGCGTCGCTCGCGTGGGATCACTTTCAGAATCTTGTCCAGTTCGGCCTAAAAATCAATACAATTAATATTTCATTTTTTTTTTCGATAAACCTCAAAATCCAGGTTGAGGATTCGATCAGCTTCATCCATGACGAGGTATTTCAGAGCTTTCAAATTGAACCCTTTCGTGTTCTCCAAATGATCGACCAAACGTCCGGGAGTCGCTGGAAAAGGCCAAATCAACTTATTTTCGAGTGAATATTGCTTTTTTTTTTCCAAGTGGGTGAAACTCCTAACAAAAATTCCAGATTTTTACATGAAAAGACCAAAAAAAAAGGGCCATTTTCTTGGATTACAGCTATGTTTCAAAACGCTCGGCTGATAATTTAGAACAAAAAAAGGTCTGGAATATAATCAAGGAATCTTCTGAAACACCCTCACCATGTACTACTTGAAAATTACTGAAAAAAACTGGGAGAAATTCTTCGAATCGGATTTTTCATCGTTCCTATTGGTTCTTTTTTTCTCCTTGATACTTTTTTTGGTTAGATTGATTTGAAAAAAATTAAAAAGATTCTTGCCTGAAAAAAAGCAGCATAATGCTGATTTTGTTAGAATTTACCTGTTTTTCTAAACTATGATTCGAAAAATTTATTTCATAAATCAGAACAAGAAAAAGGCCGAGAATCTCATTATATAAAAAAAAGAAAAAAACTTCTAAATCATCATTTTCCATTCAAGGGAATGGCTTTCAAGCCAAAAAACATTCAACTGGATTGAAAATACCTTAAAAACTTCAGAAAAAAACTCTCCAAATCGTACCATTTTTTTGTTAATTTCACACCATTCTTATCCTTTTTAAATAAATATTTTTTTCAGCTTAAAAAAATCAATTTTTTTGAAACGAACCGACGATGATATGAGGCCTTTTCGCGAGGCCAATCGCCTGGGTCGCCATATCTACGCCACCGACAATGACGGCTGAAAAAAATGAAATTTTTTTGGGATCAATTTATAAGTTGAGGACAGAAAAAAATCATTAATAAAAAAATTTTATTAAATCATCACCCATTAAGACGAAATAAAAACTCGAAAATCAATTTTTTTCAAATTTCAGTTTGATCCGCAAAAACCTGTTCGACCAAAAAAATTCTAGAAAAAAATAAATGAATTTTTTTAAATTAAAAAAATATTTGGCATTTATTATTCTAACTGCATTTAACCAACATAAAATCCAAAAAGATCCCAAAATCTCTTCTTTTCCTCACTAACCAACACCCAATCCAATTCCAGAGCCCAAGGCCTCAAATTGCTGTGCGATTTGAAAGGCCAATTCACGGGTTGGAGTCAAAACAAGGGCGAAATAGGCCTGCGGGTGGTTGAGGAGCGCCTGGAGAACGGGAAGTGCAAAAGCGCCCGTTTTTCCGGATCTGAAAGTTTTTGAGGGTGAAAAATGATGCGAAACTATGAATCATAGTGAAGTTTTAAAAAATCAAGTTAACAGCTGAATGACGAATCTTACCTAATATATTAAATCAAAGCCATAATAAAATTTTAAAGCCAAAAAAATCTGTATTTTATAAATTTCTAAATTTTTGGTCATTTACAAGATTATTATTACTGTTTCTGTTGAAATTCCTGAATTCTTTGAAAAAGCTAACACCTCAAACTTTTCAAACTAAATAAAGGATCTTGTAAAATGACAAAAAGTTGATTAAATTAATTAACTTAACACTATTTTTATGATTAGAGCTCGATATTTCTATCATTACGAATAATTAAAACACAATAAAAAAATTCAAAAAAACAAGAATTATATGTTTAAAAAAAGACAATAGGAGCAGTTATGCCCTTTCTCTAGAATGATTTTTTTTGTTTGAGCTAAATTATGAGCTAAATTAACTTTCTGCATGGTTCTCACACAATGAACATTAAAAAACAAACGATAGAGAAGAAAATGAAAAAAAAAATATAATAAAGAAGAATTTCCATCCATCTTTGACAATAATTTCATAACTTGAGCTTGATTCTCATAACTTTCTAAATAAGGTTCACAATATAAAAATTGGGAGAAAAAATAACGAAATATCCAAAAAAAGACAATGAAATAAATAATTCTACCCCGTCTCAGCCAGGCCAATCATATCTCTCCCGACTAAAGAGAACGGCAAACTGGACGCCTGGATTTTCGAAGGAGTCGTCCAGCCAAGACGTTCACAGGCATCGCAGAGCGTGTGGTTCAATCCCTAAATTAACGAAATTACTTTAAAAAATATGCACAATTTTCCTACCAATTCGGCAAACGACTTGGGGACTTCCTCCTCTTCTTCCACCTTCTCTGCTTTTTTCTTTCGCTCTTCTTCACTATCTTCCGATTTTTCTCCTAAAAATAACATTCATTAAAAGCTCCGCAAATCGAAAATTCTTACTGATGAACTTCTTTTTGCGCGGATTCGCAACGGTCTCTTCTTCGTACTCCGAGTCAGATGAATCCGACATGTTAACCCTGAAATATTAAAATACGATCAATAAAAAAATATCAAAACACGCAAATAACAAAAAAAGCTTTCGTAAAGATATAACCGTGCGGCAATTGCCATAACGCCGTGCACCATTTGCAAACGCAGGAAAAGTTTGCAACATTTTTTTGAAATATTGAAATCTTTGTAAATTTTTTTCTCTTTTTCAAGTTTGTACTTTTTATTTTTCTTCTCGAGTCCCAGTTATTCAAGCTGAAAAAACTCATCGCGAACATCATTCGAAACAATGAAAAATAAAAAAAAAAACCAAAATACTCTTACTTCAATTTATTATTATTTTTTTATTTTTTTATTACTTTTTGAAATTACAATATAGGAAAATTAAGAAAACGTCGTTCGATGACGATAGAGAAATTTCAACACAGCATTTATACAAAAAGTTTATTGCTCGAATCAGAAGAAGAAAATGGCGAGGACAAGGACGGAGGAGACTTTGGAAATGACTGAAAAAGCGGCAATTTTGGAAAATAGACAATGTTTGGGAAGCTTACAAGGATGAATTCTTCGGTTGAGAGCGTCAGTGAGACAGTCGAAGGTGGGGAATTCGGTGGAGTTAAAATTTTGAGGCGGGAGAAGGAAGGGCGTCTTTTTTTGGGCTTTAATGGCTTCCAACACGTTTTTTTGAATGTAAATCGTTCCAGTCGTGATAAGGTATGGGATGAGTTTGTGGAGGGGAAATGGGATCGGATCTCTGGGAGCTGAGTCCAAAAGTTGGGACGTGTCAAAGTCCGAGTGGTTTTTGGCCGAGTCGACCTTTCGTTCCAGGTCCAGGGGAAACTGGATGTTTTGATCTGCAAAAATTCTTTCTATTTTCTATTCTAATTTTTTCCATTTTCTGAAAACTTTAAGACGCTTTGGCCGCACGTGGAATGGCTTAAGGCGTTGCTACTATTGAGAGATCTAGCTCAAAAATTTTTCGATGCTCTCACGCGCAAGTCGTTTTGAAGTCGGACGCGTTTTGAATAAAGCTTTTTAAGTCATTCCACGTGCGACCAAGGTGAGCAAAATCATTATGAGGAGATCTTTTTTGGCTCAATTTACTGTCTGATACTCGAAACTCTCTCTTTTTGCCCACTATCTCGCTCACCGAGTCAAAGCCCTCCAAAAATGATAAATAAATAATTTACGCCAAGTCAACGTGAAAACTACTGTAGAAACTTCTTATTTCCTCTCACTCTTTCGCTCATTTTTTTCTAGACTCACTTCTTTAAGCGCTTTCTTCAAACTTTTATTCAATTTAGAGGTGTTTATCAGTAAAATCTAACAAAAATTGACTTTTTTTTTTAGTTAGCCACAGTATTATTAATGTTGAATTAAACTTAAGACTCTAGCTTGTCCAATGAAAACTTGACAACCTAGGGAGTTCCAGAGTGGTCCCTATAGGGGCGAGCTTGGGGACCGCTTCACCAACCCCTATAGGGGCCACTGAAGCTTGCAAGAGTGGTCCGTACAAGGGTCTTAGTTATTGGCCCCTATAGGGGACATGCTGAGGATTCAGACCCTAAACCCCTATAGGGACCACTTTTTCTAACCCTATAGATGCTGTTTTTTGCCCACACCCCTAGCGGAACCACTCTAAAATCCTTAAAATCACTGAAAAAACCTATTTTTTTCCTGAAAGAATCTTTCTCACTAGTGATTTTATTTTTCCTCAAACAGATGTTTTCAAATCACCTTGTAAGCCCCACTGCGGAGGGCGGACGTCCTGGGCCGACGCGACGACGAACATCGAAAGGGCGTAAAAAGTTAAAAGTGCTCGCAATGAACCTGAAAAAATGAGATGAAAACCTTGAAACTATTTCGCTCCAGACAATTTTGTAGAAAGAAAGCGAAATAGTGTAGAAAACCAGGAGGGTCATAGTGTAAGTTGAAAAGTATACCTCCATCATTTTTCTTCTTGTATTTCTGAGCAAAAAGCATCCGGTCGGCTCGAAATGGACTTTTAATATGGTAATGACTGAATGAGGTCAAAATCCACGTGGATTAATTTTTTTTGAAAATTTTCGCGTAGACTTTTTTTCCAGTTCAATTTTTCATAAGTTTTTTCAGGTTACTGTGAAAAATTTTAGTGGCCACTATAGATGCTCGCCAAGGACTACTTGGAGAGGACACTAAAGTGGCCACTATTCTCCGTTTTAGTGGCCACTTGAGCAGTTTTTTACCCAGTATCCCTTCCAGTAACTCTGATAATTACAAAACAAACAGATTGGACCAGTTATGTTGATCCGTTGTCCCCTAAAGTGGCCACTACAATGTTTAGTGCTCTAGTAGTAGCAATTAGACCTCTATAGTGGCCACTAATTTTTAACCCCTTAAGTGGCCACTCATTTAACTACTAAAGTGGCCCCTAAAGCGTCAAAACCCTATTGTGGCCACTAGAATTATTGCAGTTTTCTAAAAACCCTCTTATTTTCGCACACTCTCTCATGAATCTTTTCGAGACCCAATTCTGGGAAAAAAAAAGTGATCTTCAATTTTCCTATTCAAAATCCTTAAAAGGGTTTTCAAAGGCGGAAAAATCTCAGACCATTAAGGTCTCTCCGCTTCGAAACCTCTTTGAGCCTTTAAAACCCCAAATAGAAAAAAAATAACCTCAAAAATCCATCAAAAATACATGTTGTCGCAAATATTTATTGCAAAATTACGAAGGATTATGACGGTTTGGAGTTCTGGATCATGGTGTGCCGAGATTTCTGTTGATGAAGCCTATCTGAAAATAAATATATTTTTTTCATTTGTTCATAGAATAAAAAAATTAAAAAGAAAAAGTAATCGAATCATACAGAGTCAAAAAAATCACCTTCATGATACCAAGAATAGAGACTTCCATGAAGATCAGTGTAACGAGAACCACCGCGGCGAGGCCTCCGGAGGCGCCGGCCAAGGACCAATCGACGATATTAAGCACATCTGCTGGTTCATCTTCGGGTACCGGTAAACACTGAAAAATTCATTCAAATCAATGCTAAAGAGAAAAAGAAAGCGTAAAAAATCTAAAATTAATCATTTATTGGTGACAATTTGAAAAAAAGACTTTTTTTTCTGGATTTCCGCTCCGTTTCAGAGAAATTAAGCGTGTCTCAGCTACCACAGCTATGACTAAAACGTTAAAAAGTATCATGTGAATGAATGAATTTAGTGAATATGAAAAAAAAAAAAGAAAAACAGGTAAAATACAAAAAAATTCTTCTACTTCAAAATTTATGTTTTTCTGCGCGAATAGGTCTATAAATGCATGAAAAACTAGTTCAGCTCTCCACACAAGCTTGCCAAATAGGAAAATATACATATTCCAATAAGAATCGATGTAGAAACTAAGAAAAAATTGGAAAAAAAAAAATTATTCGAAAATGCGTTTGGTCCGTCACGGGCGGTGTGTGCATGCAGAGCCTCGCCTACAGTACTCTTATATTAATATCATTCTTCTTTCCATGTTAGACATTCATTTCATTTTGTAAGAAAAGAGAGGGCGACGCGATATTGCACCGTTGCACACAGCCAAATTGCGCATATAGTAACCTCGGCGAAGGCAAAGAGCGCTTTTTACATTTTCTCATCATTCCGATCGTTTTTGCCTAATCGGGAGTAAATTTTTGATGTTTTTTGTTTTTTACCTCGAGGCGGCGTGCTTCATGAGATTCCGGGTAAAGCGCGAAGACGCGAAAGAGCGTGGATGGCTGTTCTAGAGACGACCAGAGGCGAAAGCTGGTTTCAAAAACCTCGGTAAGTCAAAGTTATCTATAGTTTCGGTTCGTTAATATTCCGTGTCGTCTTGCCCTTCAATTTCCACCTCTTTCCACTTTTTCTAGCTTTTTTTAAATCAAAAGTCTCGAATGTTTGAATTTTTTTCAGATTTTTGTTTATGGCGATAGACAAGTTTAACAAAAGTTCCATCCCAGCCCAATACGCCCTCTTACCCTTATCACTCTCTCTCTCTCTCCTCAGGTGGCCCTGTAATAAGAACCTTAATAAACATTTACCAATTAGTCCAGGCTTCTCAAGTCTTTCCCTCTCCCAGAAACCATGTTTCTCTTATCCGTGCCGGCAAATGCGTGACATGAAGTCCCCACGATGATGTCCCTTGAGTAAGGACGTTTTCAGAACGTTCCCTTGTTTGCCACTTCAAAACGCTCACATTTTGATTTTACAAAAGCCCAAAGAATTTTACAAGCATAGAGACCTCCTGGCTACAAACCCTCGGAAAACTTTGGATAAAGTTGGATAACCTGTTGGCCCTTCCATGACCTCTTCCCGGAACAGAACACTGAAAGACTAATCTGGTAACGTATGAAAAAAAAAAGCTTTGAAAAGCGAAGTGATCAGAGAGAACTCTGGACAAGAGTCTTAAGACCCCGGAGTCAGTCCCTCATCCTGCCATTGAGCTGTTTAAAAAGTTTCACGAAACACATTGCGGCCACGTTTGTGTTAGAAAGTACTTACCCTCAGAAAACCTTCCTCATCCCTGTGTCATTTTTCCTGCTGAAGCCCCATCAGAATGGAGAGAAATTATTGTGATGAGGATTCTCTCTCAGGTTTAAATCACAGTTCTAAGGCGAAGGGTCAATAAACGTAAAGTCAGATCAGAAGCAGTCCATTTTCCCTTGATGGAAGCGTAACGATATACACCTGTCCCCCGCCTACCATCTCTCGTCGTTTGAAAGATTTGTCCCTGTGTGAGTTAGAGCATGCTATGTATAAGGCGTTGACGTTGCTTTACGTTGAATTAGGACTGGAAAGAATGGAAGATACTTTCATCCCAAATTCCGTTTGTTAGTTTTTGAGCCGTGATTCTGGACGCCGAAATTCCCAGTTTGAAAGAGAAGCCAGTGACACTGGAAGTTCCGAGTGTTTAAACTCTAAAGAGGTTAATGGGGTTACCTAATTTCATTTTTCCCTCATCATTTCGAAGCCGTACCAATCGAGCGTGTTTCCATCATTCTCTATTTGACAAGCTAAGCTTATGATCGAAGTTAGTTTTCAGTTTGTACGCGATTCCTTTCAAAAAAAAAAACCGTTCAAATCCAGAGGCTGAATTAAACGCTTATGGTCCAAGTTAGTCGCTGTTCAAAACCGGAGGCTGAATTTCAGAAAAGCATCTATTCTTCGTTAGATCCCGCTCAGATTTTTGTGAGCTTAGACTGGCGTGATCAAGTCAATGCTCACTTTCAAAATATTAGACAGAGCAAGTTAGTAGTTGTTGAAATACCCTGCTTAGTTGTCGTATAGCGTTTTTGACCCGAATTCAACAGGAAATTCGAACTACAGTTGGATCCCTACACAAAAAAAATCCAAGTTAAGGAATCAGTGCTCCCTCTTTGTGGTTCCGAATAAACGCGTCGACTCTCTTGAATGACAAAATACATTTATGATGAAATGAAATGGAATTATAAATTTCATTTTGTAAGAAAAGAGAGGGCGACGCGATATTGCACCGTTGCACACAGCCAAATTGCGCATACAGTAACCTCGGCGAAGGCAAAGAGCGCTTTTTACATTTTTCTCATCATTCCGATCGTTTTTGCCTAATCGGGAGTATGTCCCACCCTCCCACCCTCATACTCCCTCTCTACCACTGGCAAAAACACCGTCGACCCCACCGCACCAGTTTCAGCGATAGTCAAAATTCTTAAAATAGAATTTGTAAGTGAAGACTTCAAAAAGGTCACCCCGGCGGAAACAGCTTCTTTCCAATACATAAGCCCTTTTCCGCTCTCTTCTGAGATTAAATCCGGCGCCCGTCAGACCTGAACAAGCTGGGCGCCGTACTGTTCCTACATGGAGAGGAATGGATCGTCGAAAACGCCGAAAACCGTCGACTACTATCACAAGAGAGGCCTGATGCTTTACGCTTGATCAACAACAGATTCGCAAACGGACAAACATGTCTTCAACTATTTCATGGTTCAGAAGAGAACCTGTAGACTGAGTAAAAGTTACATAAAGCCCTTAATAGAAAGCTTGGGAAACAATACCTCAACACTCACAGTCCCCCTAGGCACTCGAAAAAATGTTTTTAGATCAGCGAGCCTACGCATCTGGAGTCGCGTGAAAGAAGGTCAGCCGAAGCGGAGGCCGCACGCGCAGTTTAAGTTGACCGACAACACGAGGCTCACTTACTTCTGCAACACTCCGAACTACGACAAGCGGCGCTCCTATGCGACTACATGCAAATGATGATCTACCGTACATTCAATCGTCAAATTCTTTATCTGTATCGCCGCCCCTTGATTCTTGTTGCATTCCTACTGGGTTTTTGGTTTGGGTTACAAGGCAATAAACGCGTCGACTCTCTTGAATGACAAAATACATTTATGATGAAATGAAATGGAATTATAAAGTTATTTTTCTGTACAATGCTGCATTACAGAGAAAACCAAACTCTTACCACGTTTCCTGGCGGCGCATTTTTCAAATTCGTCGGATCTGCGGATGCTGACATCTTTTTTTCCTTTGACTCGATGGAGCTAGGTTCGGCCATTGTTTATTGTTGAAGAAATGAGCAAAGAAATCGGAAATTTCTCGGTAAATTTGTTTTTTTTTCCACATTCACCTTACTTGAGAGTTTATTTAATCTTGACGCGTAATAGTGTGACTTAAAAGTGAGAGAATCCATGATTTTTAACTAATTTTTTTCGTGAGAAGCTGAAAATGATTACCTTTTCCACGAGTGAACTACAGACAAATAGAGATGAAAGAAAAACAAATTTAATACTGTTTAAAAATTTTTCCTTTGCTAATAACGCACGACCATATTTTTTTTCAAAAATCCAAACTACAGAACTCTTCCGGGAAGCTTCCCTTCGATGCGCGCGACCTGTCCCTCTGTATGCGCCTTTAAATTAACTTTATTTTAAAGGCGCACGCACAAATACAGGTATCGTGTATCGAAGAATGGAGTTCTGTGGCTCGGGATAGGCTATAACAATTTTTTTTTCAATGGGCAAACATCCAAGCTACGTAACTCTTCCGCGAAGCTTCTCTTCCTTCTGCATTCGCCTTTAAATTATCCTTATTTTAAAGGCGCATGCGCAAAGAAAGATATCGTGTATCGAAGAATGGGGTTCTGTCGGAGAAAAAAAAATTGTGATAAGCTAGAATAGTCTCTTCCGTCAAGAGAAAATCAAGAACAAACTCCTTTGATGCGGTTTTTTTGTCCGGCTCTCTTGAACTAGGTGTGCCACTGCCGGTTCTTTTCGCGGCCAACTGAGCGGATAGCGTCAGATTCTCGTATCCTGGTCCCAGGGGTCCCAGTTGAGCTACTGGGAACTTATCAGCCTCTTTCGATCCGGCTGATTTTTTCTCGGCTGATTTTTTCTCGGCTGAATTTTTCTCGGCTGATTTTTTCTCGGCTGATTTTTTCTCGGCTGATTTTTTCTCGGCTGATTTCTTCGCAGCGGCGCCCGTCATCTGAATTTTGACGTCATTTATCAAGTTCTACGAGATTATCGACTCATTTCGCCTTAAAATTGCGTTGAGAAGCGTTAACAGCTAAACAGAAAGTTTACAGAATGAACATATTTGCCTTTAAGTATCCCAAAAACTTCTAGGAATTCGAATGCGTTCAGATTTTCAATGTCAACTCCTCGCTCAAACTCCGGCCCTTATGATCAAACCAATCAGAGAGTGAGCCATCCACAGAGGGTTTTTTGGGGCGGAGTTTGCTGCTTGACATTTGAAATGAGAGCAGACTACAACCATACTGAGGAAAAGAACAACATAATTGAACAGGAATCTCAAATTTTTACTTCATTATGAAGCAGGAAACTCGGAATTTCCGAGTTCTTGGCGATTTTTCTACAGTACCCCTCCCAGGAGAAAAAAATTCTCTAATTAAAAAAATTCGGAATAAAAGGCCATTTTTCAGCAGCACTTCGAGGTGCTATGAACTTTTTTTTAGTGAAAAAATTGGATTCTTTCAATAAAGAGCCTGATTCAGTGTGACTGTTAGAAGTAAAACAAACTTGAAAAAGAAATTTTTTTCAATAAAATTTGAATTTTTTCCATCATCTGAACTCTTAAATTTGAAAAAATTATGGAAAAATTAACTCTTTTTTTCGAGCTTTTTTTAAAGCCGATTATTAAAAAAATTCGTCCGTTTTTTTCCAAACTTTCACAAAAAAAGTTCTGGATCTTGATTCTAAAATAGTCGAAGCCGATAGCTTGAGATGCAAAGGGGGGCGTGGCCTGCCTGCGCTCTCCACCAACCAGACACTGTCTCGTTTCTTATCGTGTCACGACCCTTTTTTTAAAGGCTCAAGCCAGCCGTGGGTCAGCTATGATTCTTAATGAAAGGTCCTACCAAAAACTTGAAAATTTCACATTAAAAAAGCCGATTCTCAATAATTTTCAACACAAACTCTCCTAGGAATGAAAAAAAGTTACCTCTTTTAAATCACGAAAACTTTGAAATGAAGCGGAGCGGCTTCACGTTCCGTTTCCTACTGACGAAGTTCATTGTCCCTTTTTTCGTTGTTGTTAAAAACTTGTCAGGGAAGCAGAAAAAAAAGGAAAAAGTTTGAAAAGAGAATATAAAAATATTTCAAGTTTTTGAAACTCAAACAAAAAAAAACATCGAACCAAGATGTTTCATTATAGTTTTTTTAAAGCATGAGCAATAAATCAAAAAAAAAAACCCGTTAGACAATAAAAAAATATGAGGGGTTTGAGTTTCGAGCCAATTTTCCAAGGGCCAGAGCTCCACTGCACACGTCGTCGTCGGCGTTTTGCACTGATTCGTTTCGACTTTCCTGGAAAAAATGGAAAATATTCAAGCTTCAACAATGCAAAATCAAAGGCTATGTTGTGATTTCAAACACTCTCCATCATTTTCGGCTTTTTTTAAATCTCCAGAGTGGTCCCTATAGGGACAACCTCAGAGGCTCTTGGAGGGTAGCCTTCAGGGACCACTTTGCCAACCCCTATAGGGGCCACTAAATCTTACAAAATTGGTCCCTATAGGGGACAGGCTAGTCAATAATTGTTATGAACTCTAAGCGAAGAAGCATGTCCATGGGAAAAACTGAACAAATAAGTTTTTATAATGAAATTGAAAGACCCCTAGAGGGTCCACTTGAGCTTTAGGGGTTCAGGAGTCCGACCCTAAACTAATATAGGTACCACCTTGATTAAACCCCTACAGGGACCACTTTTTCGGCCCCAATAGGATTTCTTTTTCAGCCCTAACTCCTATTGGGGCTACTCTGGAATTCCTACAAATTTTTGGAGAAAAAAAATTCGGCTCGGTTTTCATTCTCCATGGAGCGCAGAAAATTCAATGATAGAAAAAAAAAAAGCAAAATCAGTCTGAAATATCAAAAGCACACAAAATTATCGATAAAGCGCAATTAAAATCAAAAATCGGCTTTCGTTTTTCGTTTTTCTAACTGTAAATATGTTGTTGAGCAACATAAATGTCGTAAAATAGTGCCTCACCGCGTTAAAATTGGTCATTTTTGCCATAGAGCGCAAAAGCTCCTCAATTTGAGCCTGTTGAAGATCTACACGTTTGTCTAGGTTTTTCTAACACTTCACAACTATTTTCAAGAAAAAAAAATAAACCAATTCTTCAAGCATTTGCCCAGCGCTATCCTGGCCGCTGGGTTGTATTTCGGAATTCCAGACGGGAAAATTTTCGAACCCTACAAAAAACTGAGATGAGAGCTATCAGGATGATGACGTCACCTTCTTGATGACGTCAGTGAGGTTAGCCGTTGGCGGGAAAAACAGAAAATCCAAACCTACAACCGTCGCATTGACATTATCATTGTTGTAACGATAATGTACACGAGCGGCGTCAGTTTTTTCAATCTGGAAAAATCGATATCCGTCTGGAAACCTTTAAAAGACGGACATTTTTTGTCGTTTTGTCGCCGATGTACGAAGACACCATGTGGGTGAGGACGACATCGACAAAGTTTCTTTTGAAAATGTACTGAAATTTCATCATTCAGTAATCGCGATCTTGGGATGCTGCGGTCGCATTTGGAATGGCTCAATTTGAAAAAATAAAAAAAACCTTTGTTGAACTGAAGGTTGCTTTTTTCTATTATTATTCTATGCCCCAGAGCCCAAGTCGTTTTGAGTCAGGCGCAAAGACCGCTTCGCAGCCGCGAGGCGTTCAGCCATTCCATTTGCGTCCAATAATAATCTTTACCTTTCCCAATCCGGTTAGATCCAAGAAAATCGGGTTTTTAACGACGTTAAAGTCCATTATCGCTTTATCCGATTTTGTTTTCAGAAGTTCCGATTTGAATTTCGCGCCAATATGAGCAAAATTTATCGATCCAAGAGAGATGTCCGTAAATTGTATCCGAGCAAAGTTGTAAATTGTCGTGTTTCTGGAAAAATCTAGGAAAATTATTTCGAAAGGAAATTGATTTTTACTCGAAGTGTCGGGTAAAATTGAAAAATAAGACCGAGATTTTGAAAAAAAAAAAATCCAAAAAGACCTTTTTTTCTTTTTCCATGTGCTTCAAGAACATAAAAACATTTGAAATGCAAACCGGACGTTATGAGCATTTCTAGGGATCCCTTAAGTGGCGTCAGTACTCTTAAGTGATTCTCAGAAACGCCCCCTTAAGTTGAAAGTTTATTCCTCAAAGATTAAACCTACCTATTTTGCCCTAATTCTCTGTAACGGAAACCGGACGCGCATTTTTCTGAACCCTTCAAGGGACCACTTAAGAAGCCACTAAAGTTGCCCTTAAAATGCTCAGGAACGCCGAGGACGGGTCCGATTTGCATTACCGGGATCCTAATAGGATTTCTGAGCCCTTTTAGTGACCACTTAAGAGCCGGAGGATGCTAAAATTATCCTAAAAACTGCTCAGAAACGTCCGGGGCACGTCCGGTTTGCATTACCGGGATCCCTTCTGAGCCCTTGAAGTGGCCACTTAAGTAACCGCTAAAGTTACCCCTGAAATGCTCAGGAACGTCCGGGGCGCGTCCGGTTTTCATTGCCGAGGTTCGGGAAAAATTAATTCGATTTATTGAAACTTTCCAGTCCCAAAAACTCCTCCAGCTCCTTTTTATAATTGTCCAAATCATTCAAGGTCAAACTTCGCCAGCAAAACTTCGTCGAAGTCGACAAACGTGCCGAGGTCCGTCTTGATCTCCATCAGACACAAGTTGATTGCCAAATTGTGGGCCAATCGATACGTGGAAAATTTTGGCTGAGGTCCCGGAATATTTAGTTTGGGCAGTTCCGGCCATTGCATTATCGTCAGGATACCCTGTGAAATTGAACTTTACCAACAAAAAAAAATGATTAGATAAAAAACGTTAGTATTTCTCAAATAGGCAACAGATTTTCAAATTTTATAAAAATAAAGTCAGAAAATTCTCGTAAAAATCGATTTTTGAAGTCGTTTTTGAGCCAAAATATATAATTTTCTGAGCCTTATAAGCACATTTAAAGCTCTTAACACGCTTTCTCCGTAAAAATTTACGAACTGAAAGTTTCAAACTCGTTTCTAGAGCCTGGTATTGTCACAGAAAAAAAAGATTCGGTCAATTTCAAGTCGGAAAACCCAAAACTGAAGCTGGTGGTTATTTTCTCAATAATCACATGATAACATCATTCGTAGAATAAGAGAGAAAACTTCATGCTCATCATGATTCTTGACCTACTAAAGCTCAAAAGTTGGATAAACTCGTCATTTTCAAGTTTCTTCAACATTTTTTATATTGTAAGAAGACATTTCGGGGTATCTTCCAACACAAAAAATGATCAAAAGGCCGTTTTCTCTGCGTCAAAACTTGTTTGAAACAACTTGCTCCACCCTTAAAAAAGTTGTCTTTTTACGGTATTTTCTCTACCATGACCCTGAAAGTGGGCGGAGCTCATTAAAACCCGGCGCTTCAAGTTAAGAAGGCGGCCTGTTACCTCTCTACGTTGATACTTGTTTGAACCGACTTGCTCCAACAAGAAAAATTCTTATAGTCGTCTTTCCTCTACCATGACCCTATAAGTGGGCGGAGCCTATTAAAACCCGGCGCTTTAAGTTAAGAAGGCGGTCTGATATCTGTGACCTCAGTACCAAGCTTCGGGAACAAACTTGAAATTATTAAACCAGAGGATTTTCGAAATTCGCAGAGAAAGTGTATTAGATACCTTCCTAACATTTAAAAAAAAAATCTTAATAAGAAAATTGCGAGTCTAGGACTCTCTATCTTCACTGAAAAGTCTAGTAGCCTTCTTCTGAACCAAAGATTTCGATTGAGACCAGAAATTAATCCAACAATCTTGAAAAAAATGCTACTACCTATGACTCAAAAAGCTCCTCACAGGCTCATAAATCTTCTTGAAATTCTTACTGGGAACATTTTTAGTTTCCACTATAGGGTTTCGACGTTTTAGTGGCCGCTATAGTAGTCAAAGAAGTGGCCACTTAAGGGGTTAAAAATAAGTGGCCACTATAGAGGTCTAAGTAGAGCACTAAAAATTTTAGTGGTCACTTTAGGGGTCAATGGATCAACATAACTGGTCCAATCTGTTTGTTTGAAAATAATCAGAGTTACTGGAAGAATTAATGGATGAAAAACTACTGAAGTGGCCACTAAAACGGAAAATAGTAGCCACTATAGAAGTGGGTTTAGTGGCCACTTTAGTTTCTTCTCCAAGTAGTCCTTGGCGAGCCTTCATAGTGGCCACAAAAAATTTTCCAAGTAAATCAAGGAATCCATTTTTAATTTCTTGATTCCCGAACCTGTTTGAGGTAAAAGTCGAGCACAGCTCCGACCGCTTCATTCGCCGAGTGATAATAAACGATGAAATGCGTGGCGCCTTGCAGTTTCCAGGTTTCGATGAAGAGGATGATTGTGTGGTGCTCCGAGTACCAATAGACCGGTTCCACACAGACGGTGAGTCCTTTTTTGGCTACATTCCTAACAGGTTCGACGCTCAGTTCGATTTCCCGGTCATCTGGGAGTAGGAGAACGGCCTGGAAACCACACAAAAAAAATTCAACTTTAGGGTTTTTTCATTTTTTTGAAGTAGTGATAAGGCACTAGGAAGCATGCCAGATTGGACTGCTTCATTGTAAAACTTGAAGCGACCTCTTAAGAAGGTAACACAAGGATTCTTGTCCTTTCAAGTGGCAACTTTGGTGACTTGAACCGTAAAATCAAAGCCCTCAAGTGGTTTACGCCAATGTTCTACACAAAAAGTGATCAAAAAAGGCTCCTAGGACCTAGGTAAATTTAAGTGTTCCCTTGAGAGGTGATAATCTTTGCAAAACTCAAATTTGCCCTGCATTTTTCTTCAGAGCTTCAAAATGAAACATTCAAAGTCGACGGATTGATTAAAGAAGTTCAAGTGACCTCTTAAGAAGGCACCACACGAATCCTTGTCCTCTCAAGTGGGCACTTTGAGGGGATTATAAAGTGGATACTTAAGAACCTTAAATTCAAAGCCCTCAAGTGGTTTACGCCAATATTCTACACAAAAATGATCAAAAAGGGCTCCTGGAGAAATTCAAGTGTTCACTTAAGAGGCAATATTTTAGTTATCACTGCAGTTTTCTTCAGAGCTTTAAAAGTATAGATTCAAATTCGACAGATCAATTATAAAATTTGCAGTGACGTCTTAAGAAAGTACCACAAGAATTATTCTCCTCTCAAGTGGCCACTTTCAGAGTAAAATGGGGCTCAAGTGTTCCCTTAAGAGGTGATATTTCTTGCAAAGGTTAGCACTACAGTTTTCTTCAGAGCTTCAAAATGAAAAATTCAAATTCGACGGAATAATTATAAAATTTGAAGTGACCTCTCAAGAAGGCACCACACGAATCCTTGTCCTCTCAAGTGGTCACTTTGTTGAACATTTTAAAAACCGCTTAATGTTCAAAAAGATCCCTCAAGTGCCCCCTTAACCTTTCTTTGCTTCTATTTCCAGCTCCAACAGACCACGCCCAACTCCTCCCCCGTCACTCAAAATGCTGTCACTAACCATGTTAAAGTTATTCCTCAAAGCAGCCACTCTAGGGACTTCTGCTTCGAAGATGAACGAGTTGTAGAAGCAGCCGGGAGCCCAGACCCAGGGGCACGCCTTCTCGACGGGTCTCGGCACGACTTCGACCCTTTTTTGGCCCTTCGATGACATCAGAATCACTTGAAGGGAGAAGTTCGACGGGACGCATGGATTGACGGAGAATATTCGCAACCTCGGCGTCTCGTATCTGAAGTCGTAGTAACGTCATCTTCAGGTCAAAAATGATAAAAATTGGCGTCATTCGGAATGGTTGCTCGGACCTAGGTAAGAAAAATCATACGTTTCTGAGCAATTCTAGGGATCACTTGAGAGGTCTGGCGCTACTAAAGTGGTCACTAGAAATGCCCCGACACGTCCGATTCGCGTCCGAGTAGCAGCAAAAAAATGCTCTAAAATTCAAAAACAATATATTTCGAAGCATCTTTATACTTCTGATTTTTTTATTCTGAAAAAATTGCGTCATTAAGCGGAAAATCTGAAAAAATAAGTTCTACTGGAAAAATGGCCGATTATAAAAAATTCTAGTAGATACATTTGAGTTGATAGTGACGTCAAATTTCTCCGAAAGTGACGTCATAAAAATAAAAGTGACGTCAATTTTATCTTAAAGTGACTTCATGAACATAATAGTGACGTCGCTATTTAATATTCGACATATATTAACAAACCTGTAGTCCAAGTAAGCTCGGTGATAGAAAACGATGGGGAAAGCCGGTTTTTTCACTTCTTTTTGTTCAGTTCTGAAATATACTGTTTCCATGAAGTCACAGAAAAGAAAAGGAGCAAAAATAAACCCAAAAAACTGCGTATCAAAGCTGGAATTGGTCAATATGATGACGAAAACGGCGGTTGTGACGATCAGAAGAAGGCGGAAAGCGATCAATTTTTGCCTCCTCATTCCTTGCCATTCACGTAGGAAAAAGTACCCTGTAAATTCAAATTTGACCCAAAAATCTGCTCATTAGGATTTTGAAAAATAAATTCAAAGATAATATCGATTTTTTGACCCCCGGGAAGGCAGTAAAATCCACAAATTTCCCCTGAAATCTCACAAAAAATCGAAAATGGACTGAAATTTGCAGAAAAATCGCGAAATTTGTCCCAAGGAGTTGGAAAATTGAACTAAAATGGAAAAATTCTGGAAAATCGTCCAAAAAAAATCAAAATATATCCAAAACCGCATATCAGTTTAAAAAAACGTGAAAAATTTGCAAATACGCCAATATTTGAACAGCTTCTCACACCTGACCAATTAAACTAATTGTTCCATTAAAAGCGGAAAATTATGTATTTTCGAATCAATAGGAACGTGAAAAACGAAACGGCAAAGGTTTCCAAGCAACATCACGGACGGAAAAAACTTTTTTTTTGAACAAAAACATAAAATGAGGACGAGCCCTTTTCTTTTGATCTATCAATCGGAGAACGTAGAAATGAAACAATTCTTGAAAGAAAAGAAGATAAAAAGGCTTCACGGAGGCTGTTAAGAGAGCATGTGTGGGTGAAACATTATGACGCACGTGCAGAAAATCGCGCCAAAAAACCCAACAAAAAAGGGGGCAAATCTGTACGATTTGCACTCCGATGGGTCCAATTTGATTGCCATAAAACTTTTGCTGCGGTTTCAAACTCTTTCCAGTGGGGGAAAAAAAAAAGAATTTTGATCGAACTTTATAAAAAAAGGCCTAAAATGACATCGTTGCAAAACGTAGATCAAAAACATTATCTGAATCAGTTTTACTTTCCATTTTCCATCAAAAAATAGGAACTCAACAACAAAAGGAGAATTTCTAGACAACCGATCAAGATCAAATAATTGAATAGAGCAAATCTTTAAAACTTCCTTTTTCAGACTCCCTGTAGAGAAATTTGAATTCTAACTATACCTGGTCAGAAAAAAAAAGTCAAACTAAACAATAAATGCTCCAGTTCAAATGCAAAAACCTAATTCAATAAAAAGAACAAGCATTTGAAATAAAAGCGCAAAAAAAGTGTTTCAAGCCCGATGCGGGGCTCGAACCCGCGACAGCCAGATTAAGAGTCTGGTGCTCTACCGACTGAGCTAACCGGGTCGGTGACCGAAGCCGCAACTTTGCTGTACTACACACTACTTATGCGCAAATTATCCCTAAGTAAATAACAAAAAAAAAAACATTTTTTCGCCTAAATACATCTTCTCAGTTAGAAAACGTACCTTTTTAATCCGTTTGAGTGAATTTTCTGTAAGAGTAGGTTGCCAACAAAAACTTGCGAGGAAATTTAAAAATGACAAAAATGAAAAATGATTATTTCAAGACGTTGTCGACACGTAGTTGATTCCACGTGACTTTAAGGTTCATTTCTATCCCATGGCTAAATTGCTTGGCTGCATTCCCAATATTCCATATCTGATAAACGCAAAAAAGTGTTTCAAGCCCGATGCGGGGCTCGAACCCGCGACAGCCAGATTAAGAGTCTGGTGCTCTACCGACTGAGCTAACCGGGCTGGCGAGCGGAGGCGCCATTTTGCTCTACTCGACACTTTTTGAGCGCAAAGTCCGAGTAAAGGTGCGGAGATATTTTCTTTGTGTAATTTTCAAATCTTTAAAAGTAAATATTTGAAATGTCAATTTTTTTTTAAACCAAATGAATTCATATACAACTTTTTATCACTTCTGAGTATATCAGCAAATCATCAAAAACTCTAGACTCTAGCTTAACTATTTTTACTTCCCTTATTAATACTACAATGTCTGATTAGGTAAAAAAAAATTCAATAATTTGTTTATCAAAGTCATTTCGATGACCTTCACCCTGGCCGGTTACCTTTTGATATTGTGGAGCGTGAACCGGAAGAAGTCGGCGATGATGACGTTTCCAAGCAACAAAGCCATCTGACGATCGTCCTGCAGGACTTGCCCATACTCCTTCGTCGGTTTCAAACCTGAAAAATTGAGTTTTAACAATAATTGAGTTTTTATTCTTCTTTGATGTGATCCTAAAATTTCTGCTTTGGATGAGTTCTAAAACTAATTGATCATATTTATTTACCTTTCCTTAATTTTTACGTCGGGTTGATTTGAATTGAAAGCCTTATATTATTGATCATAAGTTCCGAAGTGAAAAACTACATCTAGAAAATTCAGAAGTCCCACTACGACCGGAGACCTTTCCCTGGTCAGAGACAAACCATAAATAGAGCGGAAAAAAATATCAAAGTCAACCAAAAATTGGCCCCGTTTTCCGCCCTAACTTTAATCTTTCAAATTGCATCCCTATGTTCCAAGAAAATATGACTTTTTTTTTTTTTGAAATAATGTTTCAAAAACCTCGCTTCAACAGAAACTTAATACAAGACTTTGTGAAACATGGAATTTTGGACTGCTTGAATGCCAGCCCTTTTCAATCTTTTGGAATGAAACTGAAAGTAAAGACCCTTTTTAACCTATGGAGTCCTGGCCTGTCGTCTTATCGATCTTCTATTTCATTTCATCTCAAGTGTTACTTCTCTTCACGGTTCATGCGATCTTCATTTACATTTTGGTCAAATGCTACCATGAAGAGAAAAAGGTGAAGCTAAACATTTTGAACTTCTTTAATCCAATTTTTTAGCTGGATTATTACATAGCGGTCCCTTTAATGGAATTCGTCACACTTATCAGCATTACGGCTGTATTTTTCATGGCCAGGGGCGTTTATTTTCCAGGAGCCTTCGGATCTAGTTCATTGATAATCGTCTATTTACTATACGCTTTTAGCTGTTCCCATGTTCTAGTTTTCATCGACGCTGTTTTGTGTCTACACCGTCTTTTTAGCTTTTATCGGATCGTACCATGGTTTTGTAAAAACTTCAAGTGGTGCTTAATCTTCACATTTCTGGTCAAAACAAGTTCTAGTATTACAGGCCATTGGCTTTCTCCATAATTAGGGGGCGCAAAGCCCCGCCTCTTCACGCCACCAAAATGACGATTTTTTTGTTGCAAAAACGGTTTTGAGGCGTTTATAGTAGCTAAAGTTCAACTTTAAAAATAAATTGCTTCTGTTAATCTATGTAATCGACAACGCTCTACAAGACTGAAAAACTTTTAAACTATGTATTTTTCAAAAATCAACGAAAAAGTAAGATTTAACACGAAAAAAACTGACGAGTTTCACAAAATCGTGGCGTTTCTGAAAACCAAATGAGGAACGCTTCCGAATTTTGAGTATGTTATACATTAACACTTTCTTTATTTTTTTGAAAAAAATTTTTAAAAAAATCTAACGACGCGAAAAATCGAAGCTTGTAAAGTGACACCAAACTTTGAAGCTGAAATGCGAAAAAAATTTCAGCGACATGGTATACTTTTTATTTGATTTAAAAACTCACAATTTGCTCACAAACAAAAATTCAAAATGAAAATAATTATTGGGACAGCGAATCAAATTATATTTGAATTTTACCAAAACCTCCTTTTTTCGCCTGCCTCGTTGACGCATGAGAGAATAGGATCGCGTCTATACTTTTTGCTTATGTTATTAAGCGTTCAAAAACTCTATCAATGAAAAAAATTATGAAAAAAATCAAACGACGCGAAAAAAATAACGGCTTTGAAAACCTCAAAAAAATGGCATTTTTTTGAAATTTTTGGAAGAATTCGTGCAAGCGTTCGTAGCTGTGTTTGCGTCAAACACACCGATGCGCACTTTTAAATGTTGCAGGAGCCGTTTTTTTGGAGTCAAATTGCACATTTTTCCTGTTTTTATTTCGAAATAACATTATTTTTTTCATTTTTTTCTTTCTTCCAATTCGAATGATAATAATTTTTTTCTGATTAGAAAAAAGAAAAATAAGCTGAAAATTCCTTCTGACCTTTTTTCTAAGTGGTTTTTTGATATTTTATCAAAAATTCTTATGAGGATTGTACAAAAGATTCATACCAAAACATGAGGCTCAGTTCGGACAACCTCTCAGAACAGAAAACCGATTTGAAAACGGTTCAGAAATGCGCAAAAACATTTAAAAAGAAAGCGTGCGGCAGCGGGTAAACCGTGAGATTTTGCCTCCAGTTGAACGCCGCGCGCGCTAGTTTTTTGGCCATAACTTTTTTCTTAGTGGAGCTTTTTTCTAAAACTAAACGGATTATGAAAATGGACAGCCTCCTCTATCGAACAGTGTAAAAAACATATTTTTTGGATCGTTTTGAAGAAATGGCTTGCGTACCCTATCCATAATAATCTCGATTCCCCAGTCTTTTATATTCATAATGTTTGGGTTTGACTTGATCGACGAGATTCCAAGGGCCAATAATGCGCTTCTAGTAACTTTATATACGGTGAGAAAGTTTGATTAGAAGTGTCTTAAAAGTCTTAGCAAATTGATAATTTCAGATATTTGCTTTCATCAAAATCTTCCTGATTATTTTCACCGTGTGTGGCTACGTTCTCATACTCCGGAGCGTGAACCGCGAAAAGTCGGCTACACTAAGAATAACTGCCGAGATAAACGCGAGACACTGGCGGTACATTGACGAGCTCGCAAACATCTCGCTTTTTTTCTCGCGCCGGTCTCGCATTAGTCTGGGCGCGAGCTCGCATTTTTCTAGGCGCGAGCTCGCATTTCTCTCGCAATTTGAAAATTTCCGAAATGCAAGATAAATGCGAGATGGCGCCGAGAAAAATGCGAGGTCGCGCCGAGAGAAATGCGGGATCGCGCCTAGAAAAAAGCGACATTTTTGCGAGTTCGTCAATGTACCGCCACCGAGCTCGCGTTTATCTCGTCAGTTATTCTTAGTGTATGACAACCTCGTCAGCAAAAAGCGATAGCCATCGGACAATTGTCCTACAGGCTTTACCCATTTCCATCTACTCTCTTGTGAGTTTCAAGCCAAAAACTTTCGAATTAGAGCTCAAATTACAGCTTCTGATATTCTACGACGCTTTTATGATTGTAACATCATCGATTTCTTTGGTCGATGACTTTTGGGGGCAACTGATATATGTCTCTTTTTTCGTGTATTCCTACTTGTCGGGTTGGAATCGGTTGAAAGGCTTATTAACATTGAAATATTCAGGTTATGTCGTACCTTTCTCTTTCATTATTGGAAACTCGAAAAAGAGGAAAATCTTCACTTCGTTCTCCTTCAAGGATTGCCTCAAACCTGATAAAATACTAATAAAAAGTTTTCGTCAAACATTATGACATCTGTTGAATAAATGTGCATATTCTAATTTTCTTGTCTTCTTATGATTGATCGAAAGGGCAGTTGCAAAAAAAGATTGATAATTTCTTGATCAAGGAATTTTTCGAAAGGTTGGGTACCAAAAAACTTCATAATGGGTTTAGAAAGGCCGACTCTTAACTTCGAGATGAAAACAAAGCAGATGAAAAGGAAAAAAAAAATCAATTTACAAGATATGTAGTATGTCCTATCTTCTCCCACAGACCTCCTCGGCAGTTTTCGAGACCAGATTTGGAACCAACGTGAAAAACTACATCTAGAAGTCCCACTACGACCGGAGACCATTCCCTGGACAAACCATAAATAGAACCAAAAAAAAAGTCAATCAAAAATCTGTCCCGCTTCCCACCCAAACTTGTAATCTTTCAGCGTTTCTAGTAGTGCCCCCAAAAAACATGTAATTAGAAGCTACCTTCGACTTTCAGACTACTTTCAAATATCAAAAGGTAAGATTCACTCAAGATGGAGAATATTGACCCTCATCCTATGGCGATTCTATATTTCTATGCATTTATCATTTATCATATTATTATTTCTCAAGTTTCAATCGTTATTACGGTTCATGCGGTCTTCATATTTATTCTGGTAAAGTGTTACGATGAGGACAAGAAGGTGGGATTGTTAAAATTTTTTTTGTATAATTCGAAACTTTTCCTGGAGCAAATTTCCAACAATTTCTATTTACTCTCACTTGGACCTCGGTAAAGGCAAACCGGACACGCCACGGACGTATCGGAGCCCTTCTAGTGACCACTTTAGTAGTGTCAGTTCTCTAGAGTGATCCCTAGAGTTGCTCAGAAACGTCCGTGGCGTATCCGGTTTTCGATATCGAGTTTTGAGAAGTAATTAGGGCGTGGAATTCCGAATTAATCAAAAATTATGGTTTTTCGACTTCTATAAACTTTATCGAGGGTTTCATAAGAAATTATTCTTCCAAAAAAAGCACTAATTATCCAATAATTTGATACGAGATCCCTGAACTTTCCATCTACAGCCTTTAATACAACTCCGAAAATCTTCAACTTGTCGAAAACTTTTTTTTTTCAACTTTCCAAGACTCAATCAATGGCTTCCAGGAAGTTCAACTTCTTGCCCATTCATTATCAATTTATGAAAGAACTTTTTAGCTCGACTACTACATTGCGGTCCCTTGTATGGAATTCGTCTCACTCATCGGCGTAACTGGGCCAATTTCTCTGATAACAAGTACTGTCCTTCGAGAAGGAGATGGAGTTGATCCATACCTCGGCGCCTATTGCATTTTAACATTTTGCTGTCCCCATGTTCTAGTATTCATCGACGCTATATTATGCCTGCATCGTCTTTTTAGCTTTTTCCAAATCGCTCCAAGGTTCTGTAGGAATTTCAAGTGGTAAGTTGTGTTTGGGATTAATTTTCATGTGTTCATATTCAAGGCTCAACTGATATATAATTATAATATTCCCTTTCTTGAACTGTTGATCCAAGGAACTTGAAGGTTCCCATTGACCTGTGAGCCAACTTTTGAAAATTTCAAAAAGGATCGTTAAAAGGACTTGAGGACTTGATGAAGGTTCGCTCAGATCAAACTGAATACAAAAAATATGGACTTTTATTCAAGAAATCCTCTCTTATAACTTCTTATTAGAGTTATAACCTCTAAAAGACTTCAAAACTTCTCTTTCTCTCCTTGTAACATTCCCCTCCTAAATTCGAGAAGCTATGACTAAAAAGCAAAAAGACCGAAATTCATTGATTTTTTTCTGAATCAGGACGATTCAGAGGTATTCCAGCGAATTTTCATCAAATCCTCAAGCTTTTTCGTTTCGAAACTCCCTCATGAACTCAGAAACTTCAATTTCAGGCCATTGGCTATCGCAATCACAATATCGATCCCACAATCATTCATCTGCGTTGCTTATGTGCTTCAAACATTGAGCCATATGATTTCCGAGCCAGTGATAAAAATCGCCCACCTAGAAACTCTGCACATGGTCTTTGAAGCATCTGGTTATCCGTTAAAACACTTTTCAGTTTGCGATGAGTTTCAAAATCGTTCTAATCTTATTCACCCTGTCCGGCTACCTTCTGATCCTCTGGAGCGTAAACCGGAAGAAGTCGGAGATGACCATGTCGTCGGTGAAAAACCAAAGTCACATCACAATCGTCCTGCAAGCCTTGCCCATTGCCGTGTACTCTTTTGTGAGTTTCTACTGAAAATATGAAGCATATCCATTAAATTACAGTTTTTATCAACCTCTGACGTTCTTATAAAACTATTCCCTTTGGATGAGATGGCAGATCAATTGGTAACTTTGTTATATCAGCTGCTGATTTTTTCGTCAGGTTGATTTTGATTGCAAGGTATATTATTGAATGAAAGTTCCAGGTTATGTCGTCCCTTTCTCATTTATTATTGGGAACCCAAAGAAGCGGAAAATCTTCACTTCGTTCACCTTCAGAGATTGCTCCAAATCTAAGAAGATATCGAATAAGAAAGCTATGGAAAATTTTGTAACCTCTGTTGAATAAAGTGATTTTTTCTTTGAAGTCATACATGAGCAGACCATTTTTGAAGGCCGCCGAATCTTCCTCCCAAGTTTTCCTAGATTAAAGTTGATACCAGCTCCCTGAGGATGACCCAGGCCAAAACCTCTCTGAGGTTGAAAAAAAAATTCTGGCCGAAACCACCCTGAGGTTGAAATATCATATATTCCTGATTTTTCGAAATAATTGTGTAAGCTAACCCCTCCTCCCGGGCTGAAGGAGTTCTGTACTTGCCCATCTATGATTGAAGTCATTCATGAATAATGGCAAAATAGCAAGGCGACTGGCTAGGAATTGAACCCGGATAGTGAGATCAAGCGTCTGTCGCTCTACCAGCTGAGCTAACATTCTCATCATCCACGCAATAATACGTTATCAAACCAGTACATGAAAATGGTAACTAAAAAGCGACAATGAAATGATGGCTATCTATTCTACAAATTTAACTAATCAGGTCTTACATTTTGGTAAGTTATCTTACATTTTGAATATTTTCTTCTTTTAGAAATTATTATTGTGCTCCTATAAGGTTCAAGAATGGCATAAATTCTATCAACAACAATAAAAAAAATTATCAAGTTTTGAAGTTTGAAAAAGGCCAAAAAGGACTAACTCACAGGGAAGGTAATTTTACTTTGCGCTTGGGAACTTTCTGAAAATTGGCTAGAACACTCCTTGATATACCAGAAGACGATTCTGGGAGTCACAGCCTGCACAACTTCCTAGTTTTCGAAAAATAAAGGCTATAAGACCCATTTTGAAAAGTTTTAAGGGTCCTCTTCGACTTTGAAGCCTTATTTCTTGAAAACTAGAAAGTTGGGCAGATTGAGAATATCAAAATCTTCATCATACAGCTTTCTGACCAATTTTCAGGAAAATCCCAACCGCAACTTAGAATTACCTCCGTGTCAGATATTCAAATATGGTCTGGCGAAAAAATTTCATTAATTTGCGAATTTTGTAATCTTGATTGTTTGCATGTTTGCTTACAGTCTAAACTACATTCCAAGGAAGTAGGAATTTTTTTCGTAATAAATGATCAAAAACCTACATAGTTTCACTGAAAATTAAATACAAGACTTTGTGAAACATGGCATTATAGACTGCTAAATGCCAGCCATTTTCAGTTTTTTTTTTTGATAGAATTGAGAAATTTTTTTTTAACTTATGGAGTCCTGGCCTGTCGTCTTATCGATCTTCTATTTCATTTCATCTCAAGTGTTACTTCTCTTCACGGTTCATGCGATCTTCATTTACATTTTGATCAAATGCTACCATGAAGATAAGAAGGTGAAGCTGAACATTTTGAACTACATTAATCCAATTTTTTCAGCTAGATTATTACATGGCTGTCCCTTTGATGGAATTCGTCACATTTATCAGCATTACGGGCGTTTTTTTCATGGCCACAGGCGTTTATTTTCCAGAATCCTATGGAAATAGTTCATTCAATCTTGTTTATTTACTATACTCGTTTAATTGTCCCTACGTTCTAGTGTTCATCGACGCTGTTCTATGTCTACACCGTCTTTTTAGTTTTTTTCGGATCGCTCCATGGTTTTGTAAAAACTTCAAGTGGTGATTACTCTTCGAATGTTTGATCAAATCAATTTCAAGTACTTCAGGCCGCTGGCTTTCTCAATCATAGTCTCGATTCCGCAGTCTGTCGTATTTATAATGTTTGGACTCGACCTAATCGACGAGATTCCAAGTGCAGAAGACAATTTCGCGCCACTATTAACTTTATACACGGTAAGAAAGTTTGACATTATGTTAAAAGTCCACCTAGCTAACACGGGGAGTGCAACAGGTGGTGGGTTGAGAATTTGATGAAACGTGGTATATAGGTACTTTCGGACACACTGATTCCAATAAAGTTGAAAAAAAGCGCACCTTTTGCGTTCTAGTCGAGGTATGGCATCTAGAAGTTTGCACGCGAAAAATGCATTGGATGGAAGGAGGGAATATGTCGCGGCGGCTGACTTCATCTGCCAAGAGATGGCGTGGTGTAGTGGCTAGCGGCCTTGCGCTGTGGAACCTATGATGAAGGTTCGGTCCCTTTTTGGTGAAATTCTTTTTGCCATGAAGTTTTTCGAAAAAATTGATGAATTTTTGAAGATGGAACAAAAAATACCGTTCAAAGTGTTAAAATCCACTATTTTATGTCGTTTTGAAAAAGACTTTCGACAAAATTTTTTTTGTTTGTTTTTTTTGTCATACCCTGGACAGGAAATTTGGGCGTCGAGAATATTCTTGCGAAAGTTCATAGGTTTTTGATATAAATAACAACTTATTGTAATTTTATGGTTCTATTCTCATTCACCAAAAAGTTTTTTCGTAAGCTTTGAAGGTCTTTCTTCAGATTTTCGCATTCATCAAAATCTTCCTAATCATTTTCACCCTGTCTGGTTATGTTCTGATACTGTGGAGCGTAAACCGGGAGAAGGCGGCAATGACCACTTCGGCGTCAAAAAAAGAAAGTCACAATACAATTGTTCTACAGGCCTTACCAATTTCCATCTACTCTCTTGTGAGTTTCAAGCAAAAAACTTTCAAAATAGAGCTTAAATTACAGCTTCTAATATTCTACGACACCTTTATGATTATAATATCTTTGAAATATTTTTTCGATGATATCTGGGGGCAACTGATATACGGCTCTTTTTTCGTATACTTCTATTTGTCGGGTTGGAATCAAATGAAAGACTTATTAACATTAAATTATTCAGCGTATGTCGTACCTTTCTCATTCATTATTGGAAACTCGAAAAAGAGGAAAATCTTCACTTCGTTTACCTTCAAAGACTATCTCAAGTTTGATAAAATTACTGCTAAAAACCTGACGTCGTCCAACTTTATGACAACTGTTGAATAAACTTGTTCTATTTTTCTTATTTCTATGATTGATTGAAAGATATGTTACAAAAAAAACATTGGTATACTTTTTTTCAAGCATTCACATCTCAATATAATTTCAATTGTACCACCCACCATGTCAGAAACATTTTTAAAGAACCTTACCGATACTTATTTTTCTCATTATAAATATACCTCCCCGCCTCCTATAGGATAATTAACTTGTTATGTACTGATATTCGGTCAAAGTATACTCGTTAGGGTACACATGGACCTTTTTATTATATGCTGTAACTTCGTGTGCAATAAATATTATTATAATAACTTCTTGGTCATTTCAAGGACTACCCCGATTTTTCGAGTTAAAGCTGAAGGATGGGAACCGGAAAACTTCCTAACGAGTTCAGGAAGACTTAAACTTCGGGGTTAAAAATAAATTATAAAGATAGGAAAACAAGTCAATATACAGAGAGTCAAGGGCAGATAGGATAGCTTAAAAAAATTTTGTCTCATAAATCATTTAAAAATTTGTTCGGCTAATGTCCCCAATTTTTCAATCTGTGATATGAAAGTTATCACGGAGGAGAGAATTTTCGGAAATCGCCTGCGTTCTTTGAAATTATATCTATAGGCTATTCCGCGCCAGCTTGTCACGTTTTCCTTTCCGCCAAAAGGCCAGGTCAAATTTAACCAACTTTCGCTTCAAGACCTTTGTTTCTTGCCGTTATAAAAGCAGAAATTTGATCTAATTTGGTATACGGTATTTTGGCAGGAAGAAAAAAGTGACAAGCTGGCGCAGAATAGGCTATAGACGCGGTGCGGTGGAGAGCGTTTTCGGCGCCAAAAGGAGTATTTAAAAAATTGACCCTCTCTTTAGTCGTTTCCAATTTCGCATGATAGATAAGCCTAGAGAGACTGATTTCCCTAACCATCCCAAATAGATGATCTATATAAAATCACGCGCAAATCAGCACGAGTCGGTCGCATCGAAAAATAAGCGTGGTTTCTGAATTGGTTGGCCTCTCAATGATTAAATCTGGTTGCAATTCGTGGCGGCCGCACACACACAAATTTTTGGGAAACATGTAATTATGGACAGCTCTTGATGCAATGAAGCCCCTTTCAGTCTTCAAAAAACTTTTTTTTTGAGAAAAAACTTTCTGGACGAATGGAAGCTTGGCTAGTTCGCTTCTTATTTTTCTATTTGATCTCATCTCAAGCTTTTCTGGTCTCGACGGTTCATGCGATCTTCATTTATATTCTGATAAAATGTTATGATAGAGATAAAAAGGTCTAATTTGAATATTTTAACCAGGGAGGGCGTTATACTTTTTGGTTGGGAAATTTTTGAAAAACGGCTAGAAGACTCTTCAACAAGCCAGGTTAAGGTACTGACCCTCGAAGTCAGAGAAAATTATCAGAAGTCTCTAGAGTTAGTCATTTTCAGACCTTGAGCCTTTGTTTTTCCGAAAAATAAAAGTTGTGTAGACCTTCTGATTTATCAAGGCATCAAAAAGCATTTTTTGCCAATTCTGAGAAATTCCCCAAACTTAAACTGAAATGATCTTGCATGTTAGCTGTAAAAAATTTTAAAAGTGAGATAATGGTATTTCATTTTTCAGCTCGACTTTTACATTGCGGTCCCTTGGATGGAGTTTTTTACGATTATCGGAATCCTGGGCCCTATTTTCCTGATCTCCAGCTTCTATTCTCCGGAATTCGGGGATATCACAATCGTTTTCATATTTATATTGGTTGCTTTTGCAAGCCCCCATATTATATTATTTATTGACGCTGTTTTATGTCTTCATCGTCTTCTCAGCTTTTTTCAAATCGCTCCTTGGTTTCGTAGGAACTTCAAATGGTCCGTTTTACAAAATTTTGTGAATTTTAGATGGAGTATTGAAGGGACAAAGGCTTTAAAAACCATTTTTGGGCTAATTTTTTACTTTTTCTCCCTACGCCTTTGTACCGCTTGAGCAGCGTCGGCTCCCTAAGTCGATTAGCCGAAGTCCTATCCTGATAACAGTGGACTGGCTCTAATGACATATCCGTCCTTGTATGTGACGACTGGGGATTATGAAGCCGTGGTTTCCCACTACCAAAATTTCTTAAACAACTCGGTTGGGTCGAGGCGGGGATCGAACTTGTGACCCCGTGTACCGTAGACAAGCACACAACCTGTTGCGCTAACCCTTCTGGGCTGATATTTAATACTTCATAACCTCCGTTCGAATAATCTTTAGCATTTCAGGCCACTGGCTCTCGCTATCATAATCTCAATCCCCCAATCTTTCCTGATCGTAATGTTTGGTCTTGATTCATTCGAAGACCTACTTCCGCTCGGAGCTATATATACGGTAAGAAATTCAAAACAGCTGATTCGAAATTGATAATTTTCTTTCAGACCTTGATCTATATCAAATTCTTCGTGATAACTTTTACCTTGTCCGGCTATGTCTTGATACTCTGGAGCGTATACCGGCAGAAGGCGGCGATGATGGCGTCGGCGACAAAAAACCAGAACCATACGACGATCGTCCTGCAGGCGTTGCCGGTTTCCATTTATTCATCCGTGAGTCCCAAGCCTGAAATAATATAAAGTTACAGCTAATTTTCAAGGTCCTAATACTCTATGACACTTTCATGATCCAAATGAACTTTGATTTTGCAATCGATGACTTGAAAGGCCAACTGATGTTCGTATTTTACTTTTTATTCTTCTTTCTGTCAGGTTGGATCAAATTTAAAAGGTATTCCGGTCATTCAAAGAAATTTCAGGTTATGTTGTGCCTTTCTCCTTTATCATTGGTAACCCGGAGAAGCGGAAAATCTTCACTTCTTTCAGTTTCAGGGGATGCTTCAGATCTCAAAAAGTATCTGATAAAAGAAATGATGATAATTTCATCACAACAGTTGAATAAAGTTACCACAGTTTTTGATAGTGTGAAGAACGACAAAAAAAAAATGGAATCATTGGGGATTTGAATCTGGATTGCGTGATTAATATTTTTTCACTCTACCGTATCAGCCAACAAGCGATGAAATTTAATGCCGATCAATGACGAAAGGTCATTAAAAAATAATGTTCGATACAGTCTGTGTGCCACGACTTAAAATTTCACGGAACGACATTCCGTTGTGTAAATGATTCTGGTTCTGAGCACATTTATTTCACAAGCACTTTTCTTATATAAGGGTATCTCGGAACATAACATACATGACTATTTGAAACATATATGGAATATTATAAAACAAAACTAGGCGATGACGGAGGTGGTGACAATTCATAATAAAAGACGGCATGTGAATACATGAAAAAATATAAAACAATACTATAGGTGACCGGGCGGTGATAAATTCATAATATAAAAGGCATATAAAAGGCATTACACTCCCAGAGCAAAAAGAAAGTACTTCACATTTTTTTTCTAATAATATTTTTTCTTTCTCAACACTATTATTAAAACAACGATCGCGGTTATAACAATTAAAGGTAATGTGTCGAAAAGATTCTTTAAGAATGAGAAGGCTTTACAGATGTTATCGAAATCGAGATTTGATTATATCAAAAACATTCGTCGTGGGTTTCCGGTCGTGTTTATCATCGTTCGTGGGATTAAAGTTGGAATCTGTATATTTTAAAGTTCCAGTCAGGTTGATACTACTGGTCCCTCCCGAGCAAATAACAGAACAAATTTAATCTACTTTGCTCGATGTAACAAGAATGTATACTTCGGTTATCTTTGCGTTAGAAGGTGCACAGAAGATGGGTATGTCGGTTCGATCGAGGCATCGTTAGATGGCGATTTCTTCGGAAGTCGAGCTTCGGCAGCTGGCGAGCGATTTTGCACCGGTAGTGCAAGAGTAACAGCCGCTCAGCGGTCCAATCGTTACTTCGTACTATAGTATTGTTGTATAATGTTTCATGTATGCACATGCCGTCTTTTATAATAAATCGTCACCACCCCCGTCCTAGTTTTGTTTTATAATATTCCATATATGTTTCGTATAGTCATGTATGTTATGTTCCGAGATACCCTTGTATAAGAAACGTGCTTGTGAAATAAATATGCTCACCAGAAACTAGAATCATTCACATGGCGACTACTGAAAAATTTGGATTGCTTTAGTCTGTGTCCCACGACCTGAAATTTCCCGGAACGACATTCCGCTGTTCCGCTTTGTGTGTTCGCAAAGCTTTTTCTAATCTAGGTCACGCTTTCAATTGATTGTTAATGGTGTGGGAGCACATAAAAGTAGAATACCTTAATGGAAGAAAAAAAAAAATTAAAAGCGCGACCAGGGTTTGCAAAGGCGCGCAGCAGCACAGCGGAATGTCGTTCCGTGAAATATCGAGTCGTGGCACACAGACTATACACCTACATCATTTTTTACAGTTTTCATTCTTCGATTTACAAAAAACTGTGCAGATATTCCCCTTTTTGGAGAAAAATCACTTCAAAAAGCGAAAGAAAAAGTTTAAATTCGTGCGGAAAGTGCAGCAAATTTGACATATAGACAAAACGTATCATTATTTTCTTACCTCATTTTCTCTTGATTCTTATTTTCCCTAATGCTCACATTAAACTGTCCTTGATAAGAGCTTCCGAATCAAATAGAGAAAGTTGGTAATTAGCTATTTAAAATTGCTTATTTGAAAGTGGATTACGGTAAGAAAACGTGTATACACCAAATCTCCTCATTCTTGACGCGAGTAGAAAAGTTAAAATTTAAAAAAAATGATTCTTCGTCCAATGTCCTGTTCATATTTGGTGAAGCTCTACATTAATATCTCAAGACTAATATTTCTTTAAGATGTCATGGTTTTCAATAATTGCTTGGGCAACAATATGAAAGGAAAATGTGTCGGAAAGGAAAGTTTTGACGGAGCGTTTTTTCTCCGCTAAATGCAAGATTTTAAATCTTGAACCTCTCTTTCGCCGCCTGACTTCAAACAGCTCGAGAGGATGTTTTTTATAGCCGATTGGGGATTTCTATCATATATCAACATGCGCTAGTCAGAATGAGTCGGATGCTTTGTCTCTCTATGACTAAATGTCGTTCAAAACCACGGGGTACACTCTATACAACAGACGTGTGATTATCTTGATGATATCTCAGCCTTTCAGAGCAAACTAGTTCGAAAGTTCCTCTTTCCACAGATGAGGTATGGAAATATCATTTTCGGCTTAGTGGTCACCTATATGATCCTATCTCAAGCTTTACTTATCTTCACGCTTCATGCAATCTTAATATTTATTTTTAGTGAAATGCTATGAAGATGATAAAAAAAGGTGGGTTTTTTTCAGAAAATTCTAGAAGTTCTACCTGTTTTTTTAATATTGAGATAAAATGAAAATGCAAAATTCATTCAATGAACATTTATCGTTCCAGCTCGACTATTACATAGCGGTTCCTTCGATGGAGCTGGTTACCATTTTCGGAATAACGGGCCCGTTTTTTCTGATGATCAACTCTTATTTTCCAGACATGGCCAAAGATAGCATAATAAACGGAGGCTTTATATTAGCCGCTTTTAGTTGTCCCCACGTTCTGGTTTTTATTGACGCTATTTTGTGTCTTCACCGTCTTTTCAGTTTTTTTCAAGTCGCTCCGTGGTTTTGTAGGAATTTCAAGTGGTTGGTTTAATTGAAGTCTGAGAGTATTTCTAGTATTTCAGGCCCTTGGCTATCGCTATCATAGTCTCGATTCCACAGTCTTCTCTATCTATTCAGCTTGTGATGAATTCACTAGATGATCCATTAGAAACTACATACATGGTGAGCAAATTGCATTATTTTATTTTTGGGGTGTGAACAAAATTTAGAAACAACCTGTTTTTTGAACTCAACCTGACCCCTCTCGATTCATTTGTTTAGATCACGGTTTTAATCAAAGCCTTCCTAATCATTTTCACCTTGTCTGGTTATATTCTGATACTGTGGAGCGTAAACCGAGAGAAGGCGGCCATGACAACTTCGGCGGCAAAAAAAGAAAGTCACAAGACGATTGTTCTACAAGCCTTACCAATTTCCATCTACTCTCTGGTAAGTTTCAAGTCAGAATTATTCATAATAAAGCTCAAATTTCAGCTTCTAATATTCTTCGACGTTTTTATGATTCTACTGTCTATAGTTTCAAATATCGATAATTTCTCGGGGCCAATAATTATGATGTCTTACTTTGTGTTCATTTTCTCGTCAGGTTGAGAAAAAAGTGAAGCGTTTTTTTTTGAACAGTCAAATAAGTTCCAGGTTATGTTGTTCCTTTCTCAATCATTATAGGAAATCCGAAGAAAAGGAAAATCTTCACTTCTTTCCGTTTCAGGGAATGCTTCAGATCTCCTAAAATATGGAGCAAAAGAAATACGAAGACCAGCGTTCAAACTGTTACTGCATAAAGAGTTCACTCCGCATTCACACGGAAAATCTTTCTTCTGCTATTTATGTCTCTGTACTAATTGAGCGGCGTCGGCGCCGCGGGTCGATTAGCCTAGGTTCTATCCTGATATCAGTGGACTTGCTCTAGTGACCTATCCGACCTTGTGTGTGACGGCTGAGGATTTCGGAGCCGTGTCTTCCAACAACCAACATTTCTTAAACCCCTTGGTTGAGTCGCCGCGGGGATCGAACTTGTGACCTTGTGGACTTCAAACAGGCACACAACCTGCTCCGCTACATAACATACTCACAAAAATCAAGAGAAAAAAGGACGAGAATATTACTGTGACAAGCTTGAGAAAGACCAGTTCGATAATCCATTTCAATGGGTTTTTTCATCAAGGTTCTTGAGGGTACCAGATGGTTCTATATCAAAGAGGACCTTCTGAAAATGATACTTTACATCACTCGATTCTGAGTTGAGTCGAGAACATACGGAGAACATCTCCTAAGGCTGATAAATACGATAAATTGAACGAGGAAGAAGCACCTCTGCTCCAACGAACTTTATAGCGTTCCGTGTACATAGTAATAACATGTAATTTTGAAAATTGTAGCTGACACGTAAGAAAAAAAACAGATTTCCAGAGAGAAAAGTTAGAAAGAGCTCCCTTATCATTCAGTTAATGTCGCCGGTTTTCATCGTCTACTTTTTACTTTATAACATTCTGTGCCAAGCTTTTCTAATTTTGACGGTTCACGCAAGTTTCATAGTTATTCTGGTTAAGTGCTATAAAGATGATAAGAAGGTGGGTTTGACAAAAAAAATGGCCCTTGAATGTTAAAAAACTCATTCTAGCAGTCCAAATTTTTCAGCTCGACTACTACATTGCCGTCCCTTGTATGGAATTCTTTACGTTGATCGGTGTCACGGGCCCATTTTTCATGATCACGAGCTATTTTTTTCCGCAAAATATTAAATCCGAGGAAATACTTGGCTCCTATTTAATATTCTCTCTTTGCTGTCCCCATATCCTATTATTTATCGACGCGATTCTGTGTCTCCATCGGCTTCTCAGTTTTTTTCAAATAGCCCCATGGTTTTGCATGAAATTCAAGTGGTGAGAATCTTTCGAAAGCTTTGATAGCACAGATTTCGAGATTTTTTCAAATCATTGTAACATATTTCAGGCCATTGGCTATCTCAATCATAGTATCGATTCCACAGTCCATGATCATAGTCATCTACAGTACCGCTCAAAAGTCTATTAAGTTTTGGTTTTTTGGGGATATCTCAGCGAGTACTTATCCGATTTATATATAACTTTCAGGGATAATGTAAAATATACTTTGAAACATATACGGTATACAAATACATGTCCGCAATCACTGTGACGCGTTTTTAGGAATTTTTTTGAATTCAATTTTTTTGTTTTTTTATGCTTTTATTTTTTTATTTATTTTTTTATTAAATTTTTTTAAAAAGTAATAATGTTGCCATATGTTTTTTTCATGTTTTTCAGACATGGGAAGAACCTCTGGAAAAAAGGATTTGACTGATAACGGCAAAAGAGCCATCGTTGTGGGTCGTCAAAATGGACTGACCATGATGACGTTGGCAGGAATGTTCGGCGTGACAGAGGCGTGCATTTCTCAGTTCCTAAAGCGTTGAAAAGCTCAAGATGGCTTTACTAAGAGCCAACGCACTGGAAGACCACGTGTCACTGATCGTAATGACGATAGAAACATTTTGAAGACGTTTAGAACCAATCCAAGACTCACCGCCCCTGCGATCAGACGGGAAGTTTTCTTGAATTCGCCATCTCCGCCATCCGTCTGGTCCGTGAAACGACGTCTGAATGTTGCTGGAGTCATGGGAAGACGTCCAGTGAAAAAACCGCTGATTTCTGAAAAGAATCGAGCCGGCAGGGTGACGTGGGCGAAAGAGCATCTCAACTGGACCCGTCAAGACTGGAACAAGATTCTGTGGTCCGACGAAACGGTCTTCCACCATGTTTTACAGAAAGTAATTGGTGTTGCGGATGATATCTGGACCCAATTGGTCTACGAACCCACTGAATTCCGTCACTTCCGAAGAGGAGGAACTTGCTTTCGTCGGACCACAGAATCTTGTTCCAGTCTTGACGGGTCCAGTTGAGATGCTCCTTCGCCCACTTCACCCTGGCGGCTCGATTCTTTTCAGAAATCAGCGGTTTCTTCACTGGACGTCTTCCCATGATTCCAGCAGCATTCAGACGTCGTTTCACGGTCGAGACGGATGGCGGAGATGGCGAATTCAAGAAAACTTCCCGTCTGATCGCAGGGGCGGTGAGTCTTGGATTGGTTCTAGACGTCTTCAAAATGTTCCTATCGTCATTACGATCAGTGACACGTGGTCTTCCAGTGCGTTGGCTGTTAGTAGAGCCATCTTGAGCTTTCTGACGCTTTAGGAACTGAGAAATGCCCGCCTCTGTCACGCCGAACATTCCTGCCAACGTCATCATGGTCAGTCGATTTTGACGACCCACAACGATGGCTCTTTTGTCGTTATCAGTCAAATTCTTATTTCCAAAGGTTCTTCCCATGTCTGAAAAACATGAAAAAAATCATATGGCAACATTATTAATTTTTAAAAAAAATTTAATAAAAAAATAAATAAAAAAATAAAAAGCATAAAAAAACAAAAAAATGGAATTCAATAAAAAAATGCCTAAAAACGCGTCACAGTCATTGCGGACATGTCTTTGTATACCGTATATGTTTCAAAGTATATTTTACATTATCCCTGAAAGTTATATATAAATCGGATAAGTACTCGCTGAGGTATCCCCAAAAAACCAAAACTTAATAGACTTTTGAGCGGTACTGTAAGCCACTAGAGCCAATGTACTGATCTCAGGATAGGACCTCGACTAATCGACATGGGGCGCCGACGCCGTTCAAGCGGTACGGAGGCATAGGAAAAAAAAAAATTAAATCAAAGGCGTTGACAACGTTGTCACAGCATAGCCCGTTTCCAAGTATTATTCTCTTGGTCGGAACTGAAAAATTCAAGTTCCCAAGACAATTCGCACTTAATTAATCATTCCAGCCTTCTCTGACAAAAGATCCTACCGGAAATCTCTCAGCAGATTTTTTTTTTTCGTCTTAAAAATTATTTTTCAAGTAAAAATTGAACTGAAACAATCTTTTTGAACTTTAACCCGTGTTATGACAGGCCTTTCATAAGGTATCACTCTAATTTAAAAAAAAATATCTGATAAAAAATACAGAAACTTTGTGGAATCGATCTAATGAATTGACTACTTCAATGGAATCCCTGAAAATCGATAGAACATCAAAAATCAAGCAAAAGAGCCATGATTAAAGGCTTTTCTGTCTAACCCTTCTGGTACAAAGCTCTAACGTATAATTATGAACAGCTCTTGATGATAAGTTAGCTTCTCTGAGACCTTTAAAGCGGGATTTTTTTTTTGAAAAATACAACTTTCATAAGAGATGGAATCGATTTTTTATTTCTTTCTTGTCATGTTCATTTTCGCGTCACAAGCCTTATTCTTCCCCGCAGTCCATGCGATCTTCATATTCATCTTAGTTAAATGCTATGAGGAAGATAAGAAGGTTGGTTTTTCGCTTTTTTAATTTTTTTTCCAAAGTCTGTGCTTCTTAAGAGAGATTCATCCACTAGTATTAATTTCAACATAAAACTTTTTTCAGCTCGACTATTACATTGCGGTCCCTTGTATGGAATTGGTTACACTTATCGGAGTTACAGGACCAATTCTCGTGTTTCTAAGTTCTCATTTCCCTGAGATTTTTGAAGATAACCCATTCATGGGCGCCTACTCACTATTCGCTTTTAGTTGCCCCCACATTCTTGTATTTATCGACGCTATTTTATGTCTTCATCGCCTTTTCAGCTTTTTCAGAATCGCTCCCTGGTTTTGTAGGAATTTCAAGTGGTTGGTTTCGTTTTGGATTGAGCTCCGTTCTGTTTTTTTTTAAACAAATGAGTTATATTCCAGGCCTTTGGCAATCTCAATAATAATCTCCATCCCACAATCTTCTCTATTCATAATATATGTGCTCAATCAATCGAAAGATGATGATGATCTCGCGTTTCTCGAAACTCCACATTTGGTGAGAAATCAACGGATTTGAAATTAATTCAAATTCACCGTTTTCTTCCGTGGTATCAAAATCAGGATCTGTTTCAGATCGCGGTTGTTATCAAAGTCTTCTTGGTAGTATTCACCTTGTTTGGCTACATTCTGATACTCTGGAGCGTAAACCGGCAAACGTCGGCGATGACTATTTCGGTCTCAAAAAATCAAAGTCACAAGACAATTGTCCTGCAAGCGTTGCCCATTTCGATCTACTCTTTTGTGAGTTTCGAGTCCGGCATAATAAAAATGGAGCTCAAGTTGCAGCTCCTATTATTCTACGACATTTTCATGACACCCTCTACTGTCGACAATTTTTCACAGCAAATGATATTATTTTTATATCTCGTATTCTTCTTTTTGTCAGGTTGAAAACGGTTCCTTTTTTTTTAAATCCGAAAAGTTCCAGGTTATGTCGTACCTTTCTCATTCATTATCGGGAACCCGAGAAAGCGAAAGATCTTCACTTCGTTCAGTTTCAAAGATTCCTACAGTCGCAACAAAATTTGGAATCAAATAACTGCGAGATATCCAATGAGAATGACTGAATAAAGATTTGCATTGAGGATGTTATTATAATGAACAGTGAAGTGAAGTTTATATTGTTCGAAGTGTACAGGAAGCTCATTAAATATGGAGTTCTGTCTTGGCTTTTTTTTTCCCAACCTGAAGCTCAACTACACACTCACCTTCTTGTGCTCTTTTTTCAACTCAATTATTGCATTGCGGTCCCTTAGACAAAACACGCACCTCGAACTTGTTTTTCTGGTCCTGAATATTGAAAAGACGTAATCCATGATTCAGTGCTTTTATTTCTACACCCTTTGCTAGCCAATTTGAAAAACGTACAATTATGAACAGCTCTTGATAATACGTTAGTTCCTTCTAGACATTCAGACTGAAAATTGGAGCGGAAAGTGGAACTTCAATAATGGAATCGATTTACTATTCTTTTCTAGTCATGTTTATTTTTGCATCTCAAGTTTTATTCTTTCCCGCGGTTCATGCGGTCTTCATATTCATCCTAGTAAAATGCTACGAGGAAGATAAAAAGGTAGGTTCCTCGAATGATTGTTCTTTTTTCTCGAATTTCGAAGCATCAAACAGAAAAATCTCTAAAAAATAAAACATGAAATCAAGCATGGTCATTGAAATCCAAGTGTCTAAGCCGAAACTTCAATCATATCTCTGCCGATACACTCCACTCGAATGTCTCAGCTCCGGCCGCACCTCGCGGTCGTGTTCGTGGTCGCGGTCGTGGTCGTGGTCGTGGTCGCCCTCGTGGTCCTCGTCTCTTCTCGTCTGTTCTTCGTCCAAACAGAATCGGTCAACAACCGAACATCCAATCTGTTCCACAGCCGTCAAACACCAGCCGCCCACGCCGAACTACTCAATCTGGTCAACAGCCAGCCGCAGTACAGTCTGGTCGACAGCCAGCGCGAGCCCCGTCTGGTCAACAGCCAGCTTCAGTACAGTCTGGTCGACAGCCAGCGACAGCTCAGTCTGGTCAACAGCCAGTGTCAGCTGCGGGTCAACAGCCCAATGGCATTCGCGGCCAACAGCCATCTCAAGCTGGTCAACAGCCAGCCGCTGGTCAACAGCCAGTTCCCGTCCTTCCTGCCGTTGCTGTCGTCGTTGATAACTCCGTTTCCGCCTAGGTCGTTTGCCCTCGCCAATTGCCTCTCAATTCTACTTCCTCTTCCTTCTCCGTGTGTGAGTCCTCAAACTTTATTAAATGTATTCTAATTAACTGTAGGTCACTGGTTTCCAATACTAAATTTCTCAATTTATTAGATTATCTCACTGCCAATCAAATCGACCTCTGTTTTTGCACGGAAACCTTTTTCAACGAAGTTCACCTAGACTCATTTCTAACTAACAACTCTTACAATTTCTTTCGAGCGGACCGTCGCAATGACCACCGACGAACTGGCGGCGGCGGGGTTCTCCTGATGTACCGGAAATCCATGCTGGTTAGCGAGGTGGACTGCGGCACCGAGGTTGGTCACTGCAGACACTTTTGTGAGTTACTGGCTTTTGACCTCCTTACTAACGTCAATAGTTCCTCCGCCTCTACTAAAATTAGATTTTTATTAACCTACAGACCACCCGACTGCAATATTGCAGAGACCCAAAACCTTGTTGACACTTTGAGTAGAAACTTAGCTTTTTCTAACAATGTCGTACTAGGCGACATTAATGCTCCTCATATTAACTGGGATCTTGACATATCCACCTCAACTCATCCTTTAATCAACTTCTGCACGCAAAATTCGCTCAATCAAATCATCAACTTCCCAACCAGGTTATCTTCCAACGGCAACCCATCATTACTCGACTTAATCTTCACTGACCGCCCCGACTTATTTTTTGATCTTTGTTCCAAAAATCCTCCTATCTACACAGACCATTTAGCCATTTTCTTCAAAATCAATTGTTCCGCACGCAAAAAAAACGGTAGACCTTTTCGCCTTGACTACCGTCGATGCAACTTTGCACGTCTCAACCTAAGTATGATCAATTACAATTGGGATAGACAGTTTTTCATATTTTTTTCTAGCATCGACTCCAAATTTAATCATTTCAACAAAATTTTTCAACGAACTCATACGGGACAACTGCCCAGTTCTCAAACCACGCAATCATCGCGGTTCCAACTTTTTTTACGCAACTTCTCTTCCAAAAAAATCTCAAGCGTCTTAAACGCTTCAATCTGCGCACCTCCTTCGGTCGCGTAAATTTCAAAAATCAGTACCTCTAAATTTCGTCGTAAAACTCTACGTTGGTTCATTAATCATGAAAGAAAAATTGCCGCTGGCTCAAATGCCAGTATTTCCAAGTACATTAGTTCTAGGTTAAAACTTCGTCATGATATTCCACCCCTTATCTCCAATGGCAGGTCTTTCATTCTACCATCCGAAAAAGCTAATTTATTTGTGGACACTTTCTCCAAAAATCGTAATTTGCATAGTTATGATACACCCACTCTCTTTCCAAGTAGGAAACCTTTGACTGTTGAACCTGATTTCAGCCCTTACGCCATCTTCAAAGCCTTAGGCAAATGCCCATCAAAAATTGGCTTTTCGACTGACTTTATCAACTTTTTTGTTCTCAAGAATTGTCGCGATTCGTTAGCTATTCCGCTCTCACTCCTATTTAACGAATCTTATTGCACGGGCTCCATCCCCAAAACTTGGTCCACCTCTCATATAGTCCCTATCTTCAAAAAAGGCGATAAAAGCGATCCTAATAACTACCGACCTATCGGATTGACGTCTCACATTGCTCGTTTAATGGAAAAAATAATAGCTATCTCTATTAGATCTAAATTCAAAAACACTTTTTCTAATTCTCAATTCGGCTTTTTAAATCATCGTTCTTGTAAACTAGCTCTTCTCGATTGCATCACTCACTGGAAGAGATCCCTAGCTCTTGGTAATAACGTAGACGTAGTATATATTGATTTTTCTCAAAGCCTTCGACATGCTCCCCCATAACCTTCTGCTCGCCAAGCTCCAAGATTTCGGTTTCGACCAAAAAAACTTATTAGCTGGTTTGCATCCTTCATATCCAACAGAAAATCATTTGTCATTAGTGAAGGTATCATATCTAGCTCGGCTTTTTAACATTACATCTGGAGTTTTGCAAGGAACAGTCTGCGGCCCACTCTTATTTATAATATTCATTAATGACATTATCAGCAACTTATCTGATAATGTAAAGGCTTATCTTTTTGCTGATGATCTTAAAAATTTTTTTCTGACGATCCTATAGCGCTTCAGCAAGGTCTCAACGACGTTTTTCCAATGGTCTAGTCAATGGGGTCTTCCCCTGGCCGAACACAAAACCACCCTTCTCCATCTAGGCCGTAGCAACCCTCATGTTCTGTATACTATAAATAATATAACTATCTCTTCCGCGGAAGCTGTTCGCGATCTAGGCATTCTTATTGATAACAAACTAACATTTGAGCCTCACCTTCGCAAAGTTATAGCCTTATGCAAACTAAAAAGTAAACAAATCATCAGAGCGTTCCGCGCCCTGTCTCCCGCTCTAATGAGCCGGATTTTTCTTACTTACGTTGCTCCCTATATGGACTACTGTTGTGAGTTGTTCAGTCCCCCCTAGCTTCAGAACTATCTTACACCCTCGAAAACATCTTCCGTCAATTTACTCGCCAAACATTCATGAGATCAAACATTAGGTTTTTCTAGTTATGAAGACAGGTTAGCTCAGATTAACACAAACTCTTTTTTTAGAAGACGAGTCGAATTTTTGTCTAAGAACACTACATAAAATTTATATTAAGGAGAGTCATTTGCCAGTTGCTCACAGTGTTTTTCAGGAGATCGAATTCGGTACGTGCTCCATCACGTCTTATCAGAGTAGGGATTCGTTTCGAAAATTTCTTTGAGACGTTCATCCCTCTTTGGAATAAACTGGCTACATTGGGAAACCTCAATGTTTCTCCAGAACGTTTCAGGTCTTTGTTACTATCCCTCGATAACAATTTCCTTTTTTTGGATCTATTCCCAGCAGACTCCGTTGAACCAGGCACCCGTGCTTCAGCCCTACTCTAATCCATCTTATGCGCGTCTATATCATTACAAACGATTAAATTCCCCACTCACCTGTGCTACACTGTGTCATAACTTATACTTTCTTTTTCTATTTACTTTTTTACCTTTGTGAAATCCTCACCTCTTATTCTTTCATTACTGGCTCAGAGGCTCGTGAGGGCCGCAAGTGCCTTTTATTTATTTATTTCAGGCTTAATGCCAAATTTTTCTCTTTTTTTTCTGTACATATTATTTTGTTCTGCCTGTAAATAAATAATATTATTAATCATGCTACTATTTTTCAGCTTAACTATTACATTGCGGTTCCTTGTATGGAGTTAGTGACGCTTATCGGCGCTACCGGACCCATTTTCGTCATCATAAGTTCCTATATCCCAGGAGATTTCAGAGAAAATCAATACATCGGTGCCTATATACTATTCACTTTCTGCTGTCCCCATGTTCTAGTGTTCATCGACGCTATTTTATGCCTGCATCGTCTATTAAGCTTTTTTCAGATAGCTCCATGGTTTTGTAAAAACTTCAAGCTGTGAGCTTTGTTTGATATTGATCTTTTCTTAGCTGTTCCATTTTTAAGAAAACACACAAAAACTACAAAATTTCAGTCCATTGGCAGTCTCAATAATAATCTCAGTCCCACAGTCTTCTCTATTCATAATGTACGTACTTAACCAATCAAAACGAAACGATGAACTTGCATACCTAGAAATTCCATATAAGGTGAGACAGTTCTTGATAAAAATTCTTATTCATTGTTGACTTTTTTTTAGACCGCAGTCGCTATCAAAATATTTTTGGTGATTTTCACCTTACTTGGCTATACTGTGATACTCTGGAGCGTGAACCGGGAGAAGTCGGCGATGACCACTTCGGCGTCGAAAAAAGAAAGTCACAAGACGATTGTTCTGCAGGCTTTGCCAATTTCTATCTACTCTTTTGTGAGTTTCATCCAAAAATGTTTTAAACGAACCTTAAACTGAAGCTCCTACTATTCTACGACATATTCATGACACCTTCAACCGTCGATGATTTCTCCCAGCAATTGATATTATTTTTCTACCTAGTATTCATCTTTTTCTCTGGTGAATAACAATTTGAAGCTTTCTGCAGAAATACGAAAAGTTTCAGGTTATGTCGTACCTTTCTCATTCATTATCGGGAACCCGAGGAAGCGAAAAATCTTCACTTCGTTCAGTTTCAAAGATTCCTACAATCGAAACAAAGTTTGGAACAAAATAGTTGCAAAAGCTCCGATGAGAACAACTGAATAAAGAAATTTGATCAAGGATGTTATCGATAAACTCAAAGGGAAAAAAAGCAGGAGATATTTAAAAAAAAAAACTCCAATATAATTTGTTGTAAAAAGTGTCCTGTAAGTCCAAAAAGTCGGATTTTCATGCTACACGTTGAGTTTGAACTTTCTAGCGTTCCAGGTATACGAAAATAACTAGTTATTACGAAAATTGCACCTGACACGAAACTTCCAACGTTCACAACTACATTCGAAATACATTCTCCGAACATATGGAATTCTGGCTTTCAGTTTTGGTAGCCTTATTCTTCATTGACATTTTCCTAACCCAAGCTTTTCTTTTCATCCTCCTTCATGCGATCTTCATTCACATCTTGAAAAAGTGTTACCAAGAAGACAAAAAAGTGAGATCTTTCCCCAATACACGGCTATGCGATTTTTCTAGCTCGACTACTACATCGCGGTCCCTTGGATGGAATTTTTCACGCTTATCGGCGTTACGGGTCCAGTCATTGAACTTGCAAGTTTTTATCAGCGAGATCAAAATGAGATATTCACATTATTCACCTATTATTTCCTCTTTGCATTGTCTTGCCCCCACATTCTAGTGTTCATCGACGCTATTTTATGTCTTCATCGTCTTTTCAGCTTTTTCCAAATCGCTCCCTGGTTCTGTGAAAATTTCAAGTGGTCTGTTTTGTATTGGATTGAGCTTTTAGGATTTTTTGTAAAGACCACTGACAAATCCTATTTTCAAACGGATCGTTCGTTATTATTATTTTTTTCTTAGTGAAATTTTTAAACAAGTCTAGATGAAGCGAATGCAGTTACTTGTACTGATTCCAGTTTTTCAAAACTCCTGATAAGGCTTATAAAAATATTCGTAGGCGTCCGAAGTTACAAAGTTCAAAGGG